TAAATATCGAACTTTTTAAGGGAAAATTTTGTAATTATTTTAAATATCGAAACAAAAAACCCCCCCAAATACAAATCGATTTTAGAAACAAATTTTTCCGTTGTTACCCAGGCCTATATATATATATATATATATATATTGTAAGCCAAGAAGGGGAGCCCCCGGTGGCGCAGTGGGTTAAAGCACTGAGCTGCTGAGTTTGTTGATCGAAAGGTCGCAGGTTCGATTCTGGGGAGCGGCGTGAGCTTCCGCTGTCAGCCCTAGCTTCTGCCAACCTAGCAGTTCGAAAACATGCAAATGTGAGTAGATCAATAGGTACCGCTCCGGCGGGAAGGTAACGGCGCTCCATGCAGTCATGCTGGCCACATGACCTTGGAGGTGTCTACGGACAACGCTGGCTCTTCGGCTTAGAAATGGAGATGAGCACCACACCCCAGAGTCAGACATGACTGGACAATGTCAGGGGACTACCTTTACCTTTACCTTTAAGCCAAGAAGGGCGGCATATAAATGTCGCAAATAAATAAATAAAATTAGCCATGCTTAGGCCTCGTGTCATCTTTAAATGCATAAAACAAACATCTCTCTATTTTTCCAGAAAGAACGGGAGCAAACCCCAGAATCCTATTGGTATTCAGTCACTGCCTCTGTGGTCACACGGATTGTCGAGAACATTGAAGTAAGTGGGCTGGGAGTAATAACAATAATAATAATACTCGATGGTTTCTGCATTTGAAGTCAACGTCCGCATTGTTTGTTGGGTTGCAGAGGGAGTTGCAAAAGAGGCCAACGTCTGACGTTTGTGTTATTGAATGTTTAAATTGAGTTTCTTAAAGAAAACTCTCTTTTTTCTCCTCCTTCAGTTAAACATCCAGGATGTCCACCTCCGGTTTGAGGACGGCGTCACAAACCCTTCCCAGCCGTTTGCCTTCGGCGTCTGCATTAAAAACCTCTCGGTGCAAAATGCCATCAACGAGCCGGTGAATTGATTATATACCTTTAGAGATTGTGATTTGAATTAGGGGAGAGTCCTAGAGTCCTTCGCTTTTTCTCTGGTTCCGAATGGCTGTTTTGGTCTACGAAACCGACCTCGACTTATACATGAGTATATCGTCTATATATACGAAAGTCAATGTGTATTTGTTCCACAAAGACGGTTGCTAGGTGAAGTGGCCCTCTGTGATGTCACTGGGCAAGAAAGGGGATGCATGTATGTGTGTTATGAGAGAGAGAAAGGAAGGAAGGAAGATAAGAGACGTTCTAGAGACTGTGAGGGAGAAAGAACAGAAAGGAAAAGGAATGGAGGGATGGAAGCAGTGAGGAAGGAAAAGGGAAGGGAGGGGAGGGAGAGAGAAAGAAAAAGGAAGGAAGGAAGGAAAGAAAGAAAAGAGGAGAGGGGAGGAAAGAAAGAAAGAACAGAAAGGAAAAGGAATGAAGGGAGGGAAGGAAGGAAGGGAGGGAGAAAGGAAGAAAAAGGAAAGAGAAAGAAAAAGAAGGGAGGGAGGAGAAAGAAAAAGGAGGGAAAATACAGGTATGAGGAGGAGGAGGAAAGAAAGAAAAGAAAGGAAAAGAATGGGAGGAAAGAAGGAAAGGGAGAAAAAGGAAAGATAAAAGGAAATGAGAAGGGAGGAAGGAAGAAAGAAAAAGGAGGGAATAAAAAGGTATGAGGAGAGGAAAGAGGGAAGGGAAAGGTAGGGAGGGAGAAGAATGAGGGAAATAAATAAAAGAGAATGGAGGAAGGAAAAAATAAGGGAAGGAAGAGAAAGGAAGGGAAACGGTATGAGGGAGGGAAGAAAGAAAAAGAAGGGAAAAGAGAAGAGAGGGATGGAGAACGATATAGGAGGAAAGGAAAGGTATAAAAGGAGAGAAGAAACGGAAGGGTGGGAAATGGAGGGAGAAAAAGGAAAGAAAAGGAAGGAGGAGGAAAGAAAAAAGAAAAAGGAGGGAATGAAAGAAAGGAAAAGGCATGAGAAGAAGAGAGGAAAGAAAGAAAAACAGGAAAAGGAATGGAAGGCAGTTGGGAGAAATAAAAAGGGAGGCAAAGAAAGAAAGGAGGGAAGGAAGAAAAAAAGAAAGAACAGAAAGGAAAGGAAAAGGAATGGAGGAAAAAAGGAAAAAGAAAAAAGAAGGGAGGGAGGAAGAAAAAAAGGAGGGAATGAAAGAAAAAAGGTATGAGGAGAGGGGAGGAAAGAAAGTACAGAAAGGAAAAGAATGGAGGAACAGTTGGGAGAAAGGAAAAGAGAAGGAAAGAAAGGAGGGAAGAAAAAGGCATGAAGGGAGGAAAGAGGGAAGGAAGGGAAAGGTAGGGAGGGAGAAAAAGGAGGGGAAGAAGTAAAAGAAAAGAGAAAGGAGGAAGGAAAAAATAAGGGAAGGGAGAGAAAGGAAAGTGGAAACAGTTTGAGCAAGGGAAGAAAGAAAAAGAAGGGAAAAGAAAAGGGAGGGATGGAGAACGATGAAGGAGGAAAGGAAAGGTATGAAGGGAGAGAAGAAATGAGGGGAGGGAGAAAAAAGGAAAGGAAAAGAAAAGCGAGGGAGGAAAAAAAGGGAACGAAAGAAAGAAAAATGCATGAGAGGGGAGGAAAGAAAGAAAAACAAAAGAAAAGGATGGAGGACAGTTGGGAAATAGAAAAAGGGAGGGAAAGAAAGAAAGGAGGGAAGGAAGAAAAAGTATGAGGGGTGGAAAGAAGGAAGGAAAGGGAGGGAGGGATAAAAGGGAAGGAAAAATAAAGGAAAAGAAGGGAAGGAGGAAGAAATAAGGGAAGGAAGGATGGGAAATTGTATAATCCATTTTTAACCATTCGAAATCCTTATTTATCATCCCTTCTATAACTAATCTCAACCTATTTGCTTTATAATATTTTTTATATTGGGTGGGGAACAGCATTTATGAAGAATTGCAGCGCTTTTTTTTGGGTCCTTTTAAGGTGGAGGAACGGATGAAGAAAAAGCAGCTGGACATTGCAGACTTCAGCATCTATTGGGACCCAGGCTGTGTCCTCTTGGGGGACCTGCCGCCCGGGGAGCTGCAGGTAGGGACAATATTGCATTGGGGCCAAAGGCGGAGGCGTATGTTGTAGATTAGCCAGTGGTTTAACTGATGGTTTAGAGAGCACTGTGGGCTTTCCAGTGGCACAAAGTGATGGGTCCTCAAGTCCGGGAAATTCTTCTCCTCGAAGAGGCCCTATCGCCTCCTTGTTTTTCCTTTTTCTACTGACATAAGAAAAGAAGCCCTTTTTATTGTTTTTAATGTCCCTGGCAAGCCTGATCTCGTTTTGTGCTTTAGCCTTGCAGACCTTTTCCCTACAGGTGTTGGCTATTTGTTTGAATTCTTCTTTGGTGATTTCTCCCTTTTTCCACTTCTTGTGCATGTCTCTTTTGTGTTTTAGCACAGTTAGAAGTTCTTTGGACATCCATCCTGGCTTCTTTGCACTTGTCCTATTTTTCTCTCTTTGTTGGCACAGTTTGCAATTGCGCCTTGAGTATTTCATTCTTGAGAAATTCCCATCCATCCGTAACTCCCTTGTCTTTTAGTATCTGTGTCCACTGAATGCTGGGTGTCCATTCATGGGTGTCTATTAAATAACAAGTTGTTTAGCTTAAGGGTAGTTCAGGCAATACTGAATTAGAGGGAGAGGCTAAGCCTGAGTTCTCTTTTTCCTGGTTCAAGTCAAGCCTTGGTTTTGGATTTTAATATCCTGGAAGTGTTCTGTGTTCCTGTTCATGTATTCCTGTTCAAGTTTCTACTAGTTATACCTTCTTGCTTGTGGACTTATACTATACCTGTGATTTCTGGTTGTTTGTGGACTTTGCCACCTCTGGAACTTTATGAGACATTTGGATTATTGTTTGGTTATTACCTATTGCTGATGGTTTAACTGATGATTTAGAGGATTGTGGGCTTTCCTGTGGAACAAAGTGATGAGCCCTCAAGTCTGGGACATTCAGTTCTGGAAAATGATGGTTCTCTCTGTGAGAAAACTGGGTCAGAAAGTGCAGGGCCTCAAGGCTAGTTAGAGGATCCAGAAGTAGCAACAGCAGATAAGGAATCGAGTGAAGAGCTGAATGATCAGGAGGGTTCCCAGGAGAAACCACAGAGTTCAACAAAAGTCTGGGACATTCAGTTCTGGGAAATAATAGTTCTCTCTGTGAGAAAACTGGCTCGGAAATTGCAAGGCCTCAAGGTCTGTCAGAGGAGCCAGAAGTAGCAACAGCAGATAAGGAATTGAGTGAAGAGCTGTGTGATAAGCAGGGTTCCCAGGAGAAACCACATGTATTTATTTATTTACATTTATTTAAAACATTTTTACCCCGCCCTTCTCCCACTCGACAGGAAGCGATGGACCGGAGCATGGAGAGCGGCTCCCACCGCTACATGGTGGAGCCGGTGTGCGCTTCTGCGCTGCTCAAACGCAACTGCTCCAAAGAACCCCTCCGGTCTAGGAACGCCCCCCGACTCGAATTTGACATCCAGTTGGAGACCATCCCGCTGAAGCTTTCCCAGGTAAAGCTTTACTTTTTGGGAAGATGGTCATCTAGACTGACCCAGCCAGCATTCACTATTCTGTGTTTACCCCATTCTGTGTTTACTATGTTCGAACTCTCATGTCGGGTATTTCAATAGGTGTATGTTTTCATAGGTAATTTTTATGGTTATATTTTAGCTATGTTTTCATATGTGATTTTAGAGATGTATTTAACTAGGTTGTGTCCCAACTTGACCAGAACAGAAGTGGGTAATAAGTAAATTATTATTATTATTATTATTATTATTATTATTATTATTATTATTATTATTTGGAACAGAACAAAATGAGCCCACAGCAGACAAGATCACTCTGCTGGTTGTATTATTATTATTATTATTATTATTATTATTATTATTATTATTATTGTTTTGACAGGCCTTTGATTTTTGATATTGCTGTTTTTAAATTGTTTTAAATTGTTTTTAAACTGTGTTCGATTTTAGCCATTCTTGTAAGCCGCTCCGAGCCCAAGGGGAGTGGTGGCATATAAGTTGAATAAACTATTATTATTATATTATTATTATTATTATTATTATTATTATTATTATTTGAAACACAACAAGATGAGTCCACAGCAGACACTCTGCTGGCTGTTTAATTGGATCACACGTCGGACACTTCCCAAGTGTCTAGGACTGTAATATAATTTTATTATTATTATTATTATTATTATTATTATTATTATTAGAAACACAACAAGATGAGTCCACAGCAGACACTCTGCTGGCTGTTTGATTGGATCACATGTCGGACATTTCCCAAGTGTCTAGGACTGTGTGCTGTATATATTATTATTATTATTATTATTATTATTATTATTATTAGAAACACAACAAGATGAGTCCACAGCAGACACTCTGCTGGCTGTTGAAGTGGATCACGCATCAGACAAGTGTCTAGGACTGTGTGATGTATCGGCGAATAATGCGTGCAGATCCCAGTAAGGTGGCCTTTTGCAGCTGGCAGATAGTAATATTTTGTCAGTGCCGATTGTGTTTAAGTGCAGGCCAGGGTCTTTAGGCACTGCACCCAGTGTGCCGATCACCACTGGGACCACCTTTACTGGCTTGTGCCAGAGTCTTTGCAGTTGTTGTTGTTATTCATCATATTCTGTCAGCTTTTCCAGTTGTTTTTTTTTTTATTATTATTATTATTATTATTATTATTATTATTATTATTATTATTATGTCCAGGTGTCTGATTCATCTCTGAATATCGGGCTCTTCCCAAGGGCCTAGGATATTAGTGTATTAGGTATTATTATTATTATTATTATTATTATTATTATTATTATTATTATTTGATACACAACAGGATTAGTCCACAGCAAATAAGATCATTGTATTGATTCTTTTGTATCAGATCACACGTCAGACACTTCCCAAGTGTCTAGGACTGTGTGATGTATCGGCGAATAATGCTTGCAGATCCCAGTAAGGTGGCCTTCTGCAGCTGACAGGTGGTAATTTTGTTAGCACTGATTGTTTTTAGGTCTAGGCCAAGGTCTTTAAGCACTGCACCCAGTGTGCTGATCACCACTGGGACCCCCTTGACTGGTTGTGCAGAGTCTTTGCAGTTCGATCTTTAAATCCTCATATCGTGTCAGCTTTTACAGTTGTTTCTCGTCCATTCTTCCATCACCTGGAATAGCAACATCGGAGCTCCATACTTTGTTTCCCCCCCAAAATATAGTGAGGTCAGGAACCTCATGCTCCAAATCTCTGTTAGTGCCTTTCTGTTGACCCCTTCAGTACAGTGTGTTATTTTGTCCTCACAGACGCAGTACCGCCAAGTCATGGATTTCTTGAAGGAACTGGATCGGAAGGAAAGGCAGCTCAAGTTTCGACGGTGGAAGCCGAAGGTTGCCGTCTCCCAAAAGTACGGCTTCTGCCTCCATAACAGAATAACAATCCTCTTTATAATAATGTTTGCTTAACAAGAAGCAGTAGCGATGGGCCCATATTTGAGATCAGGTGGTCAGCATTGCCATCTTCCTTTCCTGTTCAAAGCTTCATTTCCCCCACTTGCAGACTCAGACTTATTTAGAACTGGCTTAGGTACGCGACGGTGCTCGGTTGAGAGATTTTGCAAGGATAGAAATACTCTTTGCTTGGTTTTGGATTTTACAAATGATCCCATTAGAAGGATGTAGGTAAACTACAACTCCCATCATCCTCTGTCATTGCTCTCTAAAACCCACCAGTATTTCTGTTGCGGCATACGTTACCCTGATTCATTTGAGTGCTTTAGTAGAAGGAAGAGAATGGAGACAGCATGTCGATTTCCAGGCTTTACTATCTCTGCAGAGTATAGGGTGAACAGCGAGCAAAGGGCTGTCACACCTTGAAGTCTCAATTGCTTCAGTATTTATAGCATAAAATCAGCTTTCCCGTACATGCGCAGTCAGTATCTGACATTTACTTAGTACGATGATTAACAGGTGTTCAAATATATAGTTGCCAAGAACATCTTTATCAAATCTGGCAAACGCTTTGTGAACTCAACATCTGCTGATTTATATAACATGTTTTCCATTAGGTGACTCTTAAAGTTCAAATCCTTAAATCTCTAATTGAATTATAACTTTCATATGTTTATAACAAGGCAATCTCCTTTAGTTAATTCAACTTTGAAAACTTCATTATAACTCATTCCTTAATATGAAAATCAATAGAAATCAATAGAATAATGCTTTCAGAAAATGCCTGCTATTTACATGAAGTGGTCAGAAGACGGCGCTCTCTCACTATATGACCTTAGATGTTCTGAGTCATGTTGACAGAATTAGATTGATAATATCGATCTCACACCAGAAGTGACTTGCAGTTTCTCAAGTCGCTCCTGACACAACCAAAAAACAATAATCTCACAAGTTTGTCAAGTTCCTCTGCTGGCCAACTTATCTAAGTAAACACTGGCTAGAATAAACACTGGCCAAGGCCCTGCCATTTTCAATGGAAAATCAGTACCGGCTGTTCTATTCTGAGGTCTTTAACAGGTTCTATTCTGAGGTGTTTCCCTTCTGAACAGTCAGATAGGATTTTAAGACTTATTTTAATTCTAAATTATTGTAATCTTCATTATTATTATTATATTTTCTCCTCACTGCTCCTACATTTCAAGTTGGTCATGTTGATTCCTAGAGTTGGAAGAGACCCCAAGGGCCATCCTGAGAGGGAGTGAGAGAGAGAGATAGGAAGACAGATAGATGGAGAGATAGCAAGATAGATACAGATTTGGATGGATGGATGGATGGATGGATGGATAGATAGATAGATAGTCCTAGAGTTTAAAGGAACCCCAAGGGCCATCCAATCCATCTTGTGTGTGAGAGAGGGAGAGACAGAGAGAAAGAGAGAGAGAGATAGGAAGACAGATAGAAAGATAGACAGATAGCAAGATAGATACAGATTTGGATGGATGGATGGATAGATAGATAGATAGATAGATAGATAGATAGATAGATAGATAGATAGATAGATAGATAGTTTGATAGATAGATAGATAGATAGATAGATAGATAGATAGATAGATAGATAGATAGATAGACCTAGAGTTGAAAGGGCCATCCAATCCATATTGTGTGTGTGTGAGAGAGAGACAGAGAGAAAGAGAGAGAGAGATAGGAAGACAGATAGAAAGATAGACAGATAGCAAGATAGATACAGATTTGGATGGATAGATAGATAGATAGATAGATAGATAGATAGTCATAGAGTTGAAAGGAACCCCAAGGACCATCCAATCCATCTTGTATGTGAGAGAGGGAGAGACAAAGAGAGAGAGATAGGAAGACAGATAGAAAGATAGACAGATAGCAAGATAGATACAGATTTGGATGGATGGATGGATAGAGAATAGGAATACAAGATAGATAGATAGATAGATAGATAGATAGATAGATAGATAGATAGATAGATAGATAGATAGGGATTAGGAATACAAGATGGATGGATAGATGGATAGACAGATAGGGAATAGGAATACAAGATAGATAGATAGATAGATAGATAGATAGATAGATAGATAGATAGATAGATGGATGGATAGGGAATAGGAATACAAGATAGATGGATGGATGGATGGATGGATGGATGGATGGATGGATGGATAGGGAATAGGAATACAGGATAGATAGATGTATGGATGGATGGATAGATAGATAGGGAATAGGAATACAAGATAGATGGATGGATGGATGGATAGGGAATAGGAATACAAGATAGATAGATGGATGGATGGATAGATAGGGAATAGGAATACAAGATAGATGGATGGATGGATGGGGAATAGGAATACAAGAAAGAAAGAAAGAAAGAAAGAAAGAAAGAAAGAAAGAAAGAAAGAAAGATAGATATATTCCTAGATATAGAAGGGACACCAAGGGCCATCCAGCCCAACACATAAGAACTAGATAGATAGATAATATATAATACTAGTAATAATAATACAATATTATAATTATAATTTTATATTTACATTACATGTAATATTACTAATAATTTGCAATATAATGGTATAATGCAATATAGTAATATATAATACTGATATTGTATTATGCTAATAATATAATATATTGTATGAAAATATATATTGTAAGCCGCTCCGAGTCCCCTTCGGGGTGAGAAGGGCGGCCTAGAAATGCCGTAAATAAATAGATGGATAGTTGAGCGTTTTCACAGAACTCTGGTATGGTGTTACAGTTACCATTGTGGTGCTTGTGGCCACTAGGTTGTCCCTTTGTCCTGCTGTCCATGGTTTTAACTTGAATATGTTTCAATGATTTTTAAAATACTGTTTATATTTAATTCTGTTTTAATGTTTGCATATTTGTATATTTTAAATTGTATACTAATGCTTTTATGTTAAGCTGCTTTGAGTCTCCTCCGGGAGGGATAAAGAGGAGTATAAAGAAATACAGTAGGAGCAATAATAATAATAATAATAATAATAGATCCTAGATTTGGAAGAGACCTCAATAGATGAAGTCCTAATTGTTTCTCTCAGCTAAAGTAAATGTATTCAGTCAGTAGGAGTATGTATTCAGATCACAGGAGCCGTCTTCATAGACCTGTCAGCAGCTTATGATACTGTGAACCACTGCCTCCTCCTGAGAAAAATGTATAATATCACAAAGGACTACCATCTCACCCGCCTCATAGGAAACATGCTACAAAACAGGAGCTTTTTTGTTGAGTTCCAGGGCCAGAGAAGCAGATGGCGGAAACAGAAGAACGGCCTGCCTCAGGGGAGCGTGCTTGCTCCATCCATGTTCAACGTTCATACAAATGACGAGCCACTGCCAGAAGGGACATAGAGTTTCATCTATGCTGATGATCGTGCCATTACTGCTCAAGCAGGGAGCTTTGAGATGGTAGAACAAAAGTTCTCCGAAGCACTAGGTGCTCTTATTGCCTATTACAGGGAAAACCAGCTGATCCCCAACCCATCTAAAACACAGACATGTGCCTTTCACCTTAAGAACAGACAAGCATCCAGAGTTCTGAGGATTTCCTGGGAAGGAATCCCACTGGAGCATTGCAGCGCACCCAAATACCTGGGAGTCACTCTGGACCGTGCTCTGACCTACAAGAAGCACTGCCTGAACATCAAGCAAAAAGTGGGCGCTAGAAACAATATTGTACGAAAGCTGACTGGCACAACCTGGGGATCACAACCAGACACAGTGAAGACATCTGCCCTTGCGCTATGCTACTCTGCTGCTGAGTACGCATGCCCAGTGTGGAACACATCTCACCACACTAAACAGTGGATGTGGCTCTTAATGAGACATGCTGCGCCCTACACCACTGGAGAAATTACACTGTTTAGCCGGTATTGCACCACCTGACATCCGCCGGGAAGTAGCAGCCAATAGTGAAAGGACCAAGGCAGTGACATCTCCAGCTCATCCCTTGTTTGGGTATCAGCCAGCACATCAACGACTTAAATCAAGAAATAGTTTTCTTAGATCTACAGAGACACTCGCTGGAACACCTCAGCAAGCGAGAGTCCAAAAGTGGCAGGCTCAAACCCAGCACCTCAACCAATGGCTGATACCAGATGAGAGACTCCCCCCTGGGCACAGAAGACTGGGCGACTTGGAAGGCACTGAACAGACTGTGCTCTGGCACCACGAGATGCAGAGCCAACCTCAAGAAATGGGGCCACAAAGTGGAATCCACGACATGCGAGTGTGGAGAAGAGCAAACTACTGACCACCTGCTGCAATGCAACCTGAGCCCTGCCACATGCACAATGGAGGACCTTCTTGCAGCAACACCAGAAGCACTCCAAGTGGCCAGATACTGGTCAAAGGACATTTAATCAACTACCAAGTTTGCAAAATTTGTGTGTTTTTAAAATCTGTTTGTTTGTTTTGTTCTGTTAGAAATGTAACACAGTGGTCTGGTTGCTGATGACATGATAAATAAGTCAGTAGGAACACAACACAATAAACAAATGCCAGCTTTGTGGATTGGGATTAAAAACTGGATTTAGGCCCAGGCTTGTATCCCACTCTTTCTCCAGGGTTCTTAAGGAATGCTGTGTGGTCAATTTCTCTATTTGAGATGTAATAAGGGAGGATTTGAACCCTGTCCTTTCCAGTCCCGTGTTGGCATTCCCATTATGTATTGGCTCTGCCGCATAGATGGAAGTCTAAAAAGTGCTCTCGGTGGGGAGCTTTCTTCTTCTGGAATCTGAAAACACCGTTCATTTGGGCTCTTCTTCCAGCTGCCGGGAGTGGTGGAGGTTTGTGCTGAACGCGCACCTTGCAGGGATCCGAGAGCGGCGGGAGCGGTCTTCCTGGGCATTTGCGCTGCATCGGGCCCGGGACGCCATTCTGTACACCGATCTCTACGGCAAGAAGTTGAAAGAGGTGGAGCTCTTCGAAGAGGAGCAGGTATTACGAGACGCCGGGGAGACAAAACCATCCTTTAAATGCAGAGGATAGGATAGAATAACTTTATTGTCACTGTCCATCCTATCACAAAAATGAATGCTCTCCGCAGTTGATAAACAGGTAGACGATCAAGAAAAACACAGGTGAAGAGATAGAGAGAGAATTAGATAAATGTATTGGTGAATGGATGGAGGGATGCATAGATAGGTAGATAGATAAAGACACAGATGAATAGAAAGGAAATCTATTGTTTACTATATTTGTATATCACTCTTCTCAGCCCTTGGACGACTCAGAGTAGTTAATTGATTGATGGATAGACAGAAAAAGGCACAGGTGAATAGACAGAGAAAAAGAAATCTATTGGTGAATGGATGGAGGGATCAGTGGATTGGTAGATAGAGAGACAGAGAAAGACAGGTGAAGAGGTAGAGCAATAGAGAGAAATGTATTGGTGAATAGATGAAGGGATGGATTGGTAGTAAGATAGATAGATATAGATGAATAGATAGATAAAGAGAAATGTATTGGTGAATGGATGAGTTGATGGATGGATGTATAGGCTGAGAAAGATGCAGGGGAATAGACAGAAAGAGAAAGAGAAATTTAATTGGTGGATGTATGGATAAATGATAAGATGGGTTGGTGGATAAATAGGTAGATGATAGAAAAAGACAGGTGAAGAGATAGATAAAGAGAGAAAGGGAGGCATGTATTGGTGAATTGATGGATTGGTAGGTAGATAGATAAAGACACAGGTGAATAGATAGATAGATAGATAGATAGATAGATAGATAGATAGAGAAAGAGAGCAATGTATAAGTGGATGGATGGATGGTCGGACGGACAGACAGTGAATTGATGGATTGGTGAATTGATGGATTGGTAGGTAGATAAAGACACAGGTGAATAGATAGATAGATGGAGAAAGAGAGCAATGTATAAGTGGATTGATGGATTGGATGGATGGACAGTTGGACAGACGAACAGTGAATTGATGGATTGGTAGGTAGATAAAGACACAGGTGAATAGATAGATAGACAGATAGATAGAGAAAGAGAGCAATGTATAAGTGGATGGATGGACAGTCGGACGGACAGTGAATTGATGGATTGGTGAATTGAGGGATTGGTAGGTAGATAAAGACAGGTGAATAGATAGATGGATAATAGACAGAGATAGATAAAGAGAGTAATGTATGTATGTATGGATGGATAGATAGAGCAATGTTGATGGTTGGATGGATGGTTGGATAGATAGAGCAATAGATGGTTGGATGGATGGATGGATGGATGGATGGATGGATGGATGGATAGATAGAGCAATATTGATGGTTGGATGGATGGTTGGATAGATAGAGCAATAGATGGATGGATGGATGGATGGATGGATAGAGCAATGTTGATGGTTGGATGGATGGTTGGATAGATAGAGCAATAGATGGATGGATGGATGGATGGATAGATAGAGCAATGTTGATGGTTGGATGGATGGTTGGATAGATAGAGCAATAGATGGTTGGATGGATGGATGGATGGATGGATGGATGGATAGATAGATAGATAGATAGAGCAATGTTGATGGTTGGATGGATGGTTGGATAGATAGAGCAATAGATGGATGGATGGATGGATGGATGGATGGATGGATAGATAGATAGAGCAATGTTGATGGTTGGATGGATGGTTGGATAGATAGAGCAATAGATGGATGGATGGATGGATGGATGGATGGATAGATAGATAGATAGAGCAATGTTGATGGTTGCTAGGAAAACAATAGATGGATGGATGGATGGATGGATAGATAGATAGATAGATAGATAGATAGATAGATAGATATGTTGATGGATGGATGGATGGATGGATGGATGGATGGATGGATGGATGGATGGATAGATAGATAGATAGATAGATAGATAGATAGATAGATAGACAATCTATTTGAGCAAGTCCATTGTTGTTGTTCATTCGTTTCTCCGACTCTTCGTGACCTCATGGACCAGCCCACGCCAGAGCTCCCTGTCGGCCGTCACCACCCCCAGCTCCTTCAAGGTCAGTCCAGTCACTTCAAGGATGCCATCCATCCATCTTGCCCTTGGTCGGCCTCTCTTCCTTTTGCCTTCCACTTTCCCCAGCATAATTGTCTTCTCTAGGCTTTGCTGTCTCCTCATGATGTGGCCAAAGTACTTCAACTTTGTCTCTAGTATCCTTCCCTCCAGTGAGCAGCCGGGCTTTATTTCCTGGAGGGATGGACTGGTTGGATCTTCTCGCAGTCCAAGGCACTCTCAGCACTTTCCTCCAACACCACCGCTCAAAAGCATCGATCTTCCTTCGCTCAGCCTTCCCTAAGGTCCAGCTCTCACATCCGTAGGTGACTACAGGGAATACCATGGCTTTGACTAGGCGGATCTTTGTTGCCAGTCTGATGTCTCTACTCTTTACTATTTTATCGAGATTGGACATTGCTCTCCTCCCAAGAAGTAAGCGTCTTCTGATTTCCTGGCACAGTCTGCATCTGCAGTAATCTTTGCACCTAGAAATAAAAAGTCTGTCACGGCCTCCACTTTTCTCCCTCTATTTTCCAGTTGTCAATCATTCTTGTTGCCATAATCTTGGTTTTTTTGATGTTTAGCTGCAACCCAGCTTTTGCGCTTTCTTCTTTCACCTTGATTAGAAGGCTCCTCAGCTCCTCCTCGCTTTCGGCCACCAGAGTGGTGTCATCTGCATATCTGAGGTTGTTAATGTTTCTTCCAGCAATTTTCACCCCAGCTTTGCATTCATCAAGCCCCGCACATCGCATGATGTGTTCTGCATACAAGTTAAAAAGGTTGGGTGAGAGGATGCAGCCTTGCCGGACGCCTTTCCCAATCTTGAACCCGTCTCCTGTTCCGTGGTCAGTTCTGACTGTGGCTACTTGGTCCTTGTACAGATTCCTCAGGAGAGAGGGAAGGGGGCTTGGGATGCCCATCCCACCAAGAACTTGCCACAATTTATTATGATCCACACAGTCAAAGGCTTTAGAATAGTCAATGAAGCAAAAATAGATGTTTTTCTGAAACTCCCTGCCTTTCTCCATTATCCAGCGGATATTGGCAATCTGGTCTCTCGTTCCTCTGCCTTCTCTAAACCCAGCTTGAACATCTGGCAACTCTCGCTCCATGTATTGCTGGAGTCTTCCTTGCAGGATCTTGAGCATTACCTTACTGGCATGAGAAATAAGGGCCACTGTACGGAAGTTTGAGCAGTCTTTCGTATTTCCCTTTTTTGGTATGGGGATATAAGTGGATTTTTTCCAGTCTGATGGCCATTCTTGTGTTTTCCATATTTGCTGGCATATGGCATGGATCACCTTGACAGCATCTTTTAAGATTTTAAACAGTTCAGCTGGGATCCCGTCGTCTCCTGCTGCCTTGTTGTTAGCAATGCTTCTTAAGGCCCATTCAACCTCACTCCTCAGGATGTCTGGTTCTAATTCATTCACCACACCGTCAAAACTATCCTCGATATTATTATCCTTCCTATACAGATCTTCTGTATAGTCTCGCCACCTTCTCTTGATCTCTTCAGCTTCTGTTAGGCCCCTGCCATCTTTGTTTCTTATCATACCAATTTTTGCCTGAAATTTACCTCCAATGTTTCTAATTTTCTGGAAGAGGTCTCTTGTCCTTCCTATTCTGTTGTCTTCTTCCACTTCCATGCATTGGATTGGTAGGTAGATAGATAAAGAAACAGGTGAATAGATAGATAGATAGATAGATAGATAGATAGATAGATAGATAGATAGATAGAGAAAGAGAGCAATGTATAAGTGGATGGATGGATTGGATGGATGGATGGTCAGACGGACGGACAGTGAATTGATGGTTTGGTGAATTGATGGATTGGTAAGTAGATAAAGACACAGGTGAATAGATAGATGGATAATAGACAGTGATAGATAAAGAGAGCAATATATAGATGGATGGATGGATGGATGGATAGATAGAGCAATGTTGATGGATGGATGGTTGGATAGATAGAGCAATAGATGGTTGGATGGATGGATGGATGGATGGATGGATAGAGAAAGAGAGCAGTGTATAGGTGGATGAATTGAATGGATGTATGGATAGATAGATAGAGCAATGTATAGGTGGGTGGGTGGATGGATACATAGATGGATGGATAAAGAAAGAGAGCAATGTATAGGTCAATGGATTGGATGAATATTATATACTAGCTTGGGGACCCGGCGTTGCCCGGGTTATTAGAGAAAGTGGGTAATGGCGGTTCTGTATGCCAAGTTTGGTCTTTATTGGTCTTTGGATAATGGCAGCATTATTTTCAGGAAGTGAGTGAAGGTACTGGAAGTCCCATCATCCAAAGTCCATCCCCTTTCAAACTGCAGCAGGATGTAGAGTGGATCATGGGGGCTCTGTGTGCCAAGTGTGGTCTTGATTGGTCATTAGAAGAGGGTTGCAGCAATCTTTGGAAGGGAGTGGAGGTACTTGAAGTCCCATCATCCATGGTCTGTCCTCCTCCAAACTGCACCAGGATGTAGAGTGGGTCTTTGGAGCTCCATGTGGCAAGTTTAGTCTTGATTAGTCACTGGCGAGGGTCTCAGTGGTCTCAGGAAATGAGCAAAGGTACTGCAAGTCCCATCATCCATCTCCAAAGTTTTCCAAATAACACCAGGACGTAAAGTGGGTCATGAGAGGTCTATGTGCCAAGTTTGGTGTTGATCCGTCATTGGATGAGGTTTGCAGAGGTCTCAGAATGTGAGTGAAGGTACTGGAAGTTCCATCATCCATGGTCCACCCTTCTCCAAAACTGCAGCAGGATGTAGAGTGGGTCATGGGGGCTCTGTGTGCCAACTTTGGTCTTGATTGGTCATTAGATGAGTTTTGCAGCAGTCTTGGGTAGTGGAGGTACTTGAAGTCCCATCATCCATGGTCTGTCGTCCTCCAAACTGCTCCAGGATGTAGAGTGGGTCATTGAAGTTCCATGTGCCAAGTTTAGTCTTGATGAGTCATTGGCGAGGGTCTCAGTGGTCTCAGGAAGAGAGAGAGGGGGGGAAGCAGGCAGGCAGGTGAATAGATAGAAAGGTAGAGAAAGGGGAACAGGTATTGTGAGACATCGGGGAAACAAACCCGTCTTGGCAAAGAAGGGATGTCATCGTTCCCTCCTTTGAGGACGGAAAGAGTGACTCCACCATTCTCATCTTTCTTCTCATATGTGATTTTCATTTTTGCCTGTCTTTTTCTTTGGAAAGACTGTCGGGAATATTTTGTGAACCTTCAAAATGTTCTTTAACCCGTTTCCAGTGGGATAGAGTATTTGAGGGTCCATCGTTCAGGTTAAATTGGGCGCCAAGACTATATTGATGCCCAAGGCCCCGTTTGCTTCCCCATTAAGACTAGGAATCGAGGAGATTAAAAAACAATTAAAGGAGAAAGAAGTAGATACGACACCAGTACTGGGTTTTTGTAATAACTAAAAGGGGAAAAAGTGGAAACATCACATATGCTCGGCATTCACAGTCAACAGTGGCGGGTGGAGGTAGTATCAAGCATCCAGATGTTACGCTATGCACGCAGGAATCCCATTGCATCTTGCACAATTTCCCTGACTCCTCACCCAGTGTTTTGCTTTGGTCCTTCCAAGGATGAAATGGAGCGCATCGAGGACGAGCAAACCTTCGAAGAGCTGAAGATCTTGCGTGAAATCGTTTACAAGAAGATCCGAGAGTTGGCCGAGGTGGGACTCTTTGTCAGTTAAAACAGCGAAATGAAATTAATATAACACTATGCAACATGATTTTTGTTCTTGGGTGAAATGTCATTATTTCCTAATTGTTTCTATCATAAAAATGAGAAACGTTGATGTCTTTTGTTTGATGTCTTTTTTGTGTACTTTAATATGTATTTTATAGAAATGGCGTTTTAATGTGAATCTTGTCAGAGATTGGCGATCCCCAACGGAAGGAAGGCTAGATCAAGCAGACACTGAGTTGCAAAATAAGGACTCTGCAGGCTTTGAGTTACAAAAGAAACTAAGTTTACTAAGTACATACATCAGACACGTCTTTCTACAGCGAGCTACAATTCAGGAAAAACACAAAGAACTAATCAAAACCGAAGGCCTCTACACATCTGCTTATCTTCTCTTGCTGAGACTGACAACTCCCTTCTGTTCTCAGCAAGAACAAACCTTATCTTACTTTCTCAAGTTCACTTAATCACAGCTTCAAAGTATAAACATTTCTGCATGGCATTTTCAATTCACAGTGGCATCCATCTTGGCAATACATAGAAGCACATTGAAAAACACATACATAACTAAATTAATCCTGACAAATCTTTTCTAGAAATTTATATATTTGTTGGCTATTCGCAATGTTTGTGTTGTTTACTTGTATTGTAACCTGCCTCGAGCTGCAGGGAGAGGCGGGTAAGAAATTAAATTGTTGTTGTTGTTGTTGGAGAGGCGAGGAAGAAATTAAATTGTTGTTGTTGTTGGAGAGGCAAATAAGAAATTAAATTGTTGTTGTAGTGTTGAAGGCTTTCATGGCTGGAATCACTCAGTTCTTGTGGGTTTTTTCGGGCTATATGGCCATGTTCTAGAGGCATTTCTCCTATTTCCAACAGACCTCACTCCCTCTGAGGATGCTTGCCATAGATGCAGGCGAAACGTCAGGAGAAATGCCTCTAGAACATGGCCATATAGCCCGAAAAAACCCACAAGAACTTAGTAATTTGTTAGTTGTTTGCCACCTTGATTAAAGATGACGGGAAATAATGTGTTGGAGAGATGGGTAAGAAATTAAATGGTGGTTGTTGGAGAGGCGGGTAAGAAATTAAATTGTTGTTGGAGAGGCGGGTAAGAAATTAAATTGTTGTTGGAGAGGCGGGTAAGAAATTAAATTGTTGTTGGAGAGGCGGGTAAGAAATTAAATTGTTGTTGTTGGAGAGGCGGGTAAGAAGTTAAATTGTTGTTAGAGACGGGTAAGAAATTAAATTGTTGTTATTGGAGAGATGGGGAAAAATTGTTGTTGGAGAGATGGGTAAGAAATTAAATTGTTGTTGGAGAGGCGGGTAAGAAATTAAATTGTTGTTGGAGAGGCGGGTAAGAAATTAAATTGTTGTTGTTGGAGAGGTGGGGAAAAATTGTTGTTGGAGAGATGGGTAAGAAATTAAATTGTTGTTGGAGAGGCGGGTAAGAAATTAAATTGTTGTTGTTGAAGAAGCGGGTAAGAAATTGAATTGTTGTTGTTGGAGAGGCGGGTAAGAAGTTAAATTGTTCTTATTGGGGAGATGGGGAAAATTAAATTGTTGGAGAGGCGGGTAAGAAATTTGTTATTGGAGAGATGGGGAAAAATTAAATTGTTGTTGGAGAGGCGGGTAAGAAATTGTTGTTAAAAACAGGTAAGAAATTAAATTGTTATTGTTGGAGAGATGGGTAAGAAATTAAATTGTTGTTGGAGAGGCGGATAATAAATTAAATTGTTATTGTTGGAGAGACGGGTAAGAAATTAAATTGTTGGAGAGGCGGGTATGAAATTAAATTGTTGTTATTGGAGAGACGGGTAAGAAATTAAATGGTTGTTGTTGTTGGAGAGGCGGGTAAGAAATGAAATTGTTGTTGGAGGAACGGGTAAGAAATGAAATTGTTGGAGAGGCGGGTAAGAAATGAAATTGTTGTTGGAGGAACGGGTAAGAAATGAAATTGTTGGAGAGGCGGGTAAGAAATTAAATTGTTGTTGGAGAGGCGGGTAAGAAATTAAATTGTTGTTCGAGAAGCGGGTAAGAAATTGAATTGTTGGAGAGATGGGTAAGAAATTAAATTGTTATTGGAGAGATGGGTAAGAAATTAAATTCTTGTTGTTGGAGAGGTGGGTAAGAAATTAAATTGTTGTTATTGGAAAGATTGGTAAGAAATTAAATTGTTGTTATTGGAAAGGCAGATAAGAAATTAAATAGTTGTTGGATAGATGGGTAAGAAATTAAATAGTTGTTGTTGGAGAGACGGGTAAGAAATTAAATAGTTGTTGGAGAGATGGGTAAGAAATTGAATTGTTGTTGGAGAGATGGGTAAGAAATTAAATTGTTATTGGAGAGATGGGTAAGAAATTAAATTCTTGTTGTTGGAGAGGTGGGTAAGAAATTAAATTGTTGTTGGAAAGGCAGATAAGAAATTAAATTGTTGTTATTGGAAAGATTGGTAAGAAATTAAATTGTTGTTATTGGAAAGATTGGTAAGAAATTAAATTGTTGTTATTGGAAAGATTGGTAAGAAATTAAATTGTTGTTGTTGGAGAGACGGGTAAGAAATTAAATAGTTGTTGGAGAGATGGGTAAGAAATTAAATTGTTGTTGTTGGAGGGACGGATAAGAAATTACATTGTTGTTGGAGAGACGGGTAAGAAATTAAATTGTTGTTGTTGTTGGAGAGACGGGTAAGAAATTAAATTGTTGAAGAGGCGGGTATGAAATTAAATTGTTGTTGTTATTGGAGAGACGGATAAGAAATTAAATGGTTGTTGATGTTGGAGAGGCGGGTAAGAAATTAAATCATTGTTGTTGGAGAAACGGGTAAGAAATTAAATGGTTGTTGTCATTATTATTATTATTATTATTATTATTATTATTATTATTGATTAAACTGCCTAAACTTTGTTTTTGTGGGAGGGACATCCTCTTATAGCACATTATGCTCTACTTTTTCAGTGAGTATCTCATCATAGAGTAGGACAACTAACTTCAAAATAACACTTTCAAACCAAGAACTGCAAAATCGTTCAGATCGTTTGATTGCCCACCCTGCTCTCCCAACTTGAGTCTGATGCATTTGGCTTAGGAGAATGTCGGTGTGCTTCTTCCTTTCCCGCAGAGCATCAAGGAGCCCTTGTCGGACGCCTTGGAGGCCGAGTCGGAGGCGGAATTGGCCTCGGCCGCCACCAGCAGTGGGAGCAGGAGTGGGATGCTGCAGTACCTCCAGTCCTGGTTCCCCGGATGGGGAGGGTGGTACGGGGAGTCCCCGGGGGGAGCCATGGACGCGGCTGACACCTTCGAGGAGCTGCTCTCCGAAACGTCGGAGAAGTGGAGGCCGGAAGAGGCAGCCGGTATGGGGCGCATCGGGGCCCGTGGGTGGAGAAGCGGGGGTCCTGCAGGGGGAGGAGCTAGCCAACTATCTATCGATTGATTGATCGATTAGTATCTGTCTGTCTATCTGTCAGTCAGGCCCGTAGCCAGGATTTTGTTTCGGGGGGAGCTGAGTTTGATTCGGGAGGGGGGGCTGAGTCTGAGTGAAAGAGGGTCTACCCTAGCAAACCTTTTGTATCATTACCTCAATACCCCCATGCATATGGGATATATTGAGCATGGTGATCAGATCATGATATGAATAAACATAACAGTTTAAATAATGTACCAGTAAGGCCTTCTCGCGGACCACCATGAGAATTTCGGGGGGGGGGGGGCTAAAGCCCCCCAAGGGCCCCCCCCCGGCTACATGCCTGCTGTCAGTCTATCTCTCAGTATATCTTATTTATCTGTCAATCTATTTATCCATTTGTCAATCTGTCTCTCTCCCTCTGTCATTCTATCTATCTGTCTGTCAGTCTATCTGTCTATCTAATAATAATAATAATAATAATAATAATAATAATAAACCTTTCGTTATACCCCGCTACGGTGGCGCTGGGTTAAAGCACTGAGCTGCTGAGCTTGTTGATCGAAAGGTCGCAGGTTTGATTCCGGGGAGCGGCGTGAGCTTCCGCTGTCAGTCCTAGCTTCTGCCAACCTAGCAGTTCGAAAACATGCAAATGTGAGTAGATAAATAGGTACCGCTCCGGTAACGGCGCTCCATGCAGTCATGCCGGCCACATGACCTTGGAGGTGTCTACGGATAACGCTGCCTCTTCGGCTTAGAAATGGAGATGAGCACCACACCCCAGAGTCAGACATGACTGGACTTAATGTCAGGGGACTACCTTTACCTTTTTACCATCTCCCGCAGGACTTGGTGCGGCTTACAAGAGGCTGAGCCCAAATACATCAATAAAACAACAACGACAACAATACAACAATAAATAAACTCATAAACAAAGCAAAAACAATAACAATAATTCAGTCTATCTGTCAGTGAGTGTCTGTTTGTCTTTCTGTCTGTCAATGTATCTGTCTGTCAGTCTGTCTGTCTAACTATTGATCTATCTGTCTGTCTGTCAGTGAATCTGTCAGTCTATCTGTCTGTCTATCTGTCTATCAGTCTGTCTAACTAACTGTCAGTCTGTCAGTCATTCTGTCTGTCTGCCCATCTAAGTATCTGTTTGTCAGTCTATCTGTCAGTCAGTCTATCTGTCTGACTATCTAACTGTCTGTCAGTCTCTGTCAGTCTATCTGTCAGTCTTTCTGTCTGTCTTTCTGTCTGTCAGATAGATAAACTGTCAGCCAGCCTATTTATCAGTCAGTCAGTCAGTCAGTCAGTCTGTCAATCTGTCAGCCTATCTGTCTGCCAGTCAGTTTATCTATCTGTCAGTCTAGCTATCTCTCAATCATTATTTATTTATTTACAGTATTCATATTCCGCCCTTCTCACACCGCAGGGGACTCAGGGCGGATTACAATGTACACATATATGGCAAACATTCAATGCCAATTAGACATACAACGTATATAGACATACACAGAGGCTATTTAACTTTTTCTGGCCGCCAGGGGAGCTGTCGCTTTCATCGTCCATCTGCAACACTGATGAAGCACTTCCGCATTCCCCGCATGCTTCCCTGCTGGAGTGCTTTGCTGGAGTCTTTTTATGGCCTCATAAATTAGTTAATTAGCCTCCCCACACATAGGTGGTACCTAATTTTCCTACTTGACAGATGCAACTGTCTTTCGGGTTGCAAAGGTCGACAACAAGCTAACACAAAATTGGCCGGAAGCTCACTCCGACCCGGGCTGGCTTCAAACTCATGACCTTCTGGTCAGAGTTATCTTAATGCAGCTGACACTCAGCCAGCTGCGCCACAATCCCTGTCACTCTGTCTACTTCTTTGTCTATCTAACTACCTATCTGTCAGTAATTCTATCTGTCAGTCTGTCTATTGATCTATCTATCTGTCAGTCTATCAGTCAATCTATCTATCTGACAGTCTATCTGTCAATCTGTCGTCAGTCTGATTATATCTGTCTGTTTGTCTATCTGTCAGACTATCTGTTTATCTATCTATTGGTCAGTTAATCTGTATATCTATCTGTCAGTCTATTGATCTATCTGTCTGTCTATCGATCTATCTATCTATCCATCAGTCTGTCTATCTATTTGCCAGTCGATTTATCTGTCAGCTTCTCAAGAGCTGTCATAGTGTCAGTGGTTTGAGTGTTGGACTAGAACTCAAAAAATATTTACAACCCTATAATGAGACTTTGAGTCTCCTTATGGAGAGAAAAAACTGGGTATAAATACACACAATAATAATAATAATAATAATAATAATAATAATAATAATAAATAGACCCCAAAGGCCATCCAGTCCAAACCCCTAAGAATTAGATAAATGATAGATAAATAGGTGATTGTTCGATAGATGATAGATAGAGAACACGACTCTAGTGGATTTACAGGCAGCATATTTAGCTGCCAAATAGCGATTGTGCTGCAATGTCAGACAGCGAATTTGCTCCCCCATGTTTCCAGATTTCACCCCACCACACAACGTTTATGTCTCATTCTCTGCTTTTTTTTACTTCCATTTGAAATAGATGAGCTCTTTGACCCCACGGCCGACGTCTCCAACCTGAACGCCTTCCTGAAGCGGGACCACGTCTTGGCCAAGCTGAACCTCCAGCTCCAGGGCGGCTCCGTCACTTTGCTGCACGCCGACGATAGCGCCTTCATGCAGCTGGAGTTTGCCGGTATGAAAACTTGTACTCCCATTTCAGCCCATTTGAATAGTACCATCAAGAGCATCCTGGGATTTTTTGTTAGCCGTGTTTGATTGTATTGCCTTACCAGCTTTTGAGTTGCAAACCGGGGGAGTGGGGGTGGGTGGGTGGGGGGGGGGGGAAGGAAGGACATAAATGAATCAATCTCCCTATAGAAACAATGTAAAGTATATATATTTGTCCATCCACCTGTACTTGTTGCTGGTCCATCCACCTGTACTTGGGCTCCTTAAGAAATTCTCCTTCCTTCTTTTTCCTCTTTCTTTCCTTCCCTCCCTCCCTCCTCTTTTCTTTTTCCTTCTTTTTCCTCCTCCTTTCCTTTCTCCCTTCTCCAGCTCTTGAGAGGACATCTCTCACAATGAATCCAGGGCAACATAGCTCCCTTTGTGGCTCTTTTCTTTTTTTACTTTCCTTCCTTCCTCCTTCCCCTTCCCTTCCTTCTACCTTTCCTCCCTCCTTCCCTTATTCCCTTCGCTTCACTTCCCCACCTTTTCCCCTTCCTTCCTTCCTTCCTTCCTTCCTTCCTTCCTTCCTTCCTTCCTCCTTCCTTCTTTCCTTCTTTCCTTCCTCCCTCCCTTTCTGTCTTCCTTCTTTTACTTTCTCCTTCCTTCCTTCCTTCCCTCCCTTCCTTCCTTCCTTCCTTCCTTCCTTCCTTCCTTCCTTCCTTTCCTTCCTCCCTTCCTCCCTCCCTTCCCTCCCTCCCTCCTCCTCCCTTCCTTCTCTTCCTTCTCCTCCCTCCCTTCCTCTCCCCTTCCTTCCCTCCTTCCTTCTCTTTCTTCCTTCTTCCTTCCCTCCCTTCCTTCCTTCCTCCTTTTTCCTTCCTTCTCTCCTTCCTTCCCCTCCTTCCTCCCCTTCCTTCTTCCTTTCCTTCCTTCCTTCCTCTCTTCCTTCTCTTCCCTCCCCTTCCTTCCTTCCTTCCCTTTCTTCTCCTTCCTCCCTTCCTTCATCCCTTCCTTCCTCCCCACCTTCCTTTCTCTTTCTTCCACTTCCCTCCCTTCTCTCTTCTTTTTTTTCCCCCCTCCTTTTCCCCTTCCTTCCTTCCTTATTCCCTTCCCTCCTTCCTGTGACATCACAGAGGGCCACTCCACCTCGCCACAGCTTTTGTGGTCCAAAACAGACTTTGACTTATGTGGATTGATCGAGAAATCACCATGAAGTCGAAGGCACTGTCTCACTCCAAACGCCCACCAGTGTCAGAAGTTCTCTTTCCTGCTGCTTTGCCCATACGATAAAAGGCAATACGTAGATGACGTTTGCGCCTCTTTGTTGTTTACTTCCCAGGCGTCACCATCTTGGCGGAAACTCTCCCGCGCAGGAACTCCTCCCTTTTCAGGGTCCAGCTTGGCAGCCTCTTCCTTCGTGACTTGGCCACCGAAGGCACCATCTTCCCCGTCCTCGTCTTCCCCAACCCCGTACGTTGTTGAGTTGCATCGATACACGGCTTTGGACGAGTGCTGAACTGGGATTTGAAATGCATTATATGGTTGATGTTATAAGAATTGATCTTATAAGAATATTGATAAAATTATCTGAATTAACAAAATTAATTAATATTATGATTTAATAGTAACATTAACATGGATACAGTTATCTCAGTTAATATTAATTTTATTAAGTAATAATATTAGCATTGATAAAATTATATTAATTAATAAAAATTAATTATTATGGTTAATAATAAATAATATTAATATTGATAAAAGAATTGATAAAATAATAAGTAATTATTTCTTGATTTTGTTCTTTTTAGCAAAAAGAGGTTGGTTGCGCCTCTTCCATCGGCCTGCAGGCTTCCTCTTCAGATGCAAATAAGCAGAGCACTGGTAAGTCTTTGCATTTTTGCAAATATAATAGCATATATATATATATATATATATATATATATATATATATACATACATACATACATACATACATACATACACACACACACACACACACACACACACACACACACACACATATACACACACGCAAACACACACACACATTTATTTATTTATTTGCAAGATTTATATGCTGCCCTTCTCACCCTGAAGGGGAATCACAGTGGCTTACCAGATACATATCCATACAATATATTAAATTATTAGCATAGTACAATATCAGTATTGTATCTTACTATATTGTACTATACCATTATATTGTAATATTATGAGTAATATTACATGTAATATAAAATATCTAATTATAATATCGTATTATTATTAGTGGTATTATATTGTATTACATTATAATATTATAAATATTATATGTATATACAATATTATCATATATTATTAGTAAAGCACATACACCAATATTGCCGTCCCCTTGTCTTGGGATGCTTTTATCTAACTGTTGTGGGGTTATTTCATATAGTCCAAATTTGCTTGTTTATATATGTTTTGTGATGTCTGTTTGTACTCTGCTTTGACTCAGCCGCTGATCCCACCGTCCCAGTTTTCGAGATGTTGTATGAGAGGAATCCCGTCCGCAGCCATTTTGAGCGGCGCCTGGAAGTCAGCACCCAACCACTGAATATTATTTATAACCCGCAAGCCATTCGCAAAGTGGCCGATTTCTTCTACAAGGGAAGGGTTCACACCTCAGGTTGTTTACATTCCCTTTCTCATATTTTTTTTAACCCTGCCCTGCCTGCATGCATTTTATTTTTCTGTTTCCCTTAATGTATGGCTTGGAAATACAACAATAGCTATGTCAGTCGATATTGACTTTGGTAATAATATTATAATGTAATACAATATAATAATAATAATAATAATAATAATAATAATAATAATAATAATATATTTTATATTACATGTAATATTACTAATAATGCTACAAAATAATGGTATAGTACAATAATGTAATATACAATGCTGACCTTGTACTATGCTAAAAATATAATATATTGTATGTATATATTTATGTATAATAATACAGTATTATTATATATTTTATATTACATGTAATATTACTAATAACGTTACAATATAATGGTATAGTACAATATAGTAATATACAATATTGACCTTGTACTATGCTAAAAATATAATATATTGTATGTATATATTTATTATTTATTTATTTACGACATTTATATAATATATTGTATTTACATTTTACTTGTGAGCCGCTCAGAGTCCCCTTCAGGATGAGTCACCCCTAAGGGGACTCAAAGCGGCTCACAAGTAAAATGTAAATACAATATATTATATTATTACCATAGCACAATATTAATATTATATATGGCATTGTACTATAACATTATACTGTAATATTATTAGTAATATAACATGTAATATAAAATATATAATTATGATATATTTTTATCAGTAGAATTATATTGTATTACATTATAATATTATTAATATTATATGTATATACAATATATTATATTATATTAATTATATTATAAGGACAGTGCAGGAGACAAGATGGAACTGTCTTCCTGGCCCCTCTCTTCACTCTGATATTAGAGCTGCAGTTGGTGCTGGAGGGGGGGCTCCCAACTGATGATACTGGAGGCGAGATGGAACTGTCTTCTTGGCCCCTCTCTTCACTCTGATATTAAAGCAGCAGTTGGTGCTGGAGGGGGGGCTCCCAACTGATGATACTGGAGGCGAGATGGAACTGTCTTCCTGGCCCCTCTCTTCACTCTGATATCAGAGCAGTGGTTCGTGCTGGAGGGGGGGGGGGCTCCCAACTGATGATACTGGAGGCAAGATGGGACTGTCTTCCTGGCTCCTCTCTTCACTCTGATATTAAAGCATCAGTTGGTGGTGGGGGGGGGGCTCCCAACTGATGATACTAGAGGCAAGGTGGAACTGTCTTCCTGGCCCCTCTCTTCACTCTGATATCAGAGCAGCGGTTGGTGCTGGAGGGGGCGGGGGCTCCCAACTGATGATACTGGAGGCAAGATGGACAGTCTTCCTGGCCCCTCTCTTCACTCTGATCTCAGAGTAGCGGTTGGTGCTGGAGGGGGCGGGGGCTCCCAATTGATGATACTGGAGGCAAGATGGAACTGTCTTCCTGGCCCCTCGCTTCACTCTGATATCAGAGCAGCGGTTGGTGCTGGAGGGGGCGGGGACTCCCAACTSATGATACTGGAGGCAAGATGGAACWGTCTTCCTGGCCCCTCTCTTCACTCTAATCTCAGAGCAGCAGTTGGTGCTGGGGGGGCGGGGGCTCCCAATTGATGATACTGGAGGCAAGATGGAACTGTCTTCCTGCCCCTCTCTTCACTCTGATATCAGAGCAGCGGTTGGTGCTGGGGGGTGTGTGTGCTCCCAACTGATGTAAGCCGCTCTGAAACCCCTTCGAGGTGAGAAGGGCGGCATATAAATGTTGTGTATAAATAAATAAATAAATAAATATATATTTTTAGTAGTTTCAATGTTTAATTCTATTTTAACGCCTGCACATTTTTTTAAGGTTTCGGATGCCAGTCCGAACTGGAGTTGCGAGTAGCGGAAGCCGCGCGGAGGCAGTACAACAAGCTGAAAATGCAGACCAAAGCGGAAATCCGGCAAACCATCGACCGTTTGCTTGTGGGGGATTTCATTGTAAGTGAACGGGAGGGAATGACGACTTGGTCCTTTCACAAAACCGTGTGTGGAAATCTTCAAACTCCGCTGTGCAAAAAGGAGGGCCAACATGTTGGACGGTTGTGCCATACAACAGATAGGTGCTGCTGTTGAGAAATACCCCAAAACGGACTTCTGCGTGTTAGATGTTCACCTACAGCAGTGGTTCTCCACCTTCTTAATGAGTTCCTCAGGTTGTGGTGACCCCCAACCATAACATTTTCGTTGCTACTTCATAACTGTAATTTTGCTGCTGTTATGAATCATCATGTAAATATCTGAAATCCCAGTAACTACAACTCCCAAATGTCAAGGTCTATTTCCCCCAAACATTATCTGTCTTCATATTTGGGCATATGGAATATTTGTGCCAAGTTTGATCCAGATCCATCATTGTTTGAGTCCACAGTGCTCTCTGGATGTAGGTGAACTACAACTCCCAAACTCAAGGTCAATGCCCACCAAACCCTTCCAGTATTTTCTGTTGGACATGGGAGTCCTGTGTGCCATGTTTGGTTCAATTCCACCATTGGTGGAGTTCAGAATGCTCTTTGATTGTAAGTAAACTATAAATCCTAGCAACTGCAACTCCCAGATGACAAAATTAAATATATTTTTGAGTGATGGTCACTCATTGGGTTAGTAGGTGTCTTGTGGCCAACCTCCTCTGCTAAAAGGGTTCCTAAGACTAACAGAAATACGTGTTTTCTGATGGTGTTTGGCGACCCCTCTACACCCCATCACAACCCCCCTCAGGGGTCCTGACTTCCAGGTTGAGAAATGCTGACCTACAGTTTGAGTAGATCTATATAAATAAAAATGTAATGTTCGTTTGTGCTATTCACAGAACTCAGAAACCACTGGGGCAATTGACACCAAATTTGGACACTATGTCCCTAACAACCCAATGTATGTTCTCCACTCAAAAAAAAAAAAAACAATGAAAACCAAAAGCAGAAAGGACTTCTAAACTGCATGTCCACAAAGGAGAAACTGCATGTCTACCGAGACCCATGGCCACGACCCCCTCCTCCTTCTTGCGGGGAAACAGCCGGCCGTTAAACCCAGGCGCACATGCACGGCCACACACTCGCAGACAATCGAGTGGAGTGGAGGTGGAGGCTTGCCGCATGCAGCCCCTTCTCTTCCCCTCCTATGTCAGGAGAGCAGTCTCCTCCTTTCCCTGTTGGAAAGTGCCAGCAGAAGCAACCGAGTGCTCCACGCAAGGAAGAAGGGGAGGAGGAGGAGGAGGAGGAGGGGGAGGCGAGGAATGTCCACGGTGCTTGAATGAAGGACCTTCCTTCTCTCCCTCCCTTCCCTTCTTTCCTCCCTTTCCTTTTCTTTTTTCCTTCTCCTTCTTTCCCTCGTTCCCTTTCTTCCTGTCCCTTTCCTTTCTCCTTTCCTTCTTTTCCTCCCTCCCTCCCTTTCCTCCTTCTTTCCCTTTCTTCATTTCCTTCCCCTTCATTTCCTTCCCTCCCTCCTTTCTTCATCCCCCTCCTTTCTTTCCCTCCTTCCTTCCTCCTTCCTTCCTTCCTCCCTCCCTTCCTGTCCCTCCTTCTTTCTTTTCCTTCCTTCCTGTCCCTCCTTCCTTTCTTCCTTCCTGTCCCTCCTTCCTTCTCCTTTTCCTTCTTTTCCTCCCTCCCTCCCTTTCCTCCTTCTTTCCCTTTCTTCATTTCCTTCCCCTTCATTTCCTTCCCTCCCTCCTTTCTTCATCCCCCTCCTTTCTTTCCCCTCCTTCCTTCCTCCTTCCTTCCTTCTCCTTCCTTCCTCCCTCCCTTCCTGTCCCTCCTTCTTTCTTTTCCTTCCTTCCTTCCCTCCCTCCCTTCCTTTTTCCTTCCTTCCTTCCTGTCCCTCCTTCCTCCCTCCTTCCTTTCCTTCTTTCTATGTAAGATATAAATACAATATTAAATGGAAGGGACAGTCAAGAAGTAACGAGAGAAGGAGGGAAAGAGGGAAGGAAGGAAGGAGAGAAGGAGGGAGGGAAAGAAGGAAAAGAAAGATAGAGAAGCAAGGAAGGAGAGAAGGAAATAAAAAAGTGAAAGGAAAAAGAGAGGGAAGGAAGGAGAGAAGGAACGAAAGATAGGGAAGGAAGGAAGGATGTAACCAAAGAGCAAAGAAAGGGAGGAAAGAAACAGGTAGAGATGGAAGAAAGATGAGAGATAGGGAAAGAAAAAGAGGAAAGGAAGGAAAGAGGGAAGGGAGGAGAGAAAGAGGGAGGGAAGGTTGGCCACAGCAACGCGTGGCGGGTACAGCTAGTGTAAAATAAGGATGGTTTCCAGCACGCACATCAGATTGAAGAATGTTTGGAATCCATTTTTTAGATCTTTAGAAAGGTGATGTTTTCGGAGTGGGATGCGTGCCTACTCAATCCAGGCACAGAACTTGCGTTTTTGAAAAAAGGTATTCACTCTCTTTCCAGGAAGACAGCAAACGCTGGACGGTGTGCCTGGACATCTCCGCCCCGCAAGTCATCTTCCCTGACGATTTCAAATTTGCTGACCCAGTTTTGGTTGTGATTGACTTGGGGAGAATGCTGCTTACCAATTCTCAAGGTACGGGGAGGAAGGCGGAAAGTTGGAGTTGTGGGTGATCTTTTTTTAATGACCTCTTCTCATTCTGTTTATAGAGGAGCACAAAAAGAAGAGTTCGGGCGGCCCCTCCTCGGAGCTGAGCGACTTCAGCGACGACGAGTACAAGACGCCTCTCGCCACCCCTCCCAGCAGCCCCCCTCCCGAATCCACGGAGAACAAGGAGTTTGACTTTGCAGGGGTCGAAATCAGTGAAGAGCAGCTCCAGGCTCACCTGATGAGCAAAAAAATGTACGACACTTACAACCTGTCCTTCATGGACCTTCAGATCATGGTCGGGCGTGTGAGGGACAACTGGAAGTACGCACAAGACATCGCGGTCGGCCCCACCCACGTGGTGGAGAAATTCAACGTCCACTTACAGCTGGAGCGGAGGTTGATTTACACGTCGGACCCCAAGTACCCCGGAGCGGTCCTGTCGGGGCACTTGCCGGACCTGAAGATTCACATCAACGAGGATAAAATCGTGGCGCTGAGCAATTGCTTCGGGAGGCTGAGCGCGTCCGACTCTGGGACCTCGAGTCCTTCTCAGGCCAGGAAGGAGGCCAGCTCTGCTGAGCTGGACCAACGGGGAAGCTTGCACAGCTCTGTGATGAACTTGACCCAGAGCGTGATGGTGGTGGAGCAACACACCAAAGAAGTCCTGGTTGAATCCCAGCTCCTCCTCGCTGAGTTCCAAGTCAACTGCATGCAGCTGGGAGTGGAAAGCAATGGGCGGTACATCTCGGTCCTCAAAGTATTTGGCACCAACGCCCATTTCATTAAGCGGCCCTACGATGCTGAGGTCTCGCTCACGGTCCATGGCTTGCTTTTGGTCGACACCATGCAGACGTACGGCTCGGATTTTGACCTTTTGGTGGCTTCCCATAAGAACCTCAGCTTGGATGTACCGACGGGGAGTTTGCGGGACAGTCGGACGCAGTCGCCCGTCGGTGGGCCCGGAAAGGCCCGTCCGCTGGATGGGAAACATCCCGGTCCGGCGAGCGAGCCTACGGGCCGTTCCGTTCCGCACGACGAGTCCTTGATCAAGCTAGAATACCAGTTTGTGAGCACGGAGTGCCCGTCGATGAACTTGGACAGCTCTCTGCAAGTGATATCGGTGCAGATGAACAACCTGGACATCATCCTCAATCCGGAAACGATCGTGGAGTTGATTGGATTCCTCCAGAAGTCCTTCCCAAAGGAGAAAGACCATTCCAGCCCTCAGCCGTTGATGACCGAGGCCGAGAGGCATCTCAGTGACATAGAAACCTTCCAGTTCACCCATTCTCAAAATACGGAAGTCACCGTGGATATCCACTGGTTGAACGTCCTGTTGCTTAGGACCGTCACGGTGATGAATGGGGAAAAACTCGGCCGGAAGATCGCGACGGCGAGCATCGGCGGCACCAAAGTGAACGTCTCCATGGGCAGTAAGCTGGACGTCAACGGATCTCTTGGCTGCCTGCACCTGATGGACTTGACCCAGGATGTTAAAAACCAATACGTTGTGAGCATCGGGAATACAGTACGGTACGAGAACCTGATCCGGAACGTGAGCTGTTTCAAGCCTGCGTTTCTTCAGTTCGATGATGCGGGGAACCTTCCGGATGCTTTGAGCTTCACTTTCGCTGAGCAGTCGAAAGAGGAGTGTTCCCTCCATCTCAAGATGGCCTCGCTGCATTACAACCACTCGGCAAAGTTTTTGAAAGAGCTCGCCTTATCCATGGACGAGTTGGAGGACAATTTCCGCGGCATGCTGAAGACCGCGGCGACGCGTGTGACCACTGTCCTGGCCACCAAGACCGCCGAATACAGTGAGATGGTGTCTCTGTTTGACACGGCGCCGCGGTCAAGGGACCCCTTCAATTTGGAAAACGGCGAAGGAGAGGAGTTTGTTCCGGCGCGCTCCAAAACGGAGCCCATTAAACTCATTCTGAACGTAAACATCGAGTCCCCGGTCGTGTCGATACCTCGGAAGCCCGGAAGTCCTGAGCTGCTGGTTGGACATCTCGGGCAGATCTCGATCCAGAACTTTGTGGCAGGAGAAGACAACTTGAGAAACGACCGGCTGCAGGTGGAAATCCGGGATATCCGGTTGTATTCGCTCAACAGCAGCCATTTAACAGGGAAGAAGGAAAGCTTGTCAGAGGTGCCGCGCACTTCCTCGGTCGCCGGCGGCGGGAGCGACAGCAGCCAGGACGACCCGCAATTCACTCGGCATGACTTCTTTGAATCCTTACATAAAGGCCATGGTACGTTACATCAGATGCTAGGCTTGTGCATTTGGGACTTCCCTTGATCCGTTTGGTGGGGCCCTGATCTGTTTTTGTCTGAACCTCCTGAAATATTAGTTAGATATTTGTTTTCTTTTAATTTTCAGGTTCATTATTTCTTCTTTTTGGGGGGGGGGACTTCACCCGTAGGCCCAAAGTGCCCAGGTTAGGGTCGACGGGTGAAGGTCTTGGGCCTACGTATCCGGGCCTGCACCCGAGCGCTGAGTAAGGAGTCGGGCTCCGTGCAATCCCGCCTGCCTTTTGTATCGATTGCATTTTCATTTTAGGAGCGCCTTTCCGTTTCGGGCCATCCGAATGGACGGAACAAAACGGAAACACGAATGAAACGAATGGGACAAATATCGGGCCCGTGACTATCAGATACTACTTCCTTATTGGTTGTCAAGAGCTCAAATTCATTCGTAGCCATTCCTTTGTTATTTGGGGAGCTGTGGAATAAAACAAGTAACATACGTTACTTGTGTTACGGTAATAATATTATAGTATTCTATTATAATTGCTGCCCTGGGACCAGAGTGGGTCAGGAGAGAAGAGAGGGGGCCAGGAAGACAGTTCCGCCTTGTCTCCTGCACTGTGCTAATAATATAATATAGTTTAATATAATATATTGTATATACATATAATGTTGATAATATTATAATGTATAATGTAATACAATATGCTACTACTACTAATAATACGGTATTATAATTATATATTTTATATAACAAGTAATATTACTAATAATACTACAGTATAATGGTGTAGTACTAATACTGTGCTACACCATTAATATTATAGTACTCTATTATAATTGCTGCTCTGGGACCAGAGTGAAGAGAGGGGGCCAGGAAGACAGTTCCACCTTGTCTCCTGCACTGTGCTAATAATGTCGAAGGCTTTCGTGGCCGGAATCACTGGGTTGTTGTAGGTTTTTTGGGGTGTATAGCCATGTTCTAGAAGCATTCTCTCCTGACGTTTCGCCTACATCTGTGGCAAGCATCCTCAGAAGTTGTGAGGTTTGTTCCAGTTGTGAGAGAGGGGCCAGGAAGGCAGTTCCATCTTGTCTCTTGCACTGTACTATAATATAATACAATATTACTGGAAAATTGGGTTTATATATCTGTGGAATGATGTGCAGGGTGGGAGAAAGAACTCTTGTCTGTTGGAGGCAGGCGTGAATGTTTCAATTAACCATCCTTGATGGCAGTTTTTAGGTGTGGCTTGTTACTGCCTGGGGGAATCCTTTGTTGAGAGATGATTAGCTGTTCCTGATTGGAGAGAATGCTTCTAGAACATGGCCAAATTCAGCAGCTCAGCGGTTTAACCCACTTCGCCACCGGGGATACCAAAATAATATACTATAATATAATAATAAATATATAATCTATGCTGCAAGATGATCCTCCTGCAAAGACAAAGTTTACAATACAATTGTAATTTAGTACTATATCATAATTGCTGCTCTGGGACCAGAGTGAAGAAGGGGGGCCAGGAAGACAGCTCCACCTTGTCTCCTGCACTGTGCTAATAATATAATATTGTTTAATATAATATATTGTATATACATATAATATTGATAATATTATAATGTAAAATAATATAATACTACTAATAATACGTTATTATAATTATATATTTTATATTGCATGTAATCTTACTAATAATACTACAGTATAATGTTGTAGTACTAAAATTGTGCTATGGTAATAATATTATAGTACTATAATTGCTGCTCTGGGACCAGAGTGAAGAGAAGGGGCCAGGAAGACAGTTCCATCTTGTCTCCTGCACTGTGCTAATAATATAATATAACATATTGTATATACAGATAATATTAATAATATTATAATGTAATACAATATAATATAATACTACTAACAATAATATGGTATTATATTTAAGTATTTTATATTACATGTAATATTACTAATAATACTACAGTATAATGGTGTAGTACAATATAGTAATATAGAATACTAATATTATGAATACTAATATTATAGAATACTAATAATATTAAATACTAATATTATGCTATGGTAATAATATTATAGTACTATATTATAACTGCTGCTCTGGGATCAGAGTGAAGAGAGGGGGCCAGGAAGACAGTTCCACCTTGTCTCCTGCACTGTGCTAATAATATAATATATTGTATATACATATAATATTGATAATATAATGTAATACAATATAATACTAGTAATAATAGGTATTATAATTATATATTGTATATTACATGTAGTATTACTAATAATACTACAGTATAATGGTGTAGTTCAATATAGTAATATATAATACTAATATTGTGCTATGGTAATAATATTATAGTACTATATTATAATTTCTGCTCTGGGACCAGAGAGAAGAGAGGGGGCCAGGAAGAAGTTCCATCTAATCTGCTGCACTGTACTAATAATATAATATATTGTATATACATATAATAATTGATAATATTATAATGTAATACAATATAATACTACTAATAATACGGTATTATAATTATATATTTTATAATACATGTAATATTACTAATAATACTACAATATAATGGTGTAGTACAATATAGTAATATAGAATACTAATATTATGCTATGGTAATAATATTATAGTACTATATTATAACTGCTGCTCTGGGACCAGAGAGAAGAGAGGGGGCCAGGAAGACAGTTCCACCTTGTCTCCTGTACTGTGCTAATAATATATTATAGTATAACATAATATATTGCATATAAAATAATATTGGTAATATTATAATGTAATACAATATAATACTAATACTAATAATAATATGGTATTATAATTATATATTTTATATTAAATGTAATATTACTAATAATACTACAGTATAATAGTGTAGTACAATATAGTAATATATAATACTAATATTGTGTTATGGTAATAATAATAGAGTTAAGAGAGGGGGCCGGGAAGACAGTTCCACCTTATCTCCTGCAGTGTGCTAATAATATAATATATTGTATATACATATAATATTGATAATATTATAATGTAATGCAATATATCTAATATTACTAATAATACTAAAGTATAATGGTATAGTACAATATAATAATATATAATGCTTATATTGTCCTATGGTAATAATATAATATATTGTATTTACATATTAGTTGTAAGCCACTCTGAGGCCCCTTTCGGGGTGAGAATGGCGGCATATTAAGTGTCGTAAATAAATAAATAAATATGTTGAGCCCCCGGTGGTACAGCAGGTTAAACCGCTGAGCTGCTGAACGTGCTTACTGAAAGGCCAGCGGTTCGAATCCGGGGATTGGGGTGAGCTCCCACTGTTAGCCCCAGCTTCTGCCATCCTAACACTTCGACAACATTCAAATGTGAGTAGATCAATAGGTACTGCCTTGGCGGGAAGGTAATGGCGCTCCATGCAGTCATGCTGGCCACATCTATAGAGGCGTCTATGATCAACGTCGGTTCTTCAACTTCGAAACGAGCACCAGAGTCAGACATGACTCGATTTAATGTCAAGGGGAAACTTTACGTCTTGCATGTATCTCCTTAAACGTAGCTTTCCACATTTTGAACAACGCAACCATCCAATTTGAGCTGGAGAAAATCCCGGTGGAGCGGGACGCCGAGCTGGCTTTTTCCGCGGACGAGGATGTCGAGATTTCCAGCCTGATGCGGATCGAGGGGAAATTTGTCAACCCTTTGCAGGTATGGAAAAACCTCGGTTTTGCTTTTCCTCCGACTATGGGAATGGAGTTAGATGTGTGTTCTGGAGACAGTCGTTATTTTGTCCCAGAAGGTATGCATGTCTATAAATCCCAATTTCTTGTCTATATTTGTCTGTACTTAGAAGTGTTTTATAGTACCAGCCTCTATAACAGATAATACAATATATTGTATATACGTATAATATTTATAATATTATAATGTAATACAATATAATACTACTACTATTAATGATATAATATAATATATTGTATTTACTTTTTACTTGTAAGCCGCTCTGAGTCCCCTTCGGGTTGAGATGGGCGGCATATAAATGTTGTAAATAATAAATAAATAAATAAATGTGCCATAGAAGGATTTCCTTCAAAACCCCAAATTTCTGCAGTTTAATAAACCTTTCCCATGTTTTTATGATAGAATCAATTGGAAAATAACATGTATAACCCAGGAACAGAAATCATCCTGTCACATAGTGTCATCTTGAGCTTATTTCACCTCTCCCCCTCCTTTAATCCAGGTGGTTTTGGCCAAGCACGTTTACGAGCAAGTCTTACAGACTCTTGATAACTTGGTTTGCAATGAAGATTTGACCAATCCGCCATCCAGCTTTCCGTCTTCGAAATGCCCCAGCTCTGATTCTCCGTCGACGTTACTTGGCAGCACAAGCTCCGATTTTCCCCTCGAGAGAAAGGAAAACGGGCTCTTCAGTCATTCCGGCTTCGGCACGCCGACCAACAAGTTTGCCCCTGTCAAGGAAACGGCGCCGTCCTTCACCCAGATCCAAGCCACCTTCCATATCTCTGAGCTCCAGGTCCAGCTCAGTGGCGACCTGACCCTCGGAGCCCAAGGCTTGGTTAGCTTGAAATTCCAAGATTTTGACATTGAGTTTTCTAAGGACCACCCTCAGACCTTATCCATCCAGATTGCCTTACGTTCCCTTCTGATGGAGGATCTTCTGGAGAAGAACCCAGACTCGCAGTACAAGAACCTCATGGTCTCGCGGGGGGCACCCAAACCGTCCGGCTTGGCCCACAAGGAGTACCTGTCCCAGTCTTGCCCCTCGGTCTCCAACGCTGAGTATCCCGAAATGCCCCGCTCCCTCCCTTCACACATGGAGGAGGCCCCAAACGTCTTCCAGTTTTACCAGCGGCCCACGTGGGGCCCCCACAAGAAGCTCAAGGAAGACGAGGGTTTGGGTTGTCCGTTGACGCCTCCCCCTTCTCCCACAGCAGATGAGTCGCGCCTGCCGTCCGGAAAGAGCGACTTCGACGACTCCTTGGTCCACATCAACGTCCTGCTGGTGGACAAGAAGCACCCGGCGTTTGCCACATCGTACGGCAAAATTAGCCGCAGCGTGGACATCGACTTCAACTGCTTGGACGTCTTGATCACCCTGCAGACCTGGGTGGTGATCCTGGACTTCTTTGGGATTGGGTCTACCGCGGAAAATCACAGCATGAAGTCGCAGCCCGGAGACATCCAGCTCCCCGTCAAGTCGGAAGCCAGTGCCTCACCCGCCTTGGAGGCACAGGATATCGTCAATACCAAAGTCGACTTGAAGGTAGGAGGCAGCAAACTTCCTTCCTAGACTTCCTAAATTATTCCTTTATAGTTCCATATATTGCCCCCATGAATGAAGGCTTCCGAGAGATTCTTTTTTAGGAAAAGAAACAAGAAAACACGTCTTTTTTTGGGTTGTTGTAGGTTTTTCTGGGCTATATGGCCATGTTCTAGAGGCATTTTCTCCTGATATTTCTCCTGCATCTATGGCAAGCATCCTCAGAGGTAGTGAGGTCTGTTGAAAGTAGGAAAATGGGTTTATATATCTGTGGAATGACCAGGGTGGTACAAAGGACTTTTGTCTGCTGGAGCTAGGTGTGAATGTTTCAACTGACCACCTTGATTAGCATTTAATGGCTTGGAAGTGCCTGGGGGGAATCCTGACACGACAAAAAAAATCTATTTAATTATCAGTTTTCATACAGTCCTCAAAAACCTTCCAATTTGTCCTTTTCATTCCTTTCCCATTGTTTTGTCTTAGTCAAAAGGTCAATTCATCCATGTCCTTGATTTCTGCTATTTTGTCCAACCAATTTATCTTCAGAGGTATCTTTTCTTGTTTCCAATTTTTAGCAAAAATTATTCTAGCTGCTTTAGCGAAATATGTAAAAAGCTTTTCAGTATTGTATTGTCAAAGGCTTTCATGGCTGGAATCACTAGGTTCTTGTGGGTTTTTTCGGGCTATATGGCCATGTTCTAGAGGCATTTTCTCCTGACGTTTCGCCTGCATCTATGGCAAGCATCCTCAGAGGTAGTGAGGTCTGTTGGAATTAGGAAAATGGGTTTATATATCTGTGGAATGACTGGGGTGGGGCAAAGAGCTCTTCTCTGCTAGAGCTGGGTGTGAATGTTTCAACTGACCACCTTCATTAGCATTTGAAGGCCTGGCTGAGCCTGGGGGAAATCTTTTGTTGAGAGGTGTTAAGATGTGCCTGGTTGTTTCCTCTCTGCTGTTTTGCTGTTGTAATTTTAGAGTTTTTTAATACTGGTAGCCAGATTTTGTTCATTTTCATGGTCTCTTCCTTTCTGTTGAAATTGTCCACATGCTTGTGGATTTCAATGACTTCTCTGTGTAGTCTGACATGGTGGTTGTTGGAGTGGTCCAGCATTTCTGTGTTCTCAAATAATATGCTGTGTCCAGGCTGGTTCATCAGGTGCTCTGCTATGGCTGACTTCTCTGGTTGAAGTAGTCTGCAGTGCCTTTCATGTTCCTTGATTCGTGTTTGGGCAATGCTGCGTTTGGTGGTCCCTATGTAGACTTGTCCACAGCTGCATGGTATACGGTGGACTCCTGCAGAGGTGAGAGGATCCCTCTTTTCAGTATTATCATCTTTAAAGATATCCGATTCAAACATACCTAGTAAATACATCTCTAGTTGCATTGGATAGGATTTTTTTACATTTTGTATGTATCATTTTCCAATATTTGGTAGTTTTACAAGCCCGTCTTGTGGGTACAAGGGAGAGAGCCTTCTCCTTGGTGGTGGCTCCCCGACTTTGGAACTCTTTACCTGGAGAGATCAGGAAAGCCCCTTCACTAGAAACATTTAAAAAGAACCTTAAAACCTGGCTCTTCCGCTGCGCCTTTGGTGAGTAGGTGCACACCATGACATTTTGCACCCCTCAACGTTTTTCTCCTGCTGGAGCTCGCGCCCCCCAAATGGGAAGTTCAGCCTCCATGTGTTTTATGAGTTCCCCGTAAATGTCTTGCTCCTATTTTATCTCATCACAGTTTTTAAATTGTTTTATCCTGTAGATGTGGCCCGCCCACTGTTATCGTTATTGTGATAGTGTTTATTAGAATGTTATTTTATGACTGTTTTTTTCTTATTATTATTAACTAGCTGTACCCGCCACGCGTTGCTGTGGCCAACCTTCCCTCTTTCTCTCCTTCTTTCCCTTTTTCCTTCACTCCCTCTTTCCTTCCTTCTTTCCCGTCTTTCCTCCTCTTCATCCTTCCTTCTCTATCTCTTTCCTTCCTTCCCCCTTTTTCTTTCTCTTCTGCTGTCTCCCTTTTCTTCCTTCTCTTCCTTCTTTCCTTCCCTCCCTCTTTCTCCACATCTTCCCCCTTTTTTCTTTCTTCCTTCCCTCTTTCCTTCTTCATCCCTTTCTCTTCTTCTTCCTTATATCTCTTTCCTTCCTTCCCTTTTCCTTTCTCTTCTGCTGTCTCTCTTTCTTCCTTCTCCCTCCCTCTTTCTCTACATCTTCCCCTTCCCCCTTCCTTCACTCCTCTTTCCCTTTTTTCTTTCCTTCTCTCCTTCCTTCCTTCTCTACTTTCCTTCCTTCCCCTTTTTCTTTCCCTCCCTTTCTCTCCTTTCTTCTTCCTTTCTCTTTCCTTCCTCCCCCTTTTTCTTTCTCTTCTGCTTCCTTTTCTTCTCTTTCTTTCCTCTTTCCTTCCCTTCCCTCTTCTCTACATCTTCCCCCTTCCTTCCTCCCTCTTTCCTTCCTTCCCTTTTTTCTTTCCTTCTTCCTCTCCTTCCTTTTCTTCTTCCCCTTTTCTTTCTCTCCCTCTTTCTCTCCTTTTTTCCTTCTCTACCTCTTTCCTTCTTTCTCTCTTTGCTTCCATGCTTCCTTCTCCCTTTCCTTCTTTCTTTCCCCCCTCTTTCTTTCTTTCTTTCTTTCTTTCTTTTTTTCTTTCTTTCTTTCTTTCTTTTCTCCCTTTCCCTCTCTCTTTCTTCCCTTTTTTTCTGTATTGTCATTTAGCTTTTCCTCATTTAGCTTTTTGGGGCTTTTTAAGCCCCTTCTGCTGAGTTTTTCAGTGTTTTTATGAGTGAAGGACATACATTGGGTTGTTAGGTGTTTCGTGTCCAAATTTGGTGTCAATTCGTCCAGGGGTTTTTGAGCTCTGTGAATACCACAAACGAACATTACATTTTTATTTCTATAGATGTATTCTGATGATGTTGTTGTTTGTTGTTTGTGTTTTGATTTTATTGCTGTAATATGTTGTCCGGGCTTGGCCCCATGTAAGCCGCTCTGAGTCCCCACCGGGGAGATGGTGGCGGGGTATAAACAAAGATTATTATTATTATTATTATTATTATTATTATTATTATTATTTTATCGCAGGACCACCACATATGATAGAAAGACCCTTCATGTATCTTACACTTCCAACATTTTTATCCATGTTTTTATACATTTGTCCCTAATTTTTTTGATGTTGTGTACCAGCGATGTAGCATTTTTAGTCAATTTTCTTGCAGATCTGTAGCATACGTATATTTTAGACGTTTTTATTCTTCATTCTTTCTTCTTAATCAGGTCCATTCGCTGTCCTTGGTTCTGAACAAGGCCACCAACGAACTGGCCAAGGCCAACGTCTCCAAACTGATCACTCACGTGGACATGATTGGTGAGTCTGCCTATATCTTAGAAGTAGGTGGTTTTCTTAAGGACGTTGCTCTCGGTTATGTGCTTCGGCAGCTCTGCTATCCCGCCTGGGTGTCCGAATGCTGTTTGTGTCCTTGTGTTTACATTAGAAGGGGACCTGTCCCTCCACGGAAGCATCGGGAGCTTGTCTCTAAGCGACCTGACATCACACGGAGAGCTTTACAGAGAACGCTTCACCACCAGTGGGGAAGAGGCCTTCATCTTCCAAGTATACAAGTAGGCGGTGGAGATTTCTCGTTGTTCGATTGCATCCACTTTTGCTGGGGTTAATTTCACAGGCCAACTGAAAGTGAATTAAAAATGTCCTGGGATGGCATTCTAGTCAAGACTTTTTGTGGTCCGAGTTGACCTCGATGCCCACAATAGGCCTGAATTGTACAGTTAGCCCTCTGAATGTCTAGTTCAGTGTTTCTCAACCTTCCGAATCCTGGGACCCCTTAATGCAGTTCCTCATGTTGTGGTGACCCCCAACCATAACATTATTTTTGTTGCTACTTCACAACTTCATTTTGCTCCTGTTATGAATCGTAATGTAAATATCTGATATCCAGGTATGTCTAGTTCAGTGTTTCTCAACCTTCCGAATCCTGGGACCCCTTAATGCAGTTCCTCATGTTGTGGTGACCCCCAACCATAACATTATTTTTGTTGCTACTTCACAACTGTCATTTTGCTCCTTTTATGAATCGTATTGTAAATATCTGATATCCAGGATGTATTTTCATTTGCTGGATCTAATTTGGCACAAATACCCAATACACCAAAATTTGAATACTGGTGGGGTTGGGGGGGTTGATTTTGTCATTTGGGAGCTGTAGTTGCTGGGATTTATAGTTCCCCTATAATCAAAGAGAATTCAGAACTCCACCAATGATGGAATTGAACCAAATTTGGCACACAGAACTCCCATGACCAACAGAAAATACTGGAAGGATTTGGTGGGCATTGACCTTGAGTTTGGGAGTTGTAGTCCACCTCTATCCAGAGAGCACTGTGGATTCAAACAATGATGGATCTGGATGAAACTTGATATGGATACTCAATATGCCCCAATGTGAGCACTGGTGGAGTTTGGGGAAAATAGATCTTGACATTTGGGGGTTGTAGTTGCTGGGATTTATAGTTCACCTACAATCAAAGAGGATTCAGAACTCCACCAATGATGGAATTGAACCAAACTTGGCACACAGAACTCCCATGACCAACGGAAAATGCTGGAAGGCTTTGGTGGGCATTGATCTTGATTTTGGGAGTTATAGTTCGCCTACATCCAGAGAGCACTGTGGAGTCAAACAATGATGGATCTGATGGATCTGGATGAAACTTGATATGGATGCTCAATATGCCCAAATGTGAACACTAGTGGAGTTTGGGGAAAATCGATCTTGACATTTGAGGGTGGTAGTTGCTGGGATTTACAGTTCACCTACAATCAGAGCATTCTGATCCCCGCCAATGATAGAATTGGGCCAAACTTCCCATACAGAACCCCCATGACCAACAGAAAATACTGTTTTTTTCTGATGGTCTTTGACGATCCCTCTGACACCCCCTCACGGAACCCCCAGGTTGAGAAACGCTCGTCTAGTTTCTTCTGTTGGATCATACTGGAGGAACTGGAGAGGGATTCCCTCTCAGAATCTAGGCCCTCCAGCAGAGGTTAACCATAGGCTCGCAGCAGATGTCCTAGAGATTCATAGAGAGAGCCTTGTGACCAAATATGTGAATAATAATTGCATTGCATCCATAAATGTCAAAACACTGGTGGATCAACTGCAGAACACATGGGTTGCCTTGTCGTCCCTCAAGGTACGGCCGGCCCGATCCTTTGCTGCAGAGGGATTGCGATGTGCGCATCAGCCTGCGCATGGCGTCGGTGCGGTACGTCCACACGCAGCGTTTCCAAGCGGAAGTGGTGTCTTTCATCCAGCACTTCACTCAGCTTCAGGATGTCTTGGGCCGCCAGAGAGCAGCTATCGAGGGGCAGATGGTACAGTATATCTCCTTCTTCCCCTTGACTGTACAGGAGACCCCATGGGGGTTGCTCAGGGTTGTGGAATTGCTATGCCAACCTTTTGACTCCCAACTCCTTCCTTGATCTACTGTCTGACTCCCAATTCCTTCATCAATGGCAAATGTCCATGAAATTCATCTTAATTCTGTTACAGTAGTAATTGGGAATCATCTGGCACCTTCCTCCTACCCTCTCTTCCTTCTCCATTTATATCTCACTTCACTTGTTGGTTACGAATGACCCGATCTTTTGTCCCCAAGGTGAGAGACCAGGCACAGCGCGCCTCCAGGGTCCTCTTGGACATTGAAGCCGGGGCTCCCGTCCTCCTCATCCCAGAAAGCTCTAGGTCCAATCATCTCATCGTCGCCAACCTTGGAAAGCTTAAGGTCAAGAACCGGTTCCTCTTTGCAGGGACTGCCGGCACCTTCTCCCTCAAAGATAAGGTGAGGCTTGCTTACGGCTCCTTGCTTATTGTTGCAGATATTTCACATCAAAGACTGCTGCCGGATGGCAGGATAGAGAAATGCTGAAATGATAGATAGAGAGATGCCGAATTTACAGGTGCCAAATTGAAGGATAGAGAGATGCCCAGTTAGAGGTAAGAGAGATGCCGAATTGAAGGAGAAAGAGTTTTTGAATTGAAGGAGAACGAGATGTTGAATTAAAGGATAAAGAGATGCCGAATTAACGGATAGAGAGATGCCAAACTGACAGAGAGATACCAAAAGATAGAGAGAATAACAATTAACGGATAGAGAGATGTTGCAACCCAGAGCAGGAAACTGGACCCTCAGACAACAATCCGCCACACTTGGCTTCAGGATAAACAATCCTTTTTTATTGATGACAGATGAATACAAAATAGAGGAAAAATGCAAAGGTAAAAAGTCACAGTAAAAATCAGCAACAAGACATGTCCATAAACAAGATCATGAAACCCACAGCAAAACTGCTGAATCCTGGAATCTGTTAGCAATCCACTAACCATACTTAGCAAAACTAGAAAACCTCCGAGGAACAAGGCCACTTGAATCAGGAGACCTGCAAACGCTGGCACATGAATCTGGAACGATGCCTGGTCTGAAGCTCAATTCAGGCCAGGCATATTTAAGGCCTATTTAAGGCATATTTAAGGCCTGAAGATTTTGTTTGGATTTCTTTCAATCTGGCTGACCTGCGTAAACATTGTGCTTCTCCCCGACTCTGCCAAATCTGCCCCCACCTATCCTCATTAGGCAGGCCAGGTGTCAGATTCTCTGGAGAGCTAAGACTGGGAGGAAAAAGGGAGTGAACCGTCTCCGCTCGGCTCGGAATGTATGTTCTCATGGGAATCTTGACTTTCGCTTTCCAAGGCTGTAGGATTTTCAAACCATCATCATCTAAATTGGCCTCAGAATTCACATTGACATCTACATGGGCATCAGGAATTACAATCAGAGAGTCAGGTTCAAGTTCACACACAGGCTGAACCCCAACAAGAGATGCCGAATTGAAGGATAGAGAGATGCTGAATTAATGGATAGAAAGATACCGAATTGAAGGATAGAGAGAGACCGAATTAACCGATAGAAAGATACCAAATTGAAGGATAAAGAAATGCCGAACTGACGGACAGAGATATGCCAAATTGAAGGATAGAGAAATGCCGAATTGAAGGATAGAGTGATACTGAAGGATAAAGAGATGCATAATAAATAGTTAGAGAGATACCGAATTAATGGATAGAGAGATGCCGAACTGACAGAGAGATACTGAAGGATAGAGAGATGCAGAATTAATAATTTGAGGGATGCTGAATTAATGGTTAGAAAAATACCGAATTGAAGGATAGAGAAATGCCGAACTGATGGATAGAGAGAAGCTGAATTGAAGGATAGAGAAATGCCAAATTGAAGGATAGAGAGATGCCGAATTAATGGCTAGAAAGATACCGAATTGAAGGATAGAGAAATGCCGAACTGACGGATAGAGAGATGCAGAATTGAAGGATAGAGAAATGCCAAATTGAAGGATAGAGAGATGCCGAATTAATGGAGAAAGATACCGAATTGAAGGATAGAGAAATGCCGAACTGACGGATAGAAAGATGCAGAATTGAAGGGTAAATGCCAAATTGAAGGATAGAGAGAGGAAGAATTAACGGATAGAAAGATACCGAATTGAAGGATAGAGAAATGCCGAACTGACGGATAGAGAGATGCTGAACTGAAGGATAGAAAACGCCGAATTGAAGGATAGAGAGATGCCGAGTTAATGGATAGAGAGATGCCGAACTGAAGGATAGAGAAACGCCAAATTGAAGGATAGAGAGATGCCGAATTAACGGATAGAGAGATGCCGAATTGAAGGATAGAGAGATGCCAAATTAACGGATAGAGAGATGCCGAACTAAAGGATAGAGAAACGCCGAATTGAAGGATAGAGAAATGCCGAATTAAGGGATAGGGTAATGCCGAATTGAAGGATAGAGAAATGCTGAATTGAAGGATAGAGAAACACCGAATTGAAGGATAGAGAGATACTGAAGGATAGAGAGATGCAGAATTAATAGTTAGAGAGATGCTGAATTAATGGTTAGAGAGATGTCGAATTGAAGGATAAAAGAAATGTCGAATTTAAGGATCGAGAAATGCCAAATTGAAGGATAGAGAGATGCCGACCTGACGGAGAGATACCGAAGGATAGAGAGATGCAGAATTAATTGATAGAGCGATACCAAATTAATGGTTAGAGAAATACTGAATTGAAGGATAGAAAGATGCCAAACTGACGGATTGATATCAAATTAAATTTATGGCTAGAGAGATGCCGAACTGACGGAGAGATACAGAAGGATAGAGAGATGCCGAATTTAATGATTAGAGAGATGCCGAATTGAAGGATAGAGCTGAGAGGGGGAAAAGTGCAGATAGGAAAGAGGGCAAAGGAAGTTTGTTTGCATGTGTGCATGTTTACCTTCATCTGACTCTAGATTAGTCAAGGCTGGCGCTCCACATTTGCAATTTGGCAACCACCCTTTAAGTATTGTTATTCTGCAAATTAAATGATCTGATTGGAAATAGTTACTGGAAGTATTTGGACACAGAGCCTCCTCTTACTCTCATTTTACACCAGGATTCTGTTCCACTCTCTTCACCACTGGGAACCCCCAAGCACAGCATGAAGAAAACCCCGAGCACTGAAGAGTCCAGGGTGGATGGTCTGTTCATGAAATCGTCATCCTCGGGACCAAATCTGAATAGACCGAAAAGTGAGTCCGCAGCAGTCGGTGCGAATAAACCACCCAAATCTCCCGCTTTGCCAGCCCCAGCAAGTCCTGGTAAGTTGACGAGAGCCGGAAGTGGATTCTCTTGGTCCTTCCGTCCCTGGTGCTTCTCCGGTTCTCGTTGAGCACCACTTGATAACTCTATGCAACAAAGTTTGAAAAAGTTCTGTTCCTGTTTGAAAGTGTGATTTCCTGTTTAATTGTGCAGTCCTTACCTTGAAAGTAGTTGCTCTTCTACAGAAAGTTGACCCGATGAGATGGGAGAGGGAAGAAGAATGAGCAGAAATGTTTAGGAACACAATTTTAGTCCTTCCTTCCTTCCTTCCTCTTTTCTCCCTCCTTCCCTTCCTTATCTTCCTCTTTCTCCCTTCCTCCTTCCCTTCCACCTTTTCGTCCTTCCATCCCTTTCTCCCTCTTTCTCCTTCCTTCCATCCTATTTTTTCCTTCTCCTTTAATCTTTCCCTCCCTTCCTTCCCTCCCATTTTCTTCTTTCACCCTTCCCTTCCACCTTTTCTTTCCTTCCTTCCCGCTTTCCTCTCCCTCTCCCTCTTTCTCCGTCTTTTCCTTCCTTCCCTTTTGTCTTTCCTTCCTTTATTTCCTTTATCCTTCCCATCCTTCTCTTCTTCCCTTTCTTCCTTCCTTCTCTATTTCTTTCTTCCTTCCCTTCCTTCCTTTCATCTTTCTCTTCCCCAATCCTTCCTTCTCTTTTTCGTTCCTCCTTCCCCTCCATCCTTCCTTCCTTTGCTTTTCTTTCCTCTTTCCCTCTCTCCCTCTATCTCCTTCCATCCTTCCCTTCCTTTCATCCTTCCCTCTTCCCTCCCTCTTCCCTCTCTCTCTCCCTCTCTCTCCTTCCTTCCCTTTTGTCTTTCCTTCTTTTTCTATTTCCTTTAGCCTTCCCTTCCTTCCAACCATCGTTCTCTTCTCTTTTTTCTTTCTTCCTTCTCTTTTTCCTCCCTCCTTCCCTTTTCTTTCCTTCCTTCCTTCCTTCCCTCTTTCCTCTCTCCTTCCCTCTCTCCCTCTTTCTTCTTCCGTCCTTCCCTTCCTCCAGCTGCAGAAATTAATGAGCCAGTAGATAGGAGAAGTGCTTTCAGTCAGCAAATAAAAACAAACCAGGCGCTCTGCCAGATTGCAGGAGCGACTGATAGCAGATTCAAGGCTGAGAAGAAATCCATTCCTGGCCGCTTGGGATATAGAGTAGATTAAGGGATAAAAGTACCAAGTACAGAATCTGTAGTCAGACGAAGCAAAGTTGAAATTGAGTCAAGACTTTATCTCAGGTCCCTGGAAGCCTTGCCTTGGATAGATTCCTGTGGTAAGGGCCTCATAATTTCCATGCTGAAGTGTCTTATTTGATTCATGCTCAAGTTTTGGGGTTTTCCCTTGGAAGTTCCCAAGTTCCAGTGTTTATTTTCATGAACTGATGGACTAATTTCCTGGACTATTTGTTCCTATCTATCTTTATACCTAATTGGACTTACCTATTTTTGTGGATTGCTTTTTACTGCTATTGCTTTTAAATATCTTCAATAAACGGCTTGCATTTTACACAGCTGTGCGGTGTTTAAAGTCAGAGGGTTTTCAGGGCTGGAATGCAACCAGTTTCTCTTTTGAACTGTGGGGCCCAGAACAGGACATAGTGTGATTCCAGGGAAAGAAGTCTAACCAAAGGCACCATGACTTCCCTCGGATCTGGGCATTAGACATCTTTTGATGCAGCCCAGTATCCCATTGGTTTTTTTAGAAGCTGAAAAGACTGTTGCAGAGAATGTAGGGTAAGCCGCACGTTTCCGAATTTGTCTTTCGCAGAGGAGCACGTCTGTCTGTTAGACTGCATTGTGGTGGACCTGCAGGACATGGATATTTTCACTGCGGAACGGTTCTCCCGGGAATATTCCGAGGCCACGGAAGAGGCCCAGGCTGACCTGACCTTCCCATCCTTTGTGATCCGTCAAGCGGGTGGGAGCCTCTTGACCGAACCTTTCCGGCTCAAGCTGCAAGTCGAAAGGAACTTGGACAAGTGAGTGATATGCCGCTCTCTTAATTTCATCTTAAAAATCGGAAGATAGATGGGAGATGGTTTTGACGTATTCACACGTCTTTCCTTCAGATATGTTTTGGACACAGAAAGCAATAGCTGCGAATACGGTCCTGCCTTGACTTACGAGTTTTATTTGTCCTGTGACCACCCAGCTCTCAAACTCAAATTGCTCTTATGTCAGATCAGAAATGCTATTATTCTGTCCTGCAACCAAAAAAACCCACACAATTTTTTGTTACGTGTCTTTCAATAAGAAAAAAATGTGCCTTATCGATAACAAATATTGTATAAAAATAGATTTGTTTATTGATTACTGTACTGACCATATCAACAATAAAAGACAAAAATAAAAATAGACAAAGGTATAGCTTTTGTGGTACAGGCAGATGGACAGATAGAAATACTTCGACATAGATAGATAGGCAACAGATAGATGATATATGCCAGAGTTTGGCGGTGCACAGCAGAAGGATTGCTAGATCAGCAGACACTGTGTTGTAAAATAAGGACACTGCAGGCTTTTAGTTACAAAAGAAACTACGTTTACTAAGCACATTCAACAGACACGTCTTACTACAGCGAGCTACAATACAGGAACTAGTCAAAACGGAAGTCTCTTCACATGTGCTTATCTCTTCTTGCTGAGACTAGTTACTCCCTTCTGTTCCCAGCAAGAGCAAACCGTGTCTTCTTAAGTTTACTTAATCACAGCCTCATAGAATAAACATTCTGTACAGCATTTCTAATACACAGTAGAATCCATCTTGGAAATACATAGAAGCACATTTAAAGCACATACATAACTAAATTAATCCTGACAATATATAGATAGATCTGTTTATTGTTTATAAGGCAAAAGACAAAAATACACAAGCAAACAGTAACACCTGTGATATTTAACTAAAATAAATTAAAAACACAATAAAACTCAATTAAACAATAAGTTTAGTAAAATGGGATCAAATTGCAAGGGGAGTAAAGTGATACGTGAAAAAGAATTTTAAAAATAATACATAAAACTCATAAAAACTCATAAGTTGGGTCACTTGTAGGTCAAGGTTTCATTGTATTCCTGAGAAAAATCGTTGTCATCGCAAAACCTTTCCCTATTAGCAGTTCAGGGTCTGTTGTCAGGTTTACCGACTCACGCACTTCAAATCCTTCGCCTTCTAGGGAGATAAGTCACATGGTTCCGGATATATCCGTTCATGGCATCCTGTCCTCGGTCCTTTGCTCCCTGGATCTGGACAAATACAAGCTGATCCGAGGGCTCCTGGAGAACAATTTGGGGGAACCGATCGAAGAGTTCATGCGGCCGTACGATTTGCAAGACCCGAGAATACACGTGAGAGGGCCTGTTTGTCTGTTGGTTTGTCTGTTTGTCATCAGCCCCAAGGTTTAAAGCATGCCCATACTCATCATCCCGTAGACGAGCGTTTCTCAACCTGAGGGTCATGAGCAGCGTGTTAGAGGGGTCAGCAAAGACCATCAGGATACACAGTATTTTCTGTTGCTCATGGGAGTTCTGTGTGCCAAGTTTGGTTCAATTCCATCGTTGGTGGGGTTCAGAATGCTCTTTGATTGTAGGTGAACTATAAATCCCAGCAATTACAACCCCGAAATGTTAAGGTCTATTTTCCCCAAACTCCGCCAGTGTTCACATTTGGGCATACTTAGTATTTGTGCCAAGTTTGGTCCAAATCCATCATTTATTGAGTCCATAGTGCTCTCTGGATGTAGGTGAACTACAACTCCAAAACTCAAGGTCAATGCCCACTAAACCCTCCCAGTATTTTCTGTTGGTCATGGGAGTTCTGTGTGTCAAGTTTGGTTCAATTCCATCGTTGGTGGAGTTCAGAATGCTTTTTGCTTGTAGGTGAACTACAACTCCCAAATGTCAAGGTCTGTTTTCCCCAAACTCCACCAGTGTTCACATTTGGGCGTACAGTGTTCCCTCACTTATAGCGGGTGCTCCGTTCTGGGACCACCTGCGATAAGTGAAAATCCGCCAAGTAGGGGCGCTCCGCTCACTCCAGTGGGCAGAGTGTCTTTACTTTGCGGCATCCTCCTCTTCGCCACTTGTGCTGATCCCCGCCTCGGGGGTCCCTTCCTCGCCAGGGTGAGCACCCAAGCCTGGTGCCCAACCTGGCGAGGAAGGAACGGGGAGCCGCTATACAGTGTTCCCTTGCTGTTTCCCGCGAAACAGCGAGTCTGCAATAAGCGAACTGTGAAGTAGCAAAGGAACACGTGCCCTCCAAATAGGATGTTCTGCCCCACAACTCTGTGTGTTTTATGAGGTCCATTTAAACGTCCTGCTCCTATTTTATCTCATCATAGTTTGTTAATTGTTCTTTATTCGGAATATGTGGCCCGCCCATTGTCATCTCTCTCGTGATTGTGTCTATTGGAATTCTATTATTATTATTATTATTATTATTATTATTATTATTATTATTTGGAATATGTGGCCCGCCCATTGTCATCTCTTTCGTGATTGTGTCTATTGGAATTCTTATATTATTATTATTATTATTATTATTATTATTATTATTATTATTATTATTATTATGTCATTTTGATAATGTTATTGTTGTCTGATGTATATGCTTTGATTTTATTGCTGTATTATGTTGTCTGGGCTTGGCCCCATGTAAGCCGCTCCGAGTCCCCATCGGAGAGATGGTGGCGGGGTAGAAATAATAATAATAATAATAATAATAATAATAATAATTATTATTATTATTATTATTGAGTATTTGTGCCAAGTTTGGTCCAGATCCATCATTGTTTGAGTCCACAGTGTTCTCTGGATGTGGGTGAACTACAACTCCCAATCTCAAGGTCAATGCCCAGCAAACCCGTCTAGTGTTTTCTGTTGGTCATGGGAGTTCAGTGTGCCAAGTTTGGTTCAATTCCATCGTTGGTGGAGTTCAGAATGCGCCTTGAGTGTAGGGGAACTATAAATCCCAGCAACTACAACTCCCAAATGAAAAAATCGATCCTCCTTCCAACCCCATCATTGTTCAAATTTAGATGCATTGGGTATTTGTGCCAAATTTGGTCTAGCTAATGAAAATACATCCTGCATATCAGATATTTACATGATGATTCATAACAGGAGCAAGATGATAGTTACGAAGTAGCAACCCAAATAATGTTATGGTTGGGGGTCACCACAACATGAGGGACTGTATTAATGGGTTGTGGCCTTCAGAAGGTTGAGAAACACTGCCATATACACTATAATAATAATAATAATAATAATAATAATAATAATAATAATAATAATAAACCTTTATGTATACCCTACTATCTTCTCCTGGAGGACTCGGTGCGGCTTATAAAAGGCCGAGCCTTTTGTATATACACTTACCGTATATACTCAAATATAAGCCGAGGCACCTAATTTTACCACAAAAAACTGGGAAAACGTATTGACTCAAGTATAAGCCGAGGGTGGGAAATGCAGCCACTCTTGGTAAATTTCAAAATAAGAATATATACCAATAAAATTACATTAATTGAGGCATCAGGAGGTGAAATGTTTTTGAATATTTACATAAAACTGTAATTTGACATAAGACTGCCCAACTCTAATTAAATCATTATTCTGACCTTCTTCAATGTTAATGTACTTACATATCCTTCCAACAAAAATAAAGAGAGTAAAATAATAAATATAATAATAATAATAAAGTAAAATAATGGAAATGCAATAATAAGTGTAATAATAAAGTAATAAATTTAATAACAGAGTAAAATAATGCATGCAATAATAAAGTAAAATAATAAATGTAATAATAAGCATAAATAGTGTAAAATAAAAAATGTAATAATGAAAAAGTAAAATAATGGAAATGCAATAATAAGTGTAATAATAGAGTAAAATAATAAATTTAATAATAGAGTAAAATAATACATGCAATGATAAAGTAAAATAATAAATGTAATAATAATAATAATAATAATAATAATAAAGTAAAATAATGGAAATGCAATAATAAGTGTAATAGAGTAAAATAATAAATTTAATAATAGAGTAAAATAATACATGCAATAATAAAAATAATAAATGTAATAATAAGCATAAATAGTGTAAAATAATAAATGTAATAATAATAGGGTAAAATACTCTAAATGTAATAATAATAATAATAAAGAGAGTAAAATAATACATGAAATAAAACTAATATACTACTAATAATACTAATAACAGAGTAAAATAACAAATAACCTTGACTTGAGAAGAAGCCGAGGAGAGTTTTTTCAGCCTAAAAAGGGGGCTGAAAAATTAGGTTTATACTCGAGTATATACAGTATATAAAATCAGTGCAATTGTGATACTCATGCCGAGGTCAAGAATCTCCCCAAAAGTGCTTTTTCCTCTCTCTCCTTGCAGACGGTTCTGAGCGGAGAGGTGTACACTTGCATGTCTTTCCTCATCGACATGGTCAACGTAAGCCTGGAGTTGACGAATCCGCAAGGGAAGCATGGCTCCCTCGCCAGGTATGTGTCCTTCCGTCCATGTCTTCTCTTGTGTTTCCCTTCTTCCTGCTCTCCTCTGTGGACATTCTTGTGTGAACAACTATGTTTCTTCAATCTTCTGTTTAACAGAAGGGAAAGGAAGAGGTTTTTTTTTTTTTTTTAAAAAAAATGCTTTTTTTATTAGGTTGTAATAAATTCCTGACAATTTTACATTGCCCTATCTCCCAGGGTTTTAAATTTAAAGTGTTGAATTTTATCCTTGAATTTAGCCCCGTCCAGTGAAATTCCCCCGTGTTTTAATGTTTGATTTCATGTTGCTGTGTCGTCTATTATATTGCTTTTGCATTTTATGTAATTTATTTTATGGTTTTGCTGTTTTTGTGTAATATTGTGTTTACTGTACTGATGGGCGTGGCCTCATATAAGCCGCCCCGAGTCCCTCTGGGGGAGATGGAGTGAGGTATAAATGAAGTTTTATTATTATAATACGGACATACATTGGGTTGTTAGGTGAAGCGGGAGAAATCTGAATCAGCGCTGATCCCATGTCCACAGAAGCAGCGTTTTTAGCCAAACCGGTCCAGGTCCAGGAAGGGAGAAGTCTACATTCACGAGAAGCCAATCCGAGTCAATAACACTCAAATGATCAGGAGGTCCAAACTGCAGATCCTAAACCAACACCGAACACAAAACAGGCAGCAACCAGTCTACAAGAACCTTTTCCAATACACAGCACCCAACACACGAAAGCTCATCAACACCTTGCCTCCTGCAAGGACCCCTCACCCCTGAATCCACTTTTATTTACAAATCATCCTCAGAAGATGAACTGACCACCGCCCCATCAGAATCCCCCGCAGCTGCTCCCAGCTCCTTCACGTGAATTCCCAATTCCTCCATCTCCTGTCAAGATTTAGGTCCCGCCAAGACTCATTTGGATCCCCTGATTGCCAGTCATCACCCCCAGAGAACCCCATAAAGGCATCACTAGTTGTTGGCTCCTCACAAATAGCTTGCACTTCTCTTATCTTAGTCCAATCCATGGTGTCTCCTTCTTCTCCTTCACTCATTGACCCATCATCCCCAAAGAATCCCTCAAACTACTCCTCAACTGTAGGTGCTGTAAGTATGTCCCGGATCTTCTTTCTCTGCTGCTCATCATCAGATTCCGGCTCCTGAGTAACCCTTTTCCCCCTTCTGGCACCCATACTATTGTTTGTAACGTTACTCACAGGCTCTACTACAACATTATAAATGATGCTTGTCTCGAGGCGGTGCTGATTTGTTGACCTGGCTTTCCTGTCTTCTTCCATAGGTTTGACTTCAAGAAGTCCAAGCTGCTCTTTGAGAGCTTTTCAAACCAAACCAAATCGATCAACTTGGTCTCCCATTCCATGATGGCCTTCGACACGCGCTACGCCGGGCAGAGAGCGACGTCAGGGATGCCGAATGTCTTCCATTGCATCTTCCAGTCGTCCAAGAACAGCAGTTTGCAGGGAGCCATCCAGATTGAGCTGCATTACAGGTATGGGGCAGCCTCACGAGCTCCCATTGATCCAAGAGGCTAATATGAGTCTGGAGGTTTTATTTGGATCCTGGTTTCCATTTGAGATACGTTTTTTAAAAGGGGTTATCCATTCATGCAAGGATCAGGCTTGCATAGGGTGGCAACCTGTGCTGGACGGGGTTGCACTCCCCCTGAAGTCACAGGTCCGCAGTCTGGGTGTCCTCCTGGACTCATCACTTACGCTTGAAGCTCAGGCGTCGGCAGTGGCTGGGAGGGCCTTTGCACAATTAAGACTCGTGTGCCAACTGCGACCGTACCTCGTGAAGTCAGATCTGTCCAGGGTGATCCATGCCTTAGTCACCTCCAGATTGGATTACTGTAACGCACTCTACATGGGGCTGCCCTTGAAAACGGCCCGGAAATTTCAGTTGGTACAACAGGCGGCAGCCAGGTTACTAACCAGTGCTTCTTACAGAGAGCGGTCAACCCTCCTGTTCAAGGAGCTCCATTGGTTGCCGTTCATTTTCCGTTCCCAATTCAAGGTCCAGGTTCTTACCTACAAAGCCTGCATGGTTTGGGACCCGCCTACCTGCGTGACCGCATTTCTGTGTATGAGCCTACACGATCTCTTTGATCATGTGGAGAGGCCCTGCTCATGCTCCCACCTCCTTTGCAGGCACAATTGGTAGGGACGAGGGAGAGGGCCTTTTCGGTGGTGGCCCCCCGACTCTGGAACTCTCTCCCCAAGGACATCAGGCATGCCCCAACGCTGGCAGTCTTTAGGAGGAGCCTGAAAACATGGTTGTTCCAGTGTGCCTTCCCAGAATAAGGAAACTCCCAGCAATGTGTCCCTAAATGCAGTCTATCAATAATCTAGGATTGTCTGCACACCCTTTCCTCTCCGAAATTCTATCCTAGTTATATATTTCACCTGGTCATGCTCAGCATTATATTTTAAGATTTTAATTATTACATTTCGCCCAGCCATAGGTTTTTAAACGTTGTTGTCCTATTGTTAATGTTTGCTGCTTGTTTTTTGTTTATGAGTTTTATTTTATTGTTTTGTATTGCTGTTGTTGTTGTTTTTGCTGATGTATTGTGGGCTCAGCCTCATGTAAGCCGCACCGAGTCCCTTGGGGAGATGGTAGCGGGGTACAAATAAAGTTTTATAATTTAAGTTTTATGGAACGATAGGGAGTGGGAAAGGAAGAAAAAGGAGGGAAGGAAATGAAAAAAAAAGAGAAATAAGGGATGAAAGCAGCGGCCCCTGCAACATCCACCAGTCCCGGGTATAGATATGCTAGTATCAGGGGCGGCTCGTCCATTACGCGAAGTAAGCGATCGGAGAACACTTTTTTTTGCCAGGGGCGCAGAGGCGCCTCTGTAAATGCCCCTCGACTGCCACTTGAGGAGCGCCCCCTCAGCTCACAACAGCCCTAGCAGTCCGGGGGGAGCCTCGGCTTTCTTGCCTCACTGCCGGGCGATCCTCTTCCCAAAGGGGCCGGGCCCTTGAGCCTCGCCTAGCCCCTCTCGTTCCTGCTCCACCCGGCCACCGGGTGCGCGAGCAGAGCCGGCGCTCAATCGTTCTCCGCATTCGATCCCTTCCCCATGACCGGCTCCCTTTCCTGATCCCCCGGTGCTCCACCCGCCTCCTCTCCTCTCCCCAATCCGCGGGTGGGCCAAGGGGCGGAGCCGCCGCGCCTGGCCCGCTTCGGGTCCGGAGGCGTGTCTGAAGACCCCAGCGTGCGCACCAAAAGTCGCCTCTTCTCCTGACTTTCTCTTTAGCCATTGGGACCAAGAGAGAGAGAGAGAGAGAGAGAGCCCCTCCGGCTTTGGGTATCTCCCACCTCCGCTCCCTCCTTTGTTTTTGCGCCTACCTTCAGGAAAGGTGGGCATCTCTACCTCTTTCTTTCTCTCTCTCTCTCTCTCTCTTGGTTCCAATGGCTGAGGAGTGTAAAAGGGTTGTTAAACTGCTGCCACCAATTGTAAAGAAGACCGTATTAATGCCACCGAATGCCACCAAATGTGAAGGTGCGAGTGGTAAAACACCCACTGCCACCTAATCTATGAGGGAAGCCGGGCAACGATCAATATCAGCCTAGGAGCTATTTTATAAAGGAACTGTTAATTACAGAAGGCTTTATTCACTTGATAGCGTAGCGTTTACTTTCTTGGCTTGACTTTACTATAGCAGGCTGTTCAACTTAGGAGAAACTGTATCAGGCAAGACTTGAGGAAAACAGTAACAAGTTTATTTTAACAGGAGTATAACAATGTATAACTGTTCTTCAAAAGAGGCACAAATCTTGATGGATACATTGGAAAGGTTTCATGAGTAAACTCAGGCAAACACTTCATAAGGTTTCACAGCTGGCACAACAGGCTTAAACCCAGCCAAACCTTGATTCTTAATTCAGAATCAACAACCCCCTGTAGTTTTATCACTACCGGGTCCTTTCCTGTAACCCCTTTGGTCACAAATTAATTCCCTGGTTCTACCACTAGAGAAACCAGTCCTTCCCTGTAGCTCACCGGCTTACAACTACATTCCCTGAATCTCCACCCTGAGACTCAATGTTCTCTCAGTAGCTCTCCGGCCACTGACTAATTCCCTGTTTCTCCCACTAGAGAAATCAGTCCCTTCCTGTAGCTCACCGGCGACAGACTGCCACTTTCAAAAAGCTGCGCCGTGAAGTGATAGTTGGCTCTGCCCCCGTTGCTATGGCAACTCAGCTGAAGCCACTAGCCACCATCTCTAACAAAATATAATCTCCCATACTTACCATCCCTAAACCACTGTCCAAACTACACATAACCAAAGAATAAAACTTACACATCGTCACAAGGAGAAAGTCAGGGGAAGAGGTGACTTTTGGTGCACAAGCCGGGGTCTTCAGGCACGCCTCCGGACCCAAAGCGGGCCAGGCAAGGGAGTAAGTGCGGCAAGTGTAGTTACTGGGAGTGTAGTTCACCTACAATCAAAGAGCATTCTGAATTCCACCAATGATGGAATTGAACCAAATATGGCACACAGAACTCCCACGACGAACAGAAAATATATATCAATGATTGATGGGAGGGGGGGGGGGCGCCAAAATACTGTTTGCTTATTGTTGAAAATTACCGAGGGCCGCCTCTGGCTAGTATGTTTATGTTGTGCACAGGCGACTCTGGGTTTTAAGGATAGGAACGAACTAGGCTTGGGCAATCCATGGTTCTAAATGGTTCTAAAATACTTACAAAACTAAAGTTCTGGTGGTGAAAATTTCAGAACTCTAACAAAACTCTCAAAATTTCATAATAAATGGCAGTTCCTAATTGGTTCTGTCATTAAAATCACCAGTAATGAAATAATAATTAAATTTTGAAAGTTTTGTTAGAGTTCTGAAATTTTCACCAGCAGAACTTTAGTTTTGTAAGTACTTTAGAACCATTTAGAACCATAGATTGCCCAAGCCTAGAACAAACTATTGCTTTTGGGATTGCTACTAAAGATCCCAAAAGGAGGAGGAAGATGAAGGTAAAGAGGGAAGGGATGGGGGTGTCCTGACTTTGCAGTTTTTCACTTATTGTGGGTGGTTCTGAAACGTAACCCCCGCAATAACTGATGGAAGTGTAGCTAGCGTGTCGTCCTTTCCCCTCCGCCAGATCCACCAAGGATTCCTCCTTCTTCACGGTCGTCCTGAACAACCTCCGGGTCTTCCTCATCTTCGACTGGCTGGTGATGGTGCACGACTTCCTCCGGACGCCGAGCGAGGCGAGAAAGCAGCCCGGCCTCGGCCCTTTGCGGCAGCGCCATTCCAGCAGCGAGGCGGCCGTGGCGGTGGTCCCCAAGGCGGTCAAGAGCGGCATCGTCACCAAGCGCTCCTCCCTTCAACTCTCCACCGAAAAGCAACTGGAAGTAAAAATCAACGTGACGGGTGCGTTGCCATTTTGTGCCGTAGACTCAAAGCGAGAGATAGAAATTTTTTTTTTAAGTTAAATATTTTTATTTGGTTAGATGTAAGGAATTTAAGGAATTTAGTTGGTTAGATGGAAGGAATTTGTAACATTGTACAAATCGTACAGTTCTATACATCTATAGTAATAATAATAGTAATAACAGTAACAATAGTAATGTTAATAAACACCTTCTACTCATTTATACTCAGTATCCTTCTTCACTCATCATCCATTCATTCATTCACTCATTCATACTCACCATCCTTCTTCATTCTTAGTCCACTCGTTCACGCTTTCATACTCACCACCCTTCTTCACTATTAGTCCACTCGTTCACTCATTCATACTCACCATCCTTCTTCACTCTTAGTCCACTCGTTCACTCATTCATACTCACCACCCTTCTTCACTATTAGTCCACACATTCACTCATTCATACTCACCACCCTTCTTCACTATTAGTCCACTCGTTCACTCATTCATACTCACCACCCTTCTTCACTCTTAGTCCACTCGTTCACTCATTCATACTCACCAGCCTTCTTCACACTTAGTCCACTCGTTCACTCATTCATACACACCACCCTTCACTCTGTCCACTCGTTCACTCATTCATACACACCACCCTTCACTCTGTCCACTCGTTCACTCATTCATACTCACCACCCTTCTTCACTCTTAGTCCACTCGTTCACTCATTCATACTCACCACCCTTCTTCACAATAGTCCACTCGTTCACTCATTCATACTCACCACCCTTCTTCACTCTTAGTCCACTCATTCACTCATTTGTTCCCACCACCCTTCTTCACTCTTAATCCACTCGTTCACTCATTCATACACACCACCCTTCACTCTGTCCACTCGTTCACGCATTCATACTCACCACCCTTCTTCACTCAGTCCACTCATTCACTCATTTATACTCACCACCCTCGTTCACTCATTCATACTCACTATCCTTTTTCAATGTTAGCCCACTCGTTCACTCATTTGTTCTCACTATTCTTCACTCATCTTCCAGTCATTCACTCGACATACTCACCATCATTCTTCACTCATCATCCATTCGTTCACTTGTTATACTCACTGTCCTTCTTCATTCATAGTGCATTTATTCACTCATTCATACTCACCGCCCTTCTTCACTCTTAGTCAATTCATCCACTCATTCATACTCACCAGCCTTCTTCATTCCGTGGATCAGGCTTCTTGGGAAGGAGGCAAGTGTTCAAATGTTGCATTCCTTGCAGATCTGGCACACTTTGGGAAAGTCAAATGATCTCCTTATGTAGAACCTTTTGTTGTTGTACTCTTCATTTCTTCTTTCTCCTTCATCTCCTCCTTTCTTCTTCTCACCTTCTCTTTATTTCTTCCTTTGCCTTTTTCTTCTTCTTTCTTTTTCTCACCTCCCTTTCATTTCTCCTTCTCCATGTTCTTTCTTCTTCTCACCTTCTCTTCATTTCTTCCTTCACATTTTTATCCTTCTTTCTTTTTCTCACCTCCCCTTCACTTCTCCTTCTCCATGTTCTTTCTTCTCCTCACCTCTTCATTCCTTTTTTCTTGTCCTTGTTCTTTCTCCTTCTGACTTCCCCTTCATATCTTCCTCTTTCTTCTCCTTATTTCTTCTTCTCACCTCTTCATTAACTTCTCCTTCTCCTCCTTCTTTCTTCTTCTCACCTCCCTTTCATTTCTCCTTCTCCCCTCTTCATTTTTCCTTCTTCTTCTCCTTCTTCTTCTCCCCTCTTCATTTTCTCCATCTCCTCCTCCTCCGTCTTTCTTCTTCTCACCCCTTCATTTCTTCATTCTCCTTCTCCTCCTTCTTTCTTCTTCTCACCTCCCTTTCATTTCTCCTTCTCCATGTTCTTTCTTCTTCTCACCTCTTAATTCCTTCTCCTCCTTTTTTTCTTTCACCTTCTCTTTATTTTTTCCCTCGCATTTTTCTCCTTTCTTTTTCTCACCTTCTCTTCATTTCTTCCTTCTCCTCCTTCTTTCTTCTTCTCATCTACCCTTCGTTTCTTCCTTCTCCTTGTCCTTCTTCTCACCTCCTCTTCCTGTCTTTCTCTTCCTTCTTCTCCTTCTGCTTGTTTTCCTTCATCCACCTTCCCCCCTTCCATTCGCCCCCTTCATTACTTTTTCCTTTCCTTCCTTCCTCCCTTCCCCTCATTCACACATCACCTTTCTTTCTTCCTTGTGTTCATGCAGATACTGAATTTGTTGTGGTTGAGGACATGTCCTGCGCGGACACCAATGCCATCATTCTCAAAGGGACCACCGTTCTCACGTACAAACCCAAGCTGGTCGATCACCCCTTCTCTGGCAGTTTGTCTGGCATTGAGGTGAGACAACTCTGTGTTACTCTATAGGCCACCACTGAGAAGGCCCTGTCTCTTGTCCCCACCAGTTGTACCTGTGAAGTAGGTAGGACTGAGAGCAGGGTCTCCCCAGACGATCTTAATCTCTTATTGTCTCTTTTGTCATTTATTGTTGATATTGTCAGAGGACTAATGAATAAACAAATCTATCTATTATAAAAAATTCAATTAGAAAAACAATAATAATAATAATAATTATAATAATAATAATAAACTTTATTTATATACTGCTCCATCTTCCCGAGGGGACTCAGAGCGGTTCCCATGTAACATCACAAAACATACAAAGTAAAACACCATAACCATAAGATTACCAAAACAAAATATAAGCATAAAAATTGTCGCCATAACACACAGATATTAAAAGTAATCCTGCCTGTTCAATATACGTTGAGTATCCCTTATCTGAAATGTTTGGAGTTATAAGTATTTCCTGTTTGGTATTTCAGATTATGGAATACAATATTATTATTATGAATAATAATAATAATAATAATAATAATAATAATAATAATAATTGTATTTGTTGTCCAACTTTTCTAGCATATTACTATATTACTGATGTGCTGTGGTAATAACATAATATATTGTATACACATATTATATTGATAATAATATTATAATGTAATACAATATAATAATAAATAAATATAAGGATTATATTTTTATATTACATGTAATATTACTAATAATATTACAGTCTAGTGATATAGTACAATATAGTAATATATAACACTAATATTGTGTTGTGGTAATAATATCATCTATTGTATACACATATAATATTGGTAATAATATTATAATGTAATACAATATAATAATAATAAGAAGAAGAACAAGAAGAAGAAGAAGAAAAGAAGAATTATATTTTTATAATACATGTAATATTACTAATATTACAGTCTAGTGGTGTAGTACAATATAGTAATACATAATACTAATATTGTGTTGTGGTAATAATATAATCTATTATACACACATATAATATTGATAACAATATTATAATGTCATACAATATAATAATAATAATAATAATAATAATTATTATTATTATTATTATTATTATTATTATATTTTTATATTACATGTAATATTACTAATATTACAGTATAGTTGTGTAGTACAATATAGTAATACATAATACTAATATTGTGTTGTGGTAATAATGTAATATATTTATACACATTGATAACAATATTATAATGTAATACAATATAATAATAATAAATATAAGAATAATATTTTTACATTACATGTAATATTAATAATAATATTACAGTGTAGTGGTAGAGTACAATATAGTAATACATAATACTAATATTGTGTTGTGGTAATAATATAATCTATTATATACACATATAATATTGATAACAATATTATAATTTAATACAATATAATAATAATAATAATAATAATAATAATAATAATAATAAGAATTATATTTTTATAGTACGTGTAATATTACTAATAATACTACAGTATAGTGGTGTAGTACAATATAGCAATACATAATACTAATATTGTGTTGTGGTAATAATATAATATATTGTATACACATATAATATTCATAACAATATTATAATGTAATACAATATAATAATAAATATAAGAATAATATTTTTACATTACATGTAATATTACTAGTAATATTACAGTATAGTGGTAGAGTACAATATAATAATACATAATAGGGCTGGGTAACCACGGAAAAATTTGTTTCTAAACTCGATTAGTTTCCAGGGGGCGCTAGCGTTTCCAAATTCTAAATACTTCCGAAATTTTGAGATTTCAAAATTTTGTTATTTACGAAATTTCGTTAATTTCGAATCGATTCGTTAATGGCGGACGTGATTGCGCAATATGCTAAAAAACCCTCCAAATGGGACAGGGGGGACTTCTGAAGCTTCCCTCTCCCTCTGTTGTTGACTGTTGGTGTGATAATTTATTTTTTATCACTGATAAAACAAACAACAACTATAAAACTTGCACCAGACATACGGAAATAATTACGAAACAATTTCGAAACAATTTTGAACCAATTACGAAACAATTATGAAACAATACGAAATAAATTGGAAAAATTGTTTCGATTTTTAATTACTCCTCACACTATTCCTGCATGGCTCAATATCGGATCGTAAGCTAATTTAAATACGAATTAATAACGAATTATGAAATTAACGAACAAAACTGCCCAGCCCTAATACATAATACTAATGTTATGTTGTGGTAATAATATAATCTATTGTATACTATGTAACTATGATGTTACTGTTTATTGTTTGCGTTTTCAGTTTGTGTTTTTGGTTTTTCTTTATTGTAATTGTTGTTTGGGCTTGGCCTCATATGAGCCGCTCCAAGTCCCCATCGAGAAGATGGTGGCAGGGTATAAATAAAAATTATTATTATTATACACATATCATATTGATAATAATATTATAATGTAATACAATATAATAATTACATATTTCATCTTACTTGTAATATTACTAATAATATTACAGTATACTGGTGTAGTACAATATGGGAATGTATGCTACTAATATTGTGCTATGCTAATAATATAATATATTTTATTTACATATAACTTGTAAGCCGCTCTGAGTCCCCTTTGGGGTGAGAAGGGAGGCATTTAAATGTCGTAAATCAATAAATCAATAAATCAATAACACCCCTTCCTTATGCCTCCTGCCATTTTACGGATTTTCCTTCTCTCTCCCGGTCCGTGTCTCATACGCAGATGTCGTACGAGGCTGGAAATGGATACAATATAAGCCTAGTCATTGGCATGAATTTCTATTTTGTGCCGTTTTACAAATCCCTGATCCCTCTGTACGAGAACCTGTGCAGTAGAAAAAATGCACTCGTAAGCATAAGATCGGAGAAGCGAACCAGCAGGAATACTGAAAAAGCTTGAAAAAGAGGTGTCTGGGAAGTTATTTGGGGTTGCGTCCGGGATTTCTGTGCTTTCACCCGCTTTCTCAGCAAAGGGCCGAGCGCTTGAGTCCTCTCTTCCCCTTCCGTAGGTTTTCTCGTGCCGCCTGGGAAATGAGCAGGAGACAGCCCTCTCCATCATCGACCCCGCGCTCATCCAGGTGGAGCTCGTGGGCAGCTCTTCCTATCCGAGTGGGTCGGGATTGCTGGACGCCTTTAACAGCGAGGACTTCCCACCCATCCTAGAGGTGAGGGATGTTTCATTTGCCGTAAATACCCTAAACTAAGATATCTACCCGATGTTACCCCCTGCTTTCATCCTTTCTTTCTCTTTCCCTCGCCTCATACTTCCTCCCTTTTCTTCTTTCCTTCCCCTTTTTCCCCCCTCTCTCCCTTCTTTCCCTTCTTTTCTCTTTCCTTCTTTCCTTCCCTCTTTTTTCTTTCCCTCTCTCTCCCTTCTTTTCTCTTTCCTTCTTTCCTTCCCTCTTTTTCTTTCCCCCTCTCTCCCTTCTTTTCTCTTTCCTTCTTTCCTTCCCTCTTTTTCTTTCCCCCTCTCTCCCTTCTTTTCTCTTTCCTTCTTTAATTCCCTTTTTTCTTTCCCTCCCTCTCCCTTCTTTCCCTTCTTTTCTCTTTCCTTACCTTTTTTCTCTTTCCCCCCTTTCCCTCCTTTCCCTTCTTTTCTCTTTCCTTCTGTCCTTCCCTCTTTTTTCTTTCCTCCCTCTCCCTTCTTTCCCTTCTTTTCTCTTTCCTTCTGTCCTTCCCTCTTTTCTATTTCCCCTCTCTTCCTTCTTTCCTTCCCTCTTTTCTCTTTCCTTCTTTCTTTTTTCTTTACCCGCTCTCCCTCATCTCCCTTCTTTTCTCTTTCCTTCTTTCCTTCTCTTTTTTCTTTCCCTTCTTTTCTCTTTCCTTCTTTCCTTCCCTCTTTTTTTCTTTCGCCCTCTCTTCCTTCTTTCCCTTCTTTTCTCTTTCCTTCCCTCCCCTTGTATCTTTCCCCCCTTTCCTTTCTCTTCATTACTTCCCTTTCTTTTGCTCTTTTTTCTTTCCTTCTCTTTTTTTCTCTTTCCCCCTTCCCTTCTTTTTCTCTTTCTTTCCTTCTCTCACCTCTTTCCTTCCTTCCACTCTTCTTTCTCCCTTCAGCTCTTAGGAGGGCCTGCCTCTAAATGTCTCCAGGGCAACATACAGCTTTCTTTGTAGCTCTTATCATCCTTCCCCCTTCTTCTCTCCTTTCCCTTTGCTTTCTTCCTTTTTTTCTTTCCTTCCTTCCACTCTTCTTCCTCCCTTCTCCAGCTCTGAGAATGGCCTGCCTCCCAATGTCTCCAGGGCAACCCATCTATCTTCATGACACTTTCCGTCCTCCCCCTTCTTCTCTCCTTTCCCTCCTTTCCCCTTTGCTTTGCTGTGCTCTACTTCCCTTCTTTTTCTTTGTTTCCTTCGCCTTCCCTTTCTCCCTTCTCCAGCTCTGAGAGGGCCTACATCACAAGGTCTCCAGGGCAACATGGCTCTCTTTGTGGCTCTTTCCTTCTTTTCTTCCGCCCTTCCACCTTTCTTTCCCAGTGACATCACAGAAGGCCACTCCACCTAGCAATCCTGTGACATCATAAAAGGCCACTTAAATTACTATTTTGTTATTTGGATCGTACAAAGGCCACTAGATCATTACCTAGCAACAGTCTTTGTGGTACAGACAGAGAGACCTACAGAGAAATATCCCACGGTGTTGTTGTTCCGCGCCATTTGTGTCCAAATGGACAGCCTGCTGTTTGCCGCTACATCATTCTGGTGATCCCGACGTGATACCGGATTAGTGGAGAGGAAGAAGAATACCAGATGGATCACTGAAAGAGAGATCACCACGGTCCCAGTTCCCAAAGTCCACTTTTTTGCCCTTGCCTTTTCCAGATCCAGTTGCAAGCCCTCGACATCCGTCTGTCTTACAACGACGTCCAACTCTTCCTGGCCATTGCTAAGTCCATTCCTGGCCAGACCGGAAGCAGCAGCACCGCTGGACCTTGTTCCTCACCCTCGGGAACCGACACTTCTGTTTCTTCTTCGGGTTCCACCCGGGCGAAGGAGATGTCCGGGCTGGCACTGGAAGTCGCGGAGACATCGAGACACACTTTGGATCCCGTTCTTGGTACACGCCTCCTTTTAAGACTAAGCTTGTTGATTAGCGACCCTTGGGCATAAGATTCAGCCAGTTTATAGGCGAGAAGATTCATTCCATCTTGGAAATGGTATTTTGCTGATGTAACCAGCATATTTTACCCAGTGTAGTCCACATTTTGGAGGAACTTTTGTCATGAATTTTTTTTAACCTTAAAGATGTTATTTAATTGGTTTTCAGTAGCACAGAGTATCTGAGGGTCCAGGGTTGAAGTCCCTGTTTGGGCGCCAAAACATGTTGACGCACAGCGCTCCCTTATTTCTAGTCCTTCCCCATTAAGACTAGGAATTGAGGAATTAAAATTACAAAGGCACACAGACTCCAGGACTGGGATTTTCCCTACGTGTCTGTGCTGTGAATGCACACTAATGGTACTCCGCATGCGCAGCCTCGCTCCGGATATATACTCAGCATATACATTCAACATTCATCCTCACCATACTTCTTCGGTCAGAGTCCATTCATTCACTCATTCATACTCACCGTCCTTCACTCAGAGTCCATTCATTCACTCATTCATACTCACCATCCTTCTTCACTCATTCATTCATTCACTTATTCATACTCACCATCCTTCCTTCACTCAGAGTCCATTCATTCATGTCAGAGTTTGGGGGCGCGCAGCAGAAGGATTGCTAGATCAGCAGACACTGTGTTGTAAAATAAGGACTCTGCAGGCTTTCAGTTACAAAAATAACTAAGTTTTACTAAGCACATTCAAACACGTCTTGTTACAGTGAGCTACAATCAGGAACTAGTCAAAACGAAAGTATCTGCACATCAGCTTATCTCTCTTCTTGCTGAGACTAACTACTCCCTTCTGCTCCCAGCAAGCGCAAACGTTATCTCACTTCTCTCAAGGTTACATTATCACAGCCTCATGGATTAAACATTCTGCACAGCATTTCTAATACACAGTAGAATCCATATTGGAAATACATAGAAGCACATTGAAAACACACATATAACTAAATTAACCCTGACAATTCACTCATTCATACTTATCACCCTTCTTCACTCTTAGTCCACTCGTTCACACATTCATACTCACCATACTTCTTCACTCGTCCATTCATTCGCTATATTTATTCATACTCACCATCCTTCTTCACTCATTGTCCATTCATTCACTCATTCATACTAACCATCCTTCTTCGCTCATCCATTCTTTCACTCATTCATACTCATCATACTTCTTCACTCATCGTCCATTCATTCACTCATTCATACTCACCATCCTTGACTCATCGTCCATTCATTCACTCATTCATACACACCATCCTTCTTCACTCACCATCCATTAATTCACTCATTCATGCTCACCATCCTTCTTCACTCAATGTTCATTCAATCACTCATGATACTCACCATCCTTCTTCACTCATCCATTCATTCACTTATTCATACTCACCATCCTTCTTCACTCAGAGTCCATTCGTTCACTCATTCATACTCACCATCCTTCTTCACTCACCATCCATTAATTCACTCATTCATGCTCACCATCCTTCTTCAGTCATCGTTCATTCAGTCACTCATGATACTCATCCTTCTTCACTCTTAGTCCATTCATTCACTCATTCATGCTCACCAACCTTCACTCATTGTCCATTCACTCATTCATACCATCCTTCTTCACTCATAGTCTATTCATTCACTCATCTTACTCACCATCCTTCACTCTTCGTCCATTCATTCACTCATTCATACCATCCTTCACTCATGGTCCATTCATTCACTCGTTCATACTCACCATCCTTCTTCACTCATTGTGCATTCACTCATTCATACCATCCTTCTTCACTCATAGTCTATTCATTCACTCGTCATACTCACCATCCTTCACTCATGGTCCATTCATTCACTCGTTCATACTCACCATACTTCTTCACTCATTGTCCATTCACTCATTCATACCATCCTTCTTCACTCATGGTCCATTCATTCATTCATTCATTCATTCATCATACTCACCATCCTTCATCCAGTTGATCAGGCTTCTTGGGAGGAAGGAGGTGTGTGTTGCAAAATCCTGCATTCCTTGCAGATCTGGCACACTTTGGAAGAGGAAAAGGGTCTCCTTATGTAGAACTTGTTTTTGTTGATGATTGTTTAGACAATCTTGTTCAGCTAAGACTTGCTGGAGCCCCTTCAAGTGTTGATGGGGTGTGGTGGTGGTGGTGGTAATTTCTTATGTTTGCCAGTGATCACTCTCGTGAAAAATATTTTGGGGTATGGGTGTGGATTTAGTTTGCCATGTTATCCCTTGTAGAAGTGCAGCTTGCCCGACTGCAGGAATTGGGCTTCAGCCTCGACGACTGCCGGAAAGCTCTCCTGGATTGCCAAGGTATTGTGACTTTGCACAGAGTCCATAAAATGCCTCCCGAAGAGTTCACAATAAACATTTTCTGTGTCGGCACTATGGTCCCCCTGCAGCCTACCCCCTAGATTTCATCTCTATTGTATTTGACCAGTTTTAGACCCAGAGATCGGTAATTCCTACGTTGTTAACATTTCCCCTTTTCCGGCTGATGTTTGCCGTTGATCCTTTTCATGGAAAATAAATGTTTTGTGGCAAAAAAGGATAAAGAACCCTCAAGTCCAAGGGAAGGATGAAAAATGTAGTAGAAGTAGTAGTAGGATTAGGAGTAGTAGTAGTAGTAGTAGTAGGATTATGAGGAGTAGTATAAGTAATGGTAGAATTAGTAGTATTTATTTATTTTCTATATTTATACCTCGCCCTCCTCCCCCCTAAGGGGGATTCAGGGCGACCTAGTAGGATTAGAAGTAGTAGTAGGATTGGTAGTAGAAGTAGTAGGATTAGTAGTAGAAATAATAATAGGATTAGTAGAAGTAGTAGGATTAGGAGTAGGAGTAGACATAGTAATAGGATTAGGAGTAGTAGTAGAAGTAGGATTAGGAGTAGGATTAGTAGTAGAAGCAGTATGATTAGGCATAGTAGAAATAGTAGTAGGATTAGGAGTAATAGTATTAGGATTAGGAGGAGGAGCAGAAGTAATAGTAGTAGTAGGATTAGAAGTAGAAATAGGAGGATTAGAAGTAGAAATAGTAATAGGATTAGTAGTAGAAGTAGGATTAGGAGTAGTAGTAAACATAGTAGTAATAGGATTAGTAGTATAGAATCAAAGAATTGAAAGAGATCTCATGGGCCATCCAGTCCAACCCCCTGCCAAGAAGCAGGAATGTTGCATTCAAATCACCCCTGACAGATGGCCATCCAGCCTCTGTTTAAAAGCTTCCAAAGAAGGAGCCTCCACCACACTCCGGGGTAGGGAGTTCCACTGCTGAACGGCTCTCACAGTCAGGAAGTTATTCCTCATGTTCAGATGGAGGATTAAGAGTAGGATTATGAGTAGTAGTAGAAATAGTAGGATTAGGAGTAGCAGAAATAGTAGGATTAGGAGTAATACTATAAGTATTAGGATTAGGAGGAGGAGCAGAAATAGTAGTAGGATTAGTAGAAATAGTAGTAGAAGTAGGATTATAAGTAGTAGAAATAGTAATAGGATTAGTAGTAGAAGTAGGATTAGGAGTAGTAGCAAACATAGTAGTAATAGTATTAGTACTAGTGGAAGTAGTAGGATTATGAGTAGTAGTAAAAGTAGTATGATTAGGAGTAGTCAAAATATTAGCAGGATTAGGAGTAATAGTAGCAGTATTAGGATTAGGAGGAGGAGCAGAAATAGTAGTAGTAGGATTAAGATTAGTAGAAGTAGTCAGATCTTGAAGGAAAATGCATACTCTACACTTAATAAATCCAGTTTATTTCTTTACAATCTCTTTAATTATGTATTATTTTTATCTATGATTGGTTGTAATATTTACATTTGCCTTATTTAAAAACACTGCTGAAATTGCCGATTGCCAATGCGATATAAGGGAGGTTAACTTGGTGAAATAACCCTAACTGCTGCGAGAGCAGCGGATGAAAGGAACTGAAAGGAACTGAAGCAGTAGCCCCACCGACTGGCTATATGTACTCTAGGGGAGAGTGGGCGAGGCTATCACTTAAAAGTGTCTAATTGGTTTTCTAGAAGATTCTGAACTTGGTGGTGGACGTTGCGCGTGTCTTGAGTTAAAGCGTATTTTTGCACCAGAACTTTATGCTCCAAATGTTTCCTGTTCGAAAGGAAATGTGCGGCGCTAAGAGCCACAAACGAACCCACCGCCTTTCTTACCTTTAGGTCAGCTGAAGAAAGCGGCGAGCTGGCTGTTCAAGAACGCGGAGCCGCTGAAGCGCCTCCCGTCCGACCCAAACGCCCACGACTCCCTCGGCCCCTCCTCGGCCTTGCGCTGGGTCTCCGGCCTTGACATCAAAGCCGAAAGCATCTGCATCTGCTTCATCGACGACTGCATGGACTGCGACGTCCCTTTGGCGGAGTTAACGTTTTCACGTAAATAAAAAATGTGTCTTTGCATTGCGCGGCCACAATGAGACCCAAAGACACATGTGTTTTGTGTGTTTTGCTTGTTGAAAACGGCTTGACAGTAATCGATTTTTTTCCCTCCAATTTCCTGTGTTGACTTTCGTTACAGGTTTAAATTTCCTCCAGCATCTTAGGACGAGCCCTGAAGGCTATGCTCATTTCACGCTCTCCGGAGATTACTATAACCGTGAGCTTTCAGGTAAGGATATGCGGGTATTAGGCTTGTTTGATCCAGTTCGTTAATTTCTTATCTTGTTATTAATTCGTTAAATAATTACCTTTAGAAGCGATATCAACCCGGAAGTGTTTTTGCCATATTGAAGCTGTGTCCGCCATCTTCCTTACGACTTCTGCCAGTGAATCGTAAATGCTGGGGGAGTGGCCTTCAGGAATAGCTGTTCTTACCCACTCCCACCTCCTTCCTCTTTGCATCGGCGGCTTTGTGAGGTGGGCGTGACTACCTCCCTGGCGACAAGCGGCGATGCAGAAGAGCTGGCCGTAGCCACGCCCACCTCGCAAAGCCGCGATGCAAAGAGGAAGGAGGTGGGCGTGGCCAAGTACAGCCCTCCTTGGAGGCCTCGCTCCAGTGACCTCCGAGGAGAGCTGTGCTTGGCCACGCTCACCTCTCCCTTCGACAGCTTGCCAGGGAAGAGAAAGAAAGGTGAGAGATTTAAAAAGTGTTAGTTGTAAAATCTCCAAGGAGCGGTGTGCTTGGTCGCTGGGGGGCGAGGCCTCCAAGGAGGGCTGTGCTTGGCCACGCCCACCTCTCCCTTCTGCATGGAAGCTCGCCGCAAGGGAAGGAAGGGAAACTGCGAGATTTTAATGGTTCTGGAGGGAGGGAAGGGCACCTTCCATTAACGAAACAAAGGAAACAATTCGTATTTCCTGGTATTTCCGATCTTTTTTAAAATAAAATTTTGGAAATAATTTTACAATCGAACCCCCAGCGTCCCCTACAAACAAAACGAGTTTAGAACCATTTTTTTCTTGATCAACCAAGCCTAACGGGTATCTAGGGAGATATTTAGAAATACACACACAATTTCCTTCTACATTCCTCTTTCCCTTTGTTCATGTCCTGGTACTGTCTTACCAGCTTATCTCAAACAGACCCTTCAGTTTGAATTTTCTAATGGTAATTGAAAAGAGAATATTCGCATTTTTTTTGTTTACTAGATTGGGGACCTGGCGGTGCCTGGGTTATTTGAGAAAGACATTGTTTGTGCTCCAAGTTTAGTCTAGAGCCCTCAGGAGGTCCCATCATCCACGGTCCATCCTCCCCCAAACTACAATAGGATGTAAAGTGGGTCATGGGGGGAGGGGTCTGTGTGGCAAGTTTCGTCCTGATCAGTCATTGGTTGGGGCCACAGTGATCTGTGGGAGCCGAAGAGTTTGAAAGTACTGCAGATCCCATCATCCATCGTCCATCCACCCACCAACCGCACCAGGATGTAAAGGGGGTTGTGAGGGTTATGTGTGCCAGGTTTGGTCCAGGTCCGTCACCCGTGCTGATCGCAGTGGCCTGTAGAAGTGGGAGCAAACCAGAAAACTGCCACATACACCACCGCATACAAACATACATACATACAAACATACATGCATTCTCTCTCTCTCTCTCTACACACACACGCACACACACACATATATATAGATAGATAGACTATTTATCAAACCCTTTAGACCCCTACCAGTTTTAATTTTGGTATGGCACATTTCTTTTCTTGATCCACCTATCAGGGTGACTTGTCCAAATAAACCTATTGCACAGTCTCCTCGCTCCTAGTGTCGATTAAGAAGATGATTCAATCAAGAAGATTGATTCAGTTCTTTGCCATTTCCCTTTCCCTTTTACTCCATCAATAGGCCCTTTCTATTTCGACTTTCAGTTCTCCTTCAGATGTCCATTTGTATATTTCATTCTTCGTTCAGTGGAGATGTAGTCTTGGAGCATATTATTTGATAAATATGCTCCATAGCTAAGCTGTGTCTTAAGTTTTGGTGTGGCACTTTTCTTTTGTTGCTCCATCCGGCAGGGTGACTTGGTCAAATAAACCTATCGAACAACCCCCTTGCTCCTAGTGTCCGATTGGTTAGAAACCCTAGAAGGTTGTTTTGGGCCAAAAAGAAAGAGAGACACAGTATTGGAGTAAATAAACACCCTCTGGGTAGGTACATGAATTAGTTCCTTCTCTCGAATCCTCCCTATTCTGCGCATGGGATTGATTGTCTCAAGGCAAGCAGTGAGATCAAAACATAAACACAGCAGAGTCTTTATCTGTAGTTAGCAGATTTACAGCCTCTGACCTCGTTTGCTTCTCACTATTTTAATAAGCATACTTGAGCTGTGGCTTTCATCCAGACTTTTTAAGGAGTTGCCTATGTACAACTATTTACTAGAGGTGTGCATTTTGCTTGACTCGGATGTTGTGTAGTTTTTATAGTCTCAAATTTTTCACTAACTATACTTTGGAAACACTTCAGAAACGAAACACCGTCGACCCCCAGTTTTGTAACCATTTTTAATGGATCGCACATCCCTACTGTTTACCCCTCAGGTCTGCTATGAGTATATGCTGAGATATAATCAAAGCAACATAACGACAAACGACCATGGCAAGACGCGTGCACGTCTTGCCATGATCGTTTGCAAGAAGATCTGCACATGCCTGCCACTCACTTTTATACCTATAGGAAGCACAGAAAATGATACAGTTCTCATGCCTGTCACATGGTCAGTCACATACCTGTCAGCTGTCCTTCTAGATCAAGCATGAGCCGGGAGGCTGTTAGGAATTGTGAGAATTGAAGTCCAAAACACTTGGAGGGTCGAAGTTTGCTCATGCCTGCTCTAAATCCATGTCTAGAGCAGGTGGAATTTCACCTGTGTGACCACATGTCCATTAGAACTGTATTTCTTCATGCCATAATACAGAATGGCATTAATAGACAATGCCATAATATTATCTACCTAACACAGGATCCCAGCACAGTGTCCATGTTTGAACCAGGGTTGATTGATGCCCGTGCTCTTCTTCCTGCCTCAGGTTGGGAGCCGTTCATCGAGCCTTGGCCGTGTTCGGTGTCCTGGCAGCAGCAGTCGGCCAGCCGCCTTCACCCTCCGCGGCTGAAGGTGGAGGTGAAAGCCAAGCATCGGCTGGACATCAATGTCACGTCCGTGTTACTCGGTGGGTCGGATGCCTGAGAAAGTACTAAACGTTCCTGGAAAGAATTAATTAGTGGAGTTCTGCAAAAAGAGTGTTCAGTCCTGGGCCTAGTTCAGAGTTTCACACTGTGTTATATAGTGTAATCCAAAATCATGGGAGTTGTCATCAATACCACCTGGGGACCCAAACTGGGCAAAAATTAGAGTACTGACCACTATGTAAAAAGACCATAGTTAGCCTTCTGTCTCCATGGATTCTCCATTCATGGAGTCAATGGCCCTTTATTTTATTTATTTATTTACAACATTTATATGCCGGCCTTCTCACCCCGAAGGGGACTCAAGAGCGGTTTACAAGTAAAAAGTAAATACAATATATTATTATCATAGCACAATATTAATATATTACATTGTAGTATAACATTATACTGTAATATTATTAGTAATATTACATTTAATATAAAATATATAATTATAATATATTAGTAGTATTATATTGTATTACATTATAATATCATCAATTTTGAAAGCCTACCAGACGAAATCATGTTAGTTTTAGAGTTAGAGTGAGGTTTAACCCTAGCCCTAACCCTCACCCTAACATGATTTTTGTTCCTGGGTTAACAACGTCACTTCCTAATTGATCTATCATAAAAGCATAGAAAATCAGCACTTTCCCATCGTGGTCCCTGTGAATCGCACATATGGTATTTCCTTCACCTGCGCAGTCAGTTCGGAATCTTCTAGAAAACCTATTAGACACTTTTAAGTGGTAGCCTCACCCACTCTCCCTTTGAGAGTATATATAGCCAGTGGGTGGGGCTACTGCTTCAGTTCCTTTCATCCGCCGCTGTAGCGAAATTGCTACTCTATGTTAATTTTTTAGTGTATAGCTCTATGTTTACATATGGCAGATAGGGAAGAATAGGCACAGACAGGGTAGCAACAGCAGAGATAGGAATCATTTGCATATGTGAAGCCGATTGGTCATATGCAGATTAGCGTAGGCCCAGGATTTGAAAAGGCTGCTAGGCCAAAATGACAATTGGGGAGAGCAGAGCTGAACATTCCATAGGGGCGGAACCAAGGTTTTGAAAGAGGCAGTTAGAGTGAGAGAGTTTGAAAATGACAGGAATCTGTGTGTGAAAAGGATAGTTGGGTTTTTTTGAGTGTCTGTTAGAAAATAAGCAGTTATGAAGATGTGTTAAAGACTTCTAATATAGAGAAGCAGTTAAATAGAGCTCGCGTTTTAAGGACTATAAAGAAAGCCAGTGTTGTTTTAGTCAGAATATAATTCAGCCAAGAGTGTGTAAAGCAAGTATAACATGTTTGTGAATGTGAAACATTGAAAGTCTATTCAGAAAAGTAAACCAAGTAAATGATACTGATTGTAAGCCTCAAGATTGCAACAAAACACCAATGTAACCACAAGCGTTGGAGCTAGAAGTTATAAATAAACTGTGTTACTTGGTTATACACAAGAGTGTCTCATTGCCTGTGAATAAAAGTACAAAGGTTTAACAGCACGCAGAAAGTCCCAGCCAATATAAAAGAAGAAACTGAATCAGTATAACAGCAAAGAGGTTTTTAATAAGGAAATAGTCTTTCTCCCTCGCCTCAGCCACTCTCGCAGCAGTTAGAGTTATTATATTATTATATTAATTTAATATCGTATTATTATTGTTGTATTATAGCATGATAATTACATTATTATCAATATAAATAAAAATGTAATGTTTTTTGTTTGTGGGATTAACATAGCTCAAAAACCACTGGACGAAATGACCGTTTCTTAAAAGGAATACCGGAAGCAGATTGTTCCCTTTCTTGACGCCATCCATTCAATCTCATGACTCTGGATCTCTCGTGTTTCCTTTCTCCAGAACTGTACACCAGCACAAAGCAGTCCTGGATGGAGGATTACTGCAAGCACGAGAATGCGACGGAGGAAACTGAGTCGGAGGAATGGATGGGCTCTTCCGTCGATCCGCCTTCCTTTGGACAAAGTAGGAGTTTTGCTTTTAGGCCGACATCCTCCCTTTTGTGATATTGGCTAGTATACCATCCTTTCAGCAGAAGGTACAGGGCCCCCGTTACTAATGGTTTTCCTCCCGTGTTTTTGTAGAACATAGTAGGTTTGGAAATGGTTCGCAAAACTTTATTTTGTTTAGAGATGGGAAGGCGTGGAAAAAAACCCGGAAAACCCCATATTTTTTTTCCGGAGCACAGTTTAGGAACTGCTATTTTCAGCCATGGAATTATTTTGGGGTTAATTGTGTTTCAAAGTGGAAAAATTACACGCCATTGTCTGTCCCTCATGTCATCACCATTGTGAAAAATCCCCACCCACCCAAATGCTTCTCTTTACCCCAATATCTAACCCAAACTATATGCTTTCCTTGCCTGTGTCACCTTTGAAACTCTGGTGGAGGCTCCTTTTTTGGAGAAAAACTAGATGTCCATCCGTTGGTTGGTGCTTTGACTGCATGAAAGAAGGGGTTTGGACTAGATAGCCTTTGGGGACCCCTTCCGACTCTAGGATTCTATTATTCCTTCCTTGTTGAGCTTCGCCTCTCCTTCGATAATGACTTCCTCCAAAACAAATCCAGTGAAGCAAAGCTCAAAATGCTTATAACATTTCCCTCAGCCAATATTCCGGTCTTGCTTCCTGGTGATATCCCAGTACAGTGTTCCCTCGCTATTTGGCAGTTCTCTTATTGCAGACTCGCTATTTTGTGAGTTTCGAAGAGGAGGAAGGAAGAGGAGGAGGGGAGGGGGAGCAAAGTGCTAACGCTTACCCTGGGGCTTGTCTCCGGACTCACCGGCGACGGCCTCCTGCTCACCACCTCCGCTGCTCCCCGCTGCTCCCCGCTCCTTCCTCGGAGGCCTCTGCCCAGCCTGGCAGCGCCATCAACGACGTCCCAGGGGCCTCTGAGGCCGGGTGCAGTGGAGGCGGCAAGGAGGAGAAAGGCGCTGCGAAGTAGGGACACTCCGACCACTTGGCAATGGCCTCCTCCTCACCACCTCCGGTGCTCCCCACTCCTTCCTCGGAGGCCTCAGCCCAGCCTGGCAGCGCCATCAACGGCATCCCAGGGGCCTCTGAGGCCGAGTGCAGTGGAGGCGAGGAGGAGGAGGGCATTGCGAAGTAGGGGCACTCCGACCACTCGGCAGTGGCCTCCTCACCACCTCCGGTGCTCCCCACTCCTTCCTCGGAGGCCTCAGCCCATCCTGGCAACGCCATCAATGGTATCCCAGGGGCCTCTGAGGCTGGGTGCAGTGGAGGTGAGGAGGAGGGCATTGCGAAGTAGGGACACTCCAACCATTCGGTGGCGGCCTCCTCCTCACCGCCTCCGCTGCTCTCCACTCCTTCCTCGGAGGCCTCAGCCCAGCCTGGCAGCGCCATCAACGATGTCCCAAAGCAGGGGTAGGGAACCTTTGGCCCTCCAGCTGTGGTGGACTTCAACTCCCACAATTCCTTGAGGCTCGGCATTGGGCCAAGGTAAGCCTTTGAGGGGAATGCCGAACCTCAAGGAATTGCGGGAGTTGAAGTCCACCACAGCTGGAGGGCCAAAGGTTCCCTACCCCTGTCCCAAAGGCCTCTGAGGCCGGGTGCAGCGGAGGCGAGGAGGAGGAGGGCGCTGCAAGGTAGGGACACTGACTACTCGGCGGAAGCCTCCACCTCCTCACCGCCTTTGCTGCTCCCGGCCTCGTAAGCGCTTGGGCTCCGGTGATGGCAGTGCCAGGCTGGACTGAGACTTCAGACCAGGCCTCAGCCCAGCCTGGCAGAACCATCAATGGCGCCCAAGGAGCCTCTGACTCTGGGAGTAGTGGAGGGCGAGGAGTGGGTGGAGTATTCCTTCTTCACAGCACCCTCCTCCTCCTCGCCGCCTCCGCTGCTCCCGGCCTCAGACGACCCTTGGATGCCGTTGATGGTGCTGCCGGCTGGGCTGAGGCCTCCGAGGAAGGAGCAGGGAGCAACGGAGGCGGTGAGGAAGAGGAGGCCACCGCCGATGAGCCCGGAGAGAAGCCCTAGGGTAAGGTCCAGCACCTGGCTCCCCCTACCCTCCTCCTCTTTCCCTGCTTTACGGATTTTCACTTATTGTGGTGGTCCTGGAACGGAACACCCGTGATAAGTGAGGGAACACTGTATTGCTTCGGGAACCCTCTGTCCCTGCTGGTGGTGTGTCCTCTATGCTCACTGGTGTTTTTGTATGCAGAATAATCATAATAGATGGCCTTTGGGGGCCCCATCCGACTCTAAGATTCTATGATTCCTTCCCAATCAAGCTTTGCCTCTACTACTATGAGTTTCTCCAAAAAACAAACCTCGATATGCTTCCTGTAACTTTCCCTCCACCAGTATCCTGGTTTTGCTTCCTGCTAATATCCCAGTATTGTTTGGGGGAGCCTCTGTCGCTGCTGCTGGTGTATCCTTTAAGCTTGCTGGTGTTTTTGTACGCACAATAGTAGTAGTAGTAATAATAATAATAATAATAATAATAATAATAATAATAATCTTGCCTGTATCAATTTGCCTTTCCTTCCCATCCTTCCTTCCTTCTTTCCTCGCTAACGGTGTCTTTCCTGTCCGCCAGGCCTTCCTCTTGTCTACCTTAGAACTAGGAGCACAGCCAGTCTGACTAACCTAGAGCACCAGATGTATGCTAGAGGTACTGTATTTGCAGAACTGAGATAACGTTGCCGTTTTCCCAGAAACCCCTTGTGCCGCTAGTTTGCTACAAGTCGTTTTACGCCTTCTTTGCATGGCACTTCGGGGGCATTGATTCTGAAGGGAGATTCTCCTAAAACTTTGTGTTTTTTTGTGGGAGGGACATCCTACTATAGTTTTGCAGTGACTATTCCCCATTGTGGTCCCTGTGTATCACACATATGGTATTTCCTGTGCCTGCGCAGACAATTCGGAATCTTCTAGAAAACTTATTAGACACTTTTAGGCGGTAGCCCCGCCCACTCTCCCCTCCGCGGAAACACCCTTTCAACCCATGCCAACATTCAGCACTGAAATGGGTTTGTTCCATAGCGTAATATATGACAGATAATGTATGTGATTTGTGTTCCTACATGGCAGAAGTGGGGTTGGACTGGATAGGCCCTTGTGGTCTCTTCCAGCTTTGTGATTCATTGAGTCTGTACAGTGTTCCCTCGCTACTTCGCGGTTCACTTTACGCAGACTCGTTTCGCGATTTTTTAAATTAATCTATATAAGTTCGTTTGTGGGATTAATAGAACTCAAAAACCACTGGACGAATTGACACCAAATTTGGACACAAGACACCTAACAACCCAATGTATGTCCTTCACTAAAAAAAAATTGATTTTGTCATTTGGGAGTTGTAGTTCACCTACAATCAAAGAGCATTCTGAACCCCACCAATGATGGAATTGAACCAAACTTGCCACACAGTTCTCCAATGACCAACAGAAAATACTGGAAGGGTTTGGTGGGCAGTGTCCTTTGGTTTCTGGAGTTGTAGTTCACCTACATCCAGAGATCACTGTGGACTCAAACAATGATGGATCTGGACCAAACTCTATACAAATACTCAATATGCCCAAATGTGAACACTGGTGGAGTTTGGGGAAAATAGAATCTTGACATTTGGGAGTTGTAGTTCCTGGGATTTATAGTTCACCTACAATCACAGAGCATTCTGAACCCCCCCCCCATGATAGAATTGGACCAAACCTCCCACACAGAACTCCCATGTGGGCCACAGCAATGCGTGGCAGGGGACGGCTAGTATTAATATAAAATATTTACATTACAATGAGTCTCAGTAAGGGGGGCTGGTGTTGCGGGCCGGGACTCCCTCTGACGGTTCTGCTTGCCCTCCCGCGACTTGGAGCGTTTGTGCCTGCCTCCCTGGTCTCCGCGGACCTCGTCAGAGTGGCGGCCTGAGGCATGGCGGGGCAATTCTACATTTTATCCAGAGCACGAAGAAATTTGCAAAGGGACAATTCTAACCTATATCTAGGTTGTTGTAGGTTTTTGGGTCTTTTCGCCCAACTCCTTATCTAATGTTGCAGTTTCTGGCTCCTCTGACCGACCTTGAAGTCAGCATATAGCAAGGGGTGTGCAATATGGCCATGTTCTAGAAGCATTCTCTCCTGACATTTCGCCTGCATCTATGGCAAGCATCCTCAGAGGTTGTGAGTGTTGTGCAGCAGCGGATTTTACCCAGTGCCCAAAGTCCAAATGCAATAGACTCACAGACAAGAGGAAAAACGAAGAGAAAAATCTTTTCTCTTTACTCAGTAGAGATGAAACATGAACTTGCAATGTTGCATACAGAAATCAAGCAGTGCAACAAACGTACATCATCTTTGTAAGAAACATAGAATAAGGCATCTTCATCTTATATCAAATGAGAGAGGAAAACATAAACCTTGAGTAAATAGCTATTCCACCATAGCCTCCTTCAGAGTAACTTCTCCATGCTGCTCCCCAGAGCAAAGCCTTTGAGCCTAGATCTCCTCAGAGAAAACGCTCTCCAGAAGCTCTCGTAAAGCTCTCCTGAACTGAATTAAAAACTCATACAGTTATACACCATCGGGTATGGCCCAGGCTTGCTGGTTGACCTACGTTACCCGCTGCACAAGATAATTATGGCATCTTCGGAGTATGTGAGACGTCACAACCTCTGAGGATGTTTCTCTTAGATACAGGCAAAATGTCATGAGAGAATGCTTCTGGAACATGGCCATACAACCTGTAAAACTTACAGCAACCCAGTCATTTCGGCCATTTTTTTTTGTATCGGGAGCGACTTGAGAAACTGCAAGTCACCTCTGGTGTGAGAGAATTCGCCTTTCTGCGAGGACATTACCCAGGGGGCGCCAGGACGTTTTTGATGTTTTTACCGTCCTTGTGGGAGGCTTCTCTCATGTCCCTGCATGGGGAGCTGGAGCTGACAGAGGGAGCTCATCCGTGCTCTCCCCAAATTTGAACCTGTGACCTGTCGGTTTTCGGTCCTGCTGGATTTTATGGATTTTATGACCTGCAAGGGTGTGATAGGTCCTTGAAGGGAAAAATACTGAGGGCTCAGCAGGAAGGGAGAGCAGCGCATTCTCAAAAAGGGCTGACTGTAAAACCAGACGATACGTCTCAGCTTCGTGGCATTTTTTTCCCCTCGCCACCCAATGGCTTTGCTCTGCAAATTAAGCAATTGCATTTAATCTCCTCGCCTCTGGTGTCTGATTTTGAGGGGGTTTTTTTGGGGGGGGGGACGACTGATGAGCCTCAACATTTTCCTCTGGGTCCTTTGCAGCAGAAATGAAGACCCCCAAACGCAGGCAGCCCTTTGTGCCCTTTGCGCTGCGCAACCACACCGGATGCACCTTGTGGTTCGCCACCTTGACGACAACCCCGACCCGGTAAGGAAATTGGATCGCAGGAAGAACGGGAAAGTAAAAATCTTGTCAGGTAGAAAAAAAATGCCATATTATTAGATCGGAATGCATTGCATGTACCTCCATTGTGTGGGAAAATACCGTTCTAATGGACATGTGGTCCTTCAGTTTGGGAGTTCACCTCCATCCGGAGACCACTGAGGATTCAAACAATGATGGATCTGGACTAAAATTTGAAACGATGCCAGTAGTAGCCACAGATGCAGGCCAAATGTCAGGAGGAGAAAATGCTGCTAGAAGACAGCCCGGAGGCCTGTGTCCGGGTGGTCTTCCTTAGTCACGGTCTTGATTCTAGAGCTTTTCAATATCAGTAGCCAAATGTTGTGATAGTTCCGATGTGACCTTTGCTTTCAGGGCGGCGCTCTCTCACAGCGGGAGCCCCGGCGTGATCCCCGAGGGGAACGGGACCTTCCTGGAAGGCATGCACAGAGTCAGCGAGTGGCGCGAAGTCCTTCCCGGGGAAGAGATCCCGTTCGCGTTCGAAGCCAAAGGGAAACTCAGGCACAGGTGAGGATGAAGCGGGTCGGGGTCCCTTCGCCACATGCTCCCCTCTTGGTGTTGAAAGAAAGAAAGGGAAGAATAAGGGAAAGAAGGGAGGGAGAGGAGAAGAGAGCAAAGGGAGGAAGGAAGAAAGGATAGAAGGAAGCAAGAGAAAGGAAAGGAGAAAGAAGGGAGGGGAGAAGAAAGAAAAAGAAGGAAGGAAAGAAGGAGAAGAAAGGAATGAATGAATGGTGGGAGAAGAGAAGAAAGCAAATGGAGGATGAAAGAAGAGAAAGGAAAGGGGAAAGAAGAGGGGAGATGAAAGAAAAAGAACGAAGGAAAGAAAAAGTAGAAAGGAAGAAATGGAGGAAGAAGAGAAGAAAGCAAATGGAGGATGAAAGGAAGAGAAAGGAAAGGGGAAAGGAGAGGGGAGAAGAAAAAAAAAGAAGGAAGGAAGGAAAGAAAGAGAAGGAAGGAAGGAATGGAGGGAGAGAAATAGAAAGCAAAGGGAGGAATAAAGGAAAGGAAGGATGAAAGAAAGAGAAGAAAGCAAAGGGAGGATGAAAGGATGGAAAGGAAGAAAAAAGACAAAAGGAAAGAGAAAGAAAAGGAGAGGAGAAGAAAGCAAAGGGAGGATGAAAGAAAAGATAGAAGGAAGCAAGAGAAAGGAAAGGAGAAAAAAGGAGGGGATAAGAAAGAAGAAAGGAAGGAATGGAGGGAGAGGAGTAGAAAGCAAATGGAGGATGAAAGGAAGAGAAAGGAAAGAGAGGGGAGAAGAAAGAAAAAGAAGAGGGGAGAAGAAAGAAAAAGGAGAAAAGAGAAGAAAGGAAGGAATGGAGGGAGAGGAGTAGAAAGCAAGGGGAGGAATAAAGGAAAGGAAGGATGAAAGGAAGAGAAGAAAGCAAAGGGAGGATGAAAGGATGGAAAGGAGGAAAGAAAGACAAAAGAAAAGAGAAAGAAAAGGAGAGGAGAAGAAAGCCAAGGGGGGAAGAAAGAAAAGATAGAAGGAAGCAAGAGAAAGGAAAGGAGAAAGAAGGGAGGGGAAAAGAAAGAAAAAGAAGGAAGGAACGAAAAAGGAGAAAGGAAGGAATGGAGGGAGAAGAGAAGAGAAGAAAGCAAATGGAGGATGAAAGGAAGAGAAAGGACAGGGGAAAGAAGAGAGGGGAGAGGAAAGAAAAAGAATGAAGGAAAGAAAGAAAGAGAAGAAAGGAAGGAATGGAGGGAGAGGAGTAGAAAGCAAAGGGAGGAATAAAGGAAAGGAAGGATGAAAGGAAGAGAAGAAAGCAAATGGAGGATGAAAGGATGGAAAGGAGGAAAGAAAGACAAAAGAAAAGAGAAAGAAAAGGAGAAGAGAACAAAGCAAAGGGAGGAAGAAAGAAAAGATAGAAGGAAGCAAGAGAAAGGAAAGGAGAAAGAAAGGAGGGAGGAAAGAAAGAAGGAAGGAAACAAGGAATGGAGAGAGAGGAGTAGAAAGCAAATGAAGGATGATAGAAAGGATAGAAGGAAGCAAGAGAAAGGAAAGGAGAAATAAGGGAGGGGAGAAAGAAAAAGAAGGAAGGAAGGAAAGAGAAGAAAAGGAATGGAGGGAGAGGAGAAGAAAGCAAATGGAGGAAGAAAGGAAGAGAAAGGAAAGGGGAAAGAAGGGAGGGGAGAAAAAAGCCAAAGGAGGAAGAAAGGATGGAAGGGAGGAAAGAAAGACAAAAGAAAGGAGAAAGAAAAGAAGAAGGGGAGAAGAAAGCAAAGGGAGAAAGAAAGAAAAGATAGAAGGAAGCAAGAAAAAGGAAAGGAGAACGAAGGGAGGGGAGAAGAAAGCCAAAGGGGGAAGAAAGGATGGAAAGGAGGAAAGAAAGAGAAGAGAAAAGAAGGAAAAGGAGAGGAGAATAAAGCAAAAGGAGGAAGAAAGGAAAGATGGAAGAAAAAGTAAGGAAAGGAAAAAGACAGAAGGGGAGGGGAGAAGAAGGAAAAAGAAAATGGAGGATGGAAAGAAGGAGAAGAAGGGAGGGAAGGTAGAAGAAAGAAAAAGGAAGAAAGGAAGGATAGAAAGAAAGGAAAGGAAAGGAGAAAGGAGGGAGGGGAGACGAAAGCCAAAGGAAGGATGGGGGGAAAGAAGAGAAAGAAAAGGAGAAAAGTTATGTATTATTATTACTCGGGGAGGGCAGGAAAGAGGGAAGAAGGTATGAAAGCAGGATCAACGTTAACATTTGGGCCGTGCTAAATTGCTACACTAGTCGTCCAATAAAATTATTTTTTATTAATTAACGAAAGACCGTCCAAGGATCATAACGTTCTGCGCTATAGCTCCAAAATTACAGATGTTAATTGGACTGTTTTCAATGTACAATCTGGCAGGCACACACACGATCTCCGCATTCACCAACTGCAGGTGAGGGTCAACGGGTGGGAGCAAGTGAGTCCCGTGTCGGTGGACAAAGTCGGGATCTTCTTCCGGTACGCGGCTCCGGACAAGAGCACCTCTTCCTCTACAGTAAGTTTATTTATTTACAGCATTATTATTACTATTTACAGCATTTATGTGCCACCCTTCTCACCCCAAAGGGGAATCAAAGCGGCTTATAAGATACTAGCTGTGCCCTGCCACGCGTTGCTGTGGCCTTTAGTAAGAGTTTTGAAGTCTCTGTCTGGCCTCTCTTCCTTCCTTCACTCTCCCTCTTTCCCTCTTTCTCTCTCTCACACTCCTTCCTTTCCCCTCTTTCTCTCTCTCTCTCTCTCTGGCATCCCTCCTTCCTCCCCCTTCTTTATGCTTGTGTGTAAACTTGAGTATCTTCTGTTGGTCATGGGGGTTCAGTGTGGCATGTTTGCCCCAATTCTGTCGTTGGTGGGGTTCAGAATGCTCTTTGATTGTAGGTGAACTATAAATCCCAGTAACTACAACTCCCAAATGTCAGGGTCTATTTCCCTCAAACTCCATCTGTGTTCATATTTGGGTGTATTGAATGCTTTGGTCCGGATTCATCATTGTGTCTTCAAAGTCGGCCCCTCCCTTCTCCCCACCCCTTCCCCCCCTGAGTCACTCCTTCCCTCCTCCCACCCCCCCCACGCCCCCTTCCCCCCCCCCCCCCACCCCTTCCCTCCCGGCGTGTCTTTCCGGAGGGGGTGGGAGGAGGGAAGGAGTGACTCAGGGAGGGAAGGGGTGGGGAGAAGGGAGGGGGCGACTTTGAAGACACGCCCCCTCCCTTCGCCCCACCCCTTTCCTCCGTGACTCACTCCTTCCCTCCTCCCTCCCTCTCCGGTTAGACACGCCCCCTCCCTTCGCCCCACCCCTTTCCTTCCAGGAGTCAATCAGGGAGGGAAGGGGTGGGGCAAAGGGAGGGGGCGTGTCTTTCCAGTGGGGATGCGGCGCGGCGAGGCTTGGAGGCAGCGTGGGAGGAGTAAGATGAAGGAGGGGGTGGAGGGAAGGGGGCGGGGGGAAGTTGCGTTCTTTGTGTGTGCGTGTGTGCCGTGGGGAAGTGCGGTGACGTGTTCACGCTGGGCGGGGCGAGGGAGGGAGGGAAGTGCGTTGGCCGTTCGGCCATGTGTGCGTGCGCGCTGGGGACTTTGCGCCAGTGCGCATGCTCAGTTGTTTCGCTGTTTTTTCTGTGTGTGGTTGTGTTGTTTTGATTTCTAACTGGATTAGTTTGTACCTAGTGGGTTGTCCTTGGGGCATGGCAATTTTGGTGGAGTTTTGTGGAGGGGTTTTAGAGTTTTGCTTCCCCGTTGGACGCCAGTAGGAAATTTATAGATATAGATATTTACATACAATATATTATATTATTAGCATAGCACAATATCAGTATTATATATTACTATACTATACAATTATATTGTAATATTATTAGTAATATTACATGTAATATAAAATATATAATTATAATATCATATTATTAGTAATATTACATTGTATTAGATTATAATATAAATATATGTATATATGTAGTGAAATTGCTACTCTATGTTAAATTTTTGGTGTATAGCTCTATGTTTACATATGGCAGATAGGGAAGAATAGGCACAGACAGGGTAGCAACAGCAGGGATAGGAAAGCAGTTAGTTAAATAGAGCTTGAAGTTTAAGGAACATAAAGAAAGCCAGTGGTGCTTTAGTCAGAATATAATTTCATCAAGAGTGTGCAAAGCAAGTAACATGTTTGTGAATGTGAAACATTGAAAGTCTATTCAGAAAAGTAAACCAAGTATATGATACTGACTGTAAGCCTCAAGATTGCCACAAAATACAAATGTAACCACAAGCGTTGGAGCCAGAAGTTATAAATAAACTGTGTTACTTGGTTATACACAAGAGTGTCTCATTGCCTGTACAAAGGTTAAACAGCACACAGAAAGTCCCAGCTAATATAAAAGAAGAAACTGAATCAGTATAAGAGCAAAAAGGTTTTTAATAAGAAAATAGTCTCCCTCCCTCGCCACAATATACAATATATTATATTATACTATATTATGTTATTAGCATAGCACAATATCAGTAATATATATATTACTATATTGTACTATACCATTATATTGTAATACTAGCTGTACCCGCCACGTTGCTGTGGCCAACCTTCCCTCCCTCTTTCTCTCCTCCCTTCCCTCTTTCCTTCCTTTCCTCTTTTTCTTTCCCTATCTCATCTTTCTTCCATCTCTACCTGTTTCTTTCCTCCCTTTCTTTGCTCTTTGGTTACATCCTTCCTTCCTTCCTTCCTTCCTTCCTTCCTTCCTTCTTCCTTCCTTCTTTCTTCCTTCCTTCTCCCTTCCCTCCTCTCCCTCTTCCTTCCTATCTTTTGTTCCTTCTCTCCTTCCTTCCCTCTCTTTTTCCTTTCACTTTTTTATTTTCTTCTCTCCTTCCTTCCCTCTTTCCCTCCTTCTCTCGTTACTTCTTGACTATCCCTAACATTTAATATTGTATTTATATCTTACATAGAAAGAAGGAAAAAAAGAAGGAAGGAAGGAGGGACAGGAACGAAGGAAGGAAAAAAGAAGGGAGGGAGGGAAAGAAGGGAAGGAAGGAAAAGAAAGAAGGAGGGACAGGAAGGGAGGGAGGAAGGAAGGAAGGAGGGAAAGAAAGGAGAGGGATTAAGAAAGGAGGGAGGGAAGGAAATGAAAAAAGGGAAAGAAGGAGGAAAGGGAGGGAGGGAGGAAGGAAAAGAAGGAAAGGAAAAAGGAAGGAGGGACAGGAAGGAAGGGAAGGAGGGAAAGAAGGAAAGAAAGGAGAAGGAAAGAAGAGAAGGAAAGTAAGGAAAGGGAGGAAAGAAGGGAAGGGAGGGAGAGAAGGAAGGTCCTACATTCAAGCACCATGCACCTTCCTCGCCTCCTCCTCCTCCCCTTCTTCCTTGCGTGGAGCACTCCGTTGCTGCTGCCAGCACTTTCCAACAGGGAAAGGAGGAGGAGACTGCTTTCCTGACATAGGAGGGGAAGAGAAGGGGCTCCATGCGGCAAGCCTCCACCTCCACTCCACTCGCTTGTGTGTGTGTGTGTGTGTGTGGCCATGCACGTGCGCCTGGCTTTAATGGCCGGCTGTTTCCCCGCGAGGAGGAGGAGGGGGCATGGCCATGGGTCTCTGTAGACATGCAGTTTCTCCTTTGTGGACATGCAGTTTAGAAGTCCTTTCTGCTTTTGGATTTCGTTGTTTTTTGAGTGGAGAACATACATTGGGTTGTTAGGGACATAGTGTCCAAATTGGGTGTCAATTGCTCCAGTGGTTTCTGAGTTCTGTGAATAGCACAAACGAACATTACATTTTTATTTATATAGACTAGCTGTACCCGGCCACGCATTGCTGTGGCCCATTGTGGAGCAATGGGAAAGAAAGAAAAGAGGAAGAGCTGATTTCTAAGCTATCAATTCACAACTGAAATGGCAAAGTGTCAATCTAATACAGGCCCGTTTCAGTCTCCTCGAGGCCAAAGGGTTATATGGATGTGTGGAAGGGCCCTGGGTTACCTGAGTCCACATTTCCATATAACCCAGTTCAAAGATTTTATATGGGTATTATTATTGTTATTATAATAGATTTTTATTTATCGTGTCATCAGCAACCATACCATTGTATTACATTTCTAACAGAACAAAACAAACAGATTTTTTTAAAAAACACAGATTTTGCAAGTTTGGTAGTTGGTTAAATGTCCTTTGACCAGTATCTGGCCACTTGGAGTGCCTCTGGTGTTGCCGCAAGAAGGTCCTCCATTGTGCATGTGGCAGGGCTCAGGGTGCATTGCAGCAGGTGGTCAGTGGTTTGCTCTTCTCCACACTCGCATACCATGGATTCCACTTTGTGGCCCCATTTCTTGAGGTTGGCTCTGCATCTCGTGGTGCCAGAGCGCAGTCTGTTCAGCGCCTTCCAAGTCGCCCAGTCTTCTCTGTGCCCAGGGGGGAGTCTCTCATCTGGTATCACCCATGGATTGAGGTGCTGGGTTTGAGCCTGCCACTTTTGGACTCTCGCTTGCTGAGGTGTTCCAGCGAGTGTCTCTGTAGATCTTGATTTAAGTCGTTGACGTGCTGGCTGATACCCAAACAAGGGATGAGCTGGAGATGTCTCTGCCTTGGTCCTTTCACTATTGGCTGCTACTTCCCGGCGGATGTCAGGTGGTGCAATACTGGCTAGACAATGTAATTTCTCCAGTGGTGTAGGGCGCAGACACCCCGTGATAATGCGGCATGTCTCATTAAGAGCCACATCCACTGTTTTAGTGTGGTGAGATGTGTTCCACACTGGGCATGCATACTCAGCAGCAGAGTAGCATAGCGCAAGGGCAGATGTCTTCACTGTGTCTGGTTGTGATCCCCAGATTGTGCCAGTCAGCTTTCGTATGATGTTGTTTCTAGCGCCCACTTTTTGCTTGATGTTCAGGCAGTGCTTCTTGTAGGTCAGAGCACGGTCCAGAGTGACTTCCCAGGTATTTGGGTGTGTTGCAATGCTCCAGTGGGATCCCTTCCCAGGTCATCCTCAGAGCTCGGGATGCTTGTCTGTTCTTAAGGTGAAAGGTGCATGTCTGTGTTTTAGATGGATTAGGGATCAGCTGGTTTTCCCTGTAATAGGCAGTAAGAGCACCTAGAGTTCGGAGAGCTTCTGTTCAACCATCTCAAAGCTTCCTGCTTGAGCAGTGATGGCACGATCATCAGCATAGATGAAACTCTCTGTCCCTTCTGGCAGTGGCTGGTCATTTGTGTAGATGTTGAACATGGATGGAGCAAGCACGCTCCCCTGAGGCAGGCCGTTCTTCTGTTTCCGCCATCTGCTTCTCTTGCCCTGGATGTATAGATATTATTATAGGCATATAGATATTATTATTATTATAAGTATTGTATAGCTGTTATTATTACAGATGTATGCATGAGTTAGCCTTTCCTAACTCACAGAACGTGCGCTTTTGTCCTTTCTTTGAATGCTGGACTTCATTTCCCAGAATTCCTTCCCATAACTCAGTATGGGTGAGCTTTCTGGGCACACAGAGAGAGAAAGAGAGAATCCCTTCCCTGTGAGTTCACAGCGGAGGCACCTCCATGCTGCCGACAGCGCAAAAGGAAAGTAAAGGAAGGGGAGGAGGGGTGGATCTGGAGGAGGATGTCCTTTCTCTCTCTCCCTCCTTCCCTCTGAATCCTTTGGGAAGAGATATTGAAATAGATAGATATTGAGATAGAGAGAGATATATATTGCGATAGAGAGAGAAACAGATATTGAAATAGATAGATATTGAGATAGGTAGATAGATATTGAGATAGAGAAATAGATATTGAAATAATTATTGAGATAAATAGATATGGAGATAGATATTGAGATAGAGAGATAGATATGGAGATAGAGGAAATGCCAGAAAAATGCTGGTGATTTGATTAAGGAGGGAACGTGGAGCGATAGCACATACATACATAACCCGTGGCCAGAACCAAGCACAGACTCCAAGATGCTGAAGATGGGAAAGCCAATCTATACCTCTATCTATGTACTGTTGTTTGTCTAGGCCAGTGTTTCTCAACCTTCCTAATGCCGCGACCCCTTAATACAGTTCCTCATGTTGTGGTGACCCCCAACCATAACATTCTTTTACTACTTCATAACTGTAATTTTGCTCCTGTTATGAAACATAATTTGGGAGTTGCAGTTGTTGGGATTTATGGTTCACCTACAATCAAAGAGTATTCTGAACTCTACCAACGATGGAATTGAACCAAACTTGGCACACAGAATGCCCACGACCAACAGAAAACACTGGAAGGGTTTGGTGGGCATTGACCTTGAGTTTAGGAGTTGTAGTTCACCTACGGAGAGCACTATGGACTCAAACAATGATGGATCTGGACCAAACTTGGCATGAATACTCAGTATGCTAAATGTGAACACTGGTGGAGTGTGGGGAAAATAGGCCTTGACATTTGGGAGTTGTAGTTGCTGGGATTTATAGTTCACCTACAATCAAAAAGCATTCTGAACTCCACCAATGATAGAATTGGGCCAAACCTCCCACACAGAACCCCCATGACCAACAGAAAATACTGTGTTTTCTGATGGTCTTTGGTGACCCCTCTGGCACCTCCTGGCGACTCCTCCAGGGGTCCCGACCCCCAGGTTGAGAAACACTGGTCTAGGCATTGTATAACGGCATTGAAGGTTTGCAGTCTATGTGTTCTGTGATCCACTCAAAGTCCCCTCTGGCGTAAGAAGGGCAAAATATAAATACTGTAAATAATGTAAATTGAACGAGATTGAACAGACAGGTTTCCTAATTTTTTTAAAATATTTCTTTCCTAGATCGGCAGCCCAGTGAACAGAACAAACATCATCCATCCCCATGTTTACGTGAGTGACACTTCTCCTTCCTCGTATTCTTATTATGGGCAACATAGACTGAGATGCTATTCGTAAAATCATGTAGAAAGACATTTGCCCTGTTCCTCCTCCATCCTTTCAAATACATTATGGAACAAAAACTTACTGCTGGTGTTACATTCCAGGACCACCCACGAAAAGTCAAAATGCGCAAAGTAGGGATGCTATATTTATTTTAATATTTATACATTATTTTAGTAGTTACACACTATTTAAAGTCTTTATAAACCCTCCCCATACACTACATAATCCTCCTTGAATGTGTTGTTCACGTAATCCTCGGCTCCGGCTTTATCCACGAAGGTAGCCTCTCCATACAGACAAACGCTCTTAAGTCCATATTGAAAAACCGCGAAACAGCGAGTCCATGAAAAACGAACCGCGAAGTAGTGAGGGACCACTCTATTATATATATATTTATTATATATTTTATATCATGTATATTTATTATAATTATATTGGTTTATATTATAGTTATATTTATTATATTTTATTATAATTTTAATATATTGCATTATAATTGCATTATATTATAAATTTATTATATTATAATTATAATTATTATTATTATTATTATTATTATTATTTTACACTGGGTATGTCCCAGTAGGGATGGGAAGGCCTGAGGAGGAAAAAAAACCCTATATATATATATATATATATATATATATATATATATATATATTTGGATTCTTAAGTCCATATTGAAAAATTGCGAAACAGTGAGTCCACGAAAAGCGAACCACGAAGTAGTGAGGGAGCACTGTATTATATTTATATTTATTATATTATATTACATCATGTATATTTATTATTTTTACATTGGTTTAGATCAGGGGTCCTCAAACTTTTTAAACAGAGGGCCGGGTCACAGTCCCTCAAACTGTTGGAGGGCCGGATTATAATTTGAAAAATCTATATAAATAAAAATGTAATGTTCGTTTGTGGGAATAACATAACTCAAAAACCACTGCACAAATTGACACCAAATTTGGACATAATACATCCATCAGACCAACAAGTGACCATCACTCATAAAAACACTGAAAAACACAGTGGAAGAGACTTAAAAAGCAACCTCCCCCCAAAAATACATTACACTGCATGCGCAAAACCATATATACACATATATATATACACAAACACACACATCTATGTATATACACACACAAAACACATACACAGAAAGGGGGAAAGAAGGAAGGAAAGAGAGAAGAAGGGTGAGAAGGAGGCGAAGAAGGAGGGAAGGAGAGAAAGAAGGAAAGAAAGAAGGGTAGAGAAGGAAGGAAGGAGAGAAAAAAAGAGGGAAAGAAGGAGGGAAGGAAAAAAAGGGTAGAGAATGAAGGAAGGAGAGAAGGAGGGAGAGAAAGAGAGAAAGGAAGAGGAAAAGAGGAAAAGAAAGAAGGTGGAAGGAGAGAAAGAAGGAAAGAAAGGGTAGAGAAGGAAGGAAGGAGAAGAAAGGGAAGAAAGGAGGGAAGGAAAGAAAGAAGGGTAGAGAATGAAGGGAGAAGGAGGGAGAGAGAGAAAGAAAGAGGAAAAGAAGAAGGGAAAGAAGGAGGGAAGGAGAGAAAGAAGGAAAGAAAGAAGGGTAGAGAAGGAAGGAAGGAGAGAAGGAGGGAGAGAAAGAGAGAAAGAAAGGGAAAGAAGAAGGGGAAAAAGGAGGGAAGGAGAGAAAGAAGGAAAGAAAGAAGGGTAGAGAAGGAAGGAAGGAAGGAGAGAAGGAAAGAGGGAAAAAAAAAGTGAAAGAGGGAAAGAAGGAGAGAAGGAACGAAAAAGAGAAAGAGGGAGGGAAGGAAGGAAAGAGACAAGGAAGGATGGAACCAAAGAGAGAACATCAGGAGAGAATGCTTCTGGAACACAGCCATACAGCCCAAAATCTACAACCCAGATGATGTCTGTGTGTGTGTGTGTGTGTGTGAAGGGAGGGGGTTCTTGCCCAGCAGAGGAGAAGGAAGAGGAGGAGGAGGGTCTTGGCGGGTGCTTCCCTGGTGGAAGGAGACCCCTCCCTCCCTCCCTCGCTCGCTCCCTCCGCACTGACCCCCTCCCTCTGCTCCTTGCCTTACAGGGAAGCCCATGGAGTCCCCGCCCTGACAGGCAGAGGCTCAGGAGGCGCACCATGCCTGGGATGCGGCTGCTGCTCCGCCTGGCTCTGCTCTGCGGATGCATGCAGCTCGTGGCCCCTTCCCGAAGGCAGAAGAGCCAGCTGGGCCCAGGAAGGCAGAGGACGAAGCAGCCTCGAAGCTGCTTTGCCTGCTGCCTCCCCCCCCCCCTTCTCCTGCCGTCGGGATGAGGCCAGGCCCCTTCCTGAAGGCAGGAGAAGAGCTGGCTGGGCCCAGGGAGGTGGAGGACAAAGCGGCCCCGAAGCTGCTTCGCCCGTCTCCTCCCCTCCTTCTCCACACCCCGCAGGCCGGATAAATGCCCTTGGGGGGCCATATCCGGCCCGCGGGCCTTAGTTTGGGGACCCCTGGTTTATATTATAGATATATTTATTATATTTCATTGTAATTTTAATATTATATTGCATTATAATATCATTTTATTATAAATATATTATTATTATTATTATCATCATCATTAATATTATATTACACTGGGTATGTCCTCAGTAGGGATGGGAAGGCCTGGGGAGGAAAAAAACTTATATATATTTGGATTCTTAAGTCCATATTGAAAAACTGCGAAACAGCGAGTCCGCGAAAAGCGAACCGCGAAGTAGCGAGGGACCACTGTATTATATTTTTGCTTGTTTATTATATCATGTATTTTATTATTACATCAGTTTATATTATAGTTATATTTATTATAATATTTCATTCTAATTTTAATATTATATTGTATTATAATTGTATTTTATTATAATTATATAAGTATTATATATTACACTGGGTACGTCCTCAATAGAGATGGGAAGGCCTGGGGAGGGGAAAACATATATATATATATATATTTAGATTCTATTTAATTTTAATTTGAAAAATAATATTTTTACAGTTTTCTTCATTGCCTCCAGTTCGAGTGGTGTTTGCCGTCACCATGGAAGGCAGCGCCCGGAAGGTGATCACGGTGCGCTCGGCCCTGATCGTCAAGAACAAGCTGGATATCCCCATGGAGCTCCGGCTCGACAGCCCTTCCGCTCCCGATAGTAAGTGTGCGTCATTACACTATGCAGCACAAGGTTTTGTTACTGGGTTATAAATGCCATTTCCTAATTGGTTGTCATAAAAACATGGAAAAAGTCAATTGAAGTGCCAAAACTTTGTTTCAGCGGGAAGGACATCTTGCTAGAGCATATTATGTTATATTATATTATATTATATTATATTATATTATATTATATTATTGTATTATAATTATATTTATTATTATATGATATTATTATAATTTTATATTAGTATGTAATAATAATATATTACACTGTGTAACACAATACTTTGTTCCTGGGCTATAAGTGTCATTTCCTAATTGGGTCTATGATAAAAACATGAAGAGTGTTTATTATATTATTTATTGTATTACTTTAGCATATTATAGTATATAGCATATTATTTCCTAATTGGTTCTACCTTAAAAGCATGGGAATAGTAGATTAAAGTGTAAAAAAACTGCTTCTGCAGAAGGGACATCCTGCTACAGCATATTATACTATATTATAATATTACAATTATATTTATTATTATGTTATTATATTTATATTCATTATTATGGAGCCCCCGGTGGCGCAGTGGGTTAAACCCCTGTGCCGGCAGGACTGAAGACCGATAGGTCACAGGTTCAACATTCTGGTGAGGTTTGGGAGAGAACAGACTATGGATGATGGGACTTCAAGTACCTCCACTCACTTCCCAAGACTGGTGCAACCCTCATCTAATGACCAATCAAGACCAAACTTGGCACACAGAGCCCCCATGAGCGACTCTACATCCTGGTGCTGTTTGGAGTAGGACGGACAATGGATGATGGGACTTGCAGTACCTTAACTCATGTTCTGAGACTGCTGTTTGGAGACAGTTTGGAGGAGGACAGACCATGGATGATGGGACTTCAAGTACCTCCACTACCTTCCAAAGATTGCTGCAACCCTCTTCTAATGACCAATCAAGACCACACTTTGCACACAGAGCCCCCATGAGCGACTCTACATCCTGGTGCTGTTTGGATGAGGATGGACAATGGATGATGGGACTTGCAGTACCTTCACTCACTTACTGACACCACTGCCACCCTCATCTAATGACTGATAAAGACCTAACTTGGCACACAGAGCCCCCATGACCCACTCTATATCCTGCTGCTGTTTGTAGGAGGATGGGCCATGGATGATGGGACTTCAAGTACCTTCACTCACTTCTTGAAAATAATGCTGCCTTTAACCAAAGACCAATACAGACCAAACTTGGCATACAGAACCACCATTACCCACTTTCTCTAATAACCCGGGCAACGCCGGGTCCCCAAGCTAGTATATTAATAAATATTGGGTTGTTAGGTGTATGCTGTCCAAATTGGGTGTCAATTCATCCAGTGGTTTATGAGTTATATAATAGTAATAATTATTTTATAATATTATATTATAATTTTATTATAACTATATTATAATTATATTATTATATAATTACAATATGAGTATGTCCTCAGGAGAGATGGGAAGTCCTGGGGAGGAAAAAAAGGGAAAATTGAGAACGAAAAAGCAGGGGAAATGGGGAAAAAACAGGAAAAATGGGGAAATGGGAAGAAAAATGGAAGTATTGGGAACAGGAATGCATTGCTCATCTTCCATTCCTTTTCTTTCGCTCCAGAGCCGGTGGTGCTGCCGTCGGTGATGCCGGGAGACTCCTTTGCCGTCCCCTTGCACCTGACTTCCTGGCGGCTCCAGGCCCGTCCCAAAGGCATGGGCGTCTTCTTCTGCAAGTCCCCCATCCATTGGACCCACGTCCAGAAGGCCTCCGAGGTCAGCAGCAGCAAGCGCGAGTGCCACGCCATGGGCTCCGAAAACAGCCGCTTCTTCAGGTGAGACGGCCCTCGCGTCCCTTCTGTCAAGAGGGAAAGCAGAACTGCAGGATCCTAGGGTCGGAAGGCGGCTCTAGCGCCGTCTGGTCCAATCTCACTTGGTCATGCCATCAAAGCCCTCCCGACAGACGGCCATCCGGCCTTTGCTGGAAAACCTCTGGAGAAGGAGATACTGCTGGACTCTTTCAATGGTTCTTACTGCACTGGGTTATAATTTATTCTATCTTAAAAACATGGATATGCAGCATATTATATTTATTATATTTATTGAAACATTCACACCTAGCTCCAGCAGACAAGAGTCTTTTGTCCCACCCTGGTCATTCCACAGATATATAAACCCATTTTCCTAGTTCCAACAGACCTCATTACCTCTGAGGATGCTTGCCATAGATGCAAGCGAAACGTCAGGAGAGAATGCCTCTAGACCATGGCCATATAGCCCGAAAAGACCTACAACAACCCAGGATAGAAATGAATAATAACAATAATAATGATAATAATTTATTGTTATTGTATTATATCATATGGTTGATTTGCTTAGATTGTATTGTTATGTTGTGTGTTGAGGCCTTGGCCTGTGTAAACCGCATCGAGTCCTTCGGGAGATGCTAGCGGGGTACAAATAAAGTTTAATAATAATAATAATAATAATAATAATAATAATTTATTAATATTTATTTATTATAATATTTCTTATATTATTCTATTATATGTTATTGTATTATATTATAATTACATTTATTATTATTACATTTCTTATATTATTATATTATATTATATTATAATCATTAATTTTATTGTTACATTTATTATAGTATATTATTGTACTATATTTATTTATTTATTTATTTATTTATTTATTTAATACACTTGTATACCGCTAATATCTCAGCCTAAATCGGCGACTCATTGCGGTTTACAACAATTAAAAACAATGTACAATTTAAAACAACAACACATAAACAATACAAATTATTGGGCCACCAATAATAATACCATGCTTCTCGTCATAAAAATCACAGTCCAGAGTTCGTCATCCATAATTAACCAGTCCTTAGTCCATAAATTCGGTGGTAACAAACTAATTGAATGCTTGTTTACATAACCATGTTTTTAATCTCTTCCGAAAGACCATCAGCGAAGAGGCTGATCGTATCTCTATAGGGAGGGTGTTCCAAAGCCTTATATTATATTATATTATATTATATTATATTATATTATATTATATTATATTATATTATATTATATTATATTATATTATATTATATTATATGAATACCACCCATGGGAAAAAAGCAGGATGGAAATGAATGAATAAATAAACAATAACATGTTATTATTGTATTATATGATATGGCTATATTTATTAACATGTAATTATTATAATTCTTATAATATTATTCTATAATACGTTATTGTATTGTATTATTCTAATTATATGTCTTATTATTATATTTCTTATATTATTTATTATATTATATTGTACTATATTGTTATCATATTTATTATGATATTTATATTTATTATATCATGTTATATTAATACCAATCTTGGAAAAAAAGTAGGATGGAAAAGAATAAATAATAATAACATATTGCTATTGTATTATATTATATGCATATATTCTATTATATGTTATTGTATTATATTATTATAATTGTATTTATTGTTATATTTATATTAATTATTATATTATTATATTATTGTATTATATTATTATGATATTCATTATGATATTTATATTTATTATATCATATTAATATTATATGAATACCACCCATGGAAATGAATGAATAATAACAACATATTGTTATTGTATTATATTATATGCATGTATTTATTAACATGTATTTATTATAATTTTTATAATATTATACATTATTGTATTATATTATTATTATATTTCTTATTCTATTATAGTTATAATATATTAAAGTGTGTAACATGATTTTTGTTTCTGGGTTATAAATGTCGCTTCCCAATTGGTTCTATCATAAAAACATGGAAATGAAGCACATTATATTGTATTGTATGTATTGTATTATAATTATATTCGTTATATTTATTATTTTATTATATATTATATTATTATAATGTATTACACTGTGTTGTATGATTTTTACAAATGCCATTTCCATAAAAACATGGAAATGCAGCATACTACATTATATTGTTATATTATTATTATTATTATTATTATTGTAGGTTTTGCGTGGCCATCAAGAAAGAGAATTACCCGGATTACATGCCTTCCAGCATCTTTTCCGACAGCGCCAAGCAGATCTTCCGGCAGCCGGGCCACACCATCTTCCTCCTCCCGACGGTGGTGCTGGTCAACTTGCTGCCTTTCGAACTGGAGTTTTATGTGAAAGGGACGCCCATTTCCGGGACCCTCAAGCCCGGCAAAGAGGCCGTGCTGCACACGGCGGACACTGCGCAAAACATCGAGCTCGGTAAGGCCGCATAGCGCACCTTTGGGGTCAAATTTAGGTTTCGCTGTTGGATCTCTTCCAGGTGGCCAATGGAAAGGACTCCAAGGTGGTGACGGTGTCCAGTTGGGTTCAGGCCCATTTAAGCTCATATAAAACCCAGAGGGCCATCTATATCTATAATAATAATAATATATCTGTAATAAAAGAGAGTGTTTGTTTGTATGCGGAGGGAGGAAGTAGGGCGGAAGTGTATGTGGCAGCTTTCTGATTGGCTGCCACTTTCACAGGCCACTGTAACCAACACAGGTGACGCACCTGGACCATAACCCCCATGAACCCCTTTACGTCCTGGTGCAGTTTGTGAGAGGTGGACCATGGATTATGGGATCTGTAGTACTTTCCAACAGTATGGTTCCCAGCAACCACTGTGGCCCCCCACAACAACCGATAAAGATTAAACTTGACACACTGAGCCCCCATGACCCACTCTACATCCTACTGCAGTTTGGAGGAGGGCAGACCATGGATGATGGGACTTGAAGTACCTCTACTCACTTTCTGAGAGTGCCGCGACCCTCATCCAATGACTGAACAAGACCAAACTTGCCACACATAACCCCCATGACCTCTTTTACATCCTGGTGAGGTTTGGGGGAGGGTGGACAATATATGATGGGATTTGTAGTACTTTCCAACACTTTGGTTCCCAGAGACCACTGAGGCTCCCAAAAATGACCAATAAACACCAAACTTGGCACACAGAGCACCCATGACCCATTCTACATCCTACTGCAGTTTGGAGGAGGATGGACCATGAATGATGGGACTTGAAGTACCTTCAATCACTTCCCGAGACAGCTGCGAACCTCATCCAGTGACTGATCAAGACCAAAGTTGGCACACAGAGCCCCCCTAACCCATTCTACATCCTGGTGCAGTTTCGAGGTGGACGGACCATGGATGATGGGACTTGAAGTACCTCCACTCACTTCTCGAGACTGCCTCAACCTAATCCAATGACTGATCAAGACCAAACTTGGCACACAGAGCCCCCATGCCCCATTCTACATCCTGGTGCAGTTTGGAGGAGGATGGACCATGGATGATGGGACTCGCAGTACCTTCACTAACTCCCTGAGAGCACTGTGAGCCACATAAATAACTGATAAAGACCAACCTTGACACACAATACCTTTCTCAAATAACCCGGGCAGCGCCGGGTCCCCAAGCTAGTTGTATTATAATTGTCAGGACCCAGAAGCCTTAAACAACGCCAGACACAGATAAAAGGTTCAAACACAGCTTTATTGCAAACAAAAGGACCTACAAAGCACTTAACTTCAGTGCTAAGGCCCGCTGGAGCAATTTGGCACCAAAATAAAGTCAATAGGAGTAACGAAAATATAATCCGGATTATAGTGCTGCCTAATAATCCAGATTAAACCAAAGATGAAGCGAATTGCTTAAAAATCAAAATAGGACAAAAGCACAGTCTCTGAAGCTGGAAAAGCGTAGTTTCAAAACTCAAAGTTGTTAAAGCCACAAAGATATTAGCAAACAAATTCCAGAAGTCCAAAAGCGAAGTCAAACCGGTCCGTAGTCAATTCCGTTGAGAAACAAGGCTTGAACGCTGGAGTCACCAAGGAAACAACGAGCACAGGAACACACGAAGCTATAACCCAGGACCCAAGGTGGAAAGTTGGCAGGTACAAAGAATTATCTCCCATGAAGACACTTTGCCTTCTGCGACTTGTAGTCCAAACTGAACCCACTTTTATCTCAAAGTTCTTCCTCGGAGCTTGATGAGCTCCCCACCCACTCATCATCACTCCCAGCTGCTCCCAAACCTGCAGCTGAATGCCCATCCCTCCACCTCTGCCAACGAATATCAGGGTTCAATTCCTGCCAAGAGTCCCCTGGCTGCCAATCCCCAGTGAACCCCTCAAATTCCTCACTAGAGGTAGGCTGGTTACAGATATCCCTTATGTTTTGCACACGGGTCCAGTCTAACTCCTCTTCTTCCATATCACTCCCAGTCCCAGAACTCCTTTCAAACCCAAGGAAATCTTCATCCTCTGTTAGTGCACAAAGTACTTCCTTTGTCATTCCCCTTCAGACTCTGGCTCACGAGCAGCCCTCTTTACACCTCTGCTCACTTCCCCATCTCACAATCGGAGAAACCTGGGAACATGTCAGTATTGCTTGGAGCCATAATGATTTCTCTAATGTGTTGACGCTGCTGTTCTCCCTCTGACTCTTAAAGTAAACCCATTCTCCCTGCTACTAGGAGTAGCAACTCGAGCAACACGCTGAACTACAACAATAATATATACTATAATTAAATGTGTGTGTGTGTGTGTATATATATATATATATATATATAATGTATATATATCATAGTATTTAATAATATGTATCAAATTTAAATATACATTTATTTATTTATTTAATACACTTGTATACCGCTAATATCTCAGCCTGGATCGGCGACTCATTGCGGTTTACAGCAATTAAAAAACAGTCTCCAATTTAAAAACATATACACATACAGTACAGATTATTGGGCCACCAATAATAATCCCATGTATCTCGAATTAAAATCATAATCCAGAATTCGTTGTCCATATTTTCCTGTCCTTAGTCACCAAAATTCGATTGCCACAGATTAGCCGAATGCTTGTTTAAACAACCATGTTTTCAATCTCTTCCTAAACACCATCAGCGAAGAGGCTGATCGTACCTCTATAGGGAGGGTGTTCCAAAGCCGGGGGGCCACCACAGAGAAGGCCCTGTCTCTCGTTCCCGCCAGCCGCACTTCTGAAGCTGGAGGGATAGAGAGAAGGGACTCTCCGGAAGATCTTAGGGTCCTGGTGGGCTGATAGGCTGAGATACGTTCGGATAGATAAGTTGGGCCAGAACCGTTTAGGGCTTTAAAGGCCAACGCCAGCACTTTGAATTGAGCCCGGTAGCATATCGGCAGCCAGTGGAGCTGGTTCAGCAGAGGGAGTTGTATGCTCCCTGCGCCCCGCTCCTGTTAGAATCATGGCTGCCGCCCGTTGGACTAACTGGAGCTTCCGGACTGTCTTCAAAGGCAACCCCACGTAGAGAGCGTTGCAGTAATCAAGGCGGGATGTAACCAGAGCGTGGACTACCGTGGCTAAGTCAGACTTCCCAAGGTACGGTCGCAGTTGGCGCACAAGTTTTAACTGTGCGAATGCTCCCCTGGTCACCGCCGAAACCTGGGGTTCCAGGCTCAGCGATGAGTCCAGGATCACACCCAAACTGCGAACCTGCGTCTTCAGGGGGAGTGCGACCCCGTCTAACACAGGCTGTAACCCTATACCCTGTTCGGCCTTGCGACTAACCAGGAGTACCTCTGTCTTGTCTGGATTCAATTTCAATTTGTTCTTATATACATGTGATATATAATCGTGTATATACATTGTAGTATTTAATATAAAATTAAATATGTGATATATATATATATATATATATATATATATATATATATATATGTATATATGTTTTATAATTAAATATTAGATATATACTAGCTGTCCCCTGCCACACGTTGCTGTGGCCAAGTCTGTGTATATGTGTGTTTGCGTACATATATACGTGGTTTTGTGCATGCATTGTAATGTATTTTTTTATTTTTTGGCTTTTTAAGTCCCTTCCACTATGATTTTCAGTGTTTTTATGAGTGATGGTCTCTCATTGAACTGATAGGTGTCTTGTCTCCAAACTTGGTGTCAGTTCGTCCAGTGGTTTTTGAGTTATGCTAATCCCACAAACAAACAATACATTTTTATTTATATAGATACTGTATGTATATGTGTGTATATACACACATATACATAATATATATTGTATAAACATATACAATATACATATACATATATATTGTATAAACATATAATATTTATAATATTATAATGTAATGCAATATAATATAATACTAATAATAAAATGATATTGTAATTATATATTTATATTACATGTAGTATTACTAATAATATTACAATATAATTGGTATAGTACAATATAGCAATATTTAAAACTGATATTATACTATGCTAATAATATAATATATTGTATGTATATATACCTTGTAAGCCGCTCTGAGTCCCCTTCGGGGTGAGAAGGGTGGCATATAAATGTCGTAAATAAATAAATAAATATCTCATAATATTTAATAATATGTATCATAATATATAATATATAGAATTAAATATTAATATGTGATATATGTATTATATCTATATATATAAATCTGTTAGGTTGGTTCAATGGGACAGCAAAACTCTAAAACCCCCCAACGAAACTTAACCAAAATTCCCATGCCCATAACACAACCCACAAGGTACAAACATATCTACTCAAAATGAAAAACACAACAACACACTCACAAAACGGCAAAACAACAAAACTCAAAAAAACCCCAACGAAACTTAACCAAAATTCCCATGCCCATAACACAACCCACAAGGTACAAACATATCTACTCAAAATGAAAAACAACACAACAACACACTCACAAAACGGCAAAACAACAAAACTCAAAAAACCCCAATGAAACTTAGCCAAAATTCCCATGCCCATAACACAATCCACAAGGTACAAACATATCTACTCAAAATGAAAAACAACACAACAACACACTCACAAAACGCAAAACAACAAAACTCAAAAAACCCCAACGAAACTTAACCAAAATTCCCATGCCCATAACACAACCCACAAGGTACAAACATATCTACTCAAAATGAAAAACAACACAACAACACACTCACAAAACGGCAAAACAAGGGGGAAGGCATAGGTAGGTACCTCTCTTTCATAATAGTCCAGATATCTACCTCAAGTTTTACTATAGGCCACAGCAACGCGTGGCAGGGCACAGCTAGTAGTGTATATATATCATAATATTTAATATATAATTAAGTATGTGATATATGTATGTTTTATAATTAAATATGATATATATAATGTATATATACTCACATATATATATACACACACACATATATATACTATAATTATATATATACTATTATATATATATACTATAATTATATATATATGTGTATGTGTGTGTGTGTGTGTGTATATATATATATATATATATATATATATATACACACATACACACATACACACTAGTTAAAGATTATGAGATATGTATGCTTTGTGTGTGTATATCATGAGGTATATAATTAAATATGATAGTATATCATATGCCACACAATTTTTTCTTGGGTTGACAATGTCATTTCTTAATAGGTTCTATCATTAAAATATGGGAACAATTTGATTAACCTACCCAAACTTTGTCAAAGCAACAAAGGAAAGAATTAAGCGGAAGAGGATAAAGAGAAGAGAATTCAAAGAAGAACACTCAAGGGGGGAATTGTTGTGATCAGTTGCTGTTGTCAATTGCTGATAAGGGGGGCATCAGAAGAGAACAAAACTGTGTATGAAATAGTTTGGGTGCACAATGCATGCTTAAAACCCTTGGCTATAACCCCCCTGGGGTGTATCCTCAGAGTATGGCACTTGCAGACCCAACAGAGAGATTTGATCAAATAAACCTGTTGTACCCAATCTCCTCACCTCTTAACCACCTTAGAGATTTCAGGGTTGCCTTTTAGAAGGGGCACAGCAGTGGGTCTCGACGTTTCAGAGGTCAAATCCAACACTTTGTACTGTTCCGCCAATATCCAGGAGTCTCTTTTGAGAACTTCTCGCGCTGTAAGGAGCTGCTGATCCCTCCTGGGACCCAGAACTACATTGTCCGCATGCGGCTCTACGATGTCAACAAGCGGCTCTTAAACCTCACCATCCGGATCGTGTGCCGGGCTGAAGGGTCCTTGAAGATCTTCATTTCTGCGCCATATTGGCTCGTCAATAAAACGGGTAAGCAGAACCGGAACTGCACAAAATGTCTCGGTGATGGGAGATCCCGCTGTCATTTGGAAAGTTGGAAAGATAACAAAGTCTGACAAATTCGTATAATTATATAGTTAATACGTTAAATGTGGAAATTTCCATTGTTTCCTCCTTTCTGTTGACATTTATGTCCTTGTCTCTGTGTTTTCGAAGGGCTGCCACTCATCTTCAGGCAGGACAATGCCAAGATCGATGCGGCCGGCCAGTTTGAAGAGCATGAGCTTGCCCGGAGTTTGAGCCCTCTCCTCTTCTGCTATGCCGACAAAGAGCAGCCAAACCTGTAAGTTCTAGCAACAAGGGAAACAGTACGTTAGTTGTACGACATGCATCCACGTTGTTGACAGTCATGTCCTTTCTTGACCTTTTTGCAGATGCACAATGCGAGTTGGGAGAGGGATCCACCCGGACGGGATGCCAGGCTGGTGCCAGGGATTCTCACTGGACGGCGGAAGCGGCGTGAGAGCTCTGAAGGTCATCCAGCAAGGAAACCGACCTGGACTCATTTACAACATTGGTACATACGAGTAGAGCTTGTCATCGAAGTGTTGTAGCCTGGTCAGATACTGAGTGCTCAGAAGATGAGGAAGGAGATGCTGGGATATATTCAGAGGGCCCAGAGAAGGATAGAAGTGGCCTGGAGAAAGTTGTTTTAGAATCTGATGGCAGTTCCCATGAGGCTGGAGAAAGAGAGATCAGTTTTCATGAGAACCTGCCAGAAATGCAGGCTGAGAGAAATGTGGGAGAGAAATGTTTGTCTCAGTTAAGGCGATTGGAATTGCAGAGACAGGGTATGCAACAAAGACAGTGCTTGCTTTTCTCAGAGAATTAGAGGAAACGCAAGTGTGCGAGAAATGATGTTATGGGAGGGATTTGGGGCCTTTTAATGTGATTTCTGCTGGTATAATCCTTTGTGAGAGCAATGTTGCAATCAGGTGAACAGCTCTTGGTTTTTGGTTCTGTTAAATGCTAATTGTAACACTCACCAATCAATATAAATTATGTGGGGGCACTGGCCACTTTGTGTGGCAGTGGGGAACCTTTCTTTCCTATCCCACCGCTGCCACCACTTAATATGTAACACACACACCTCTTAATATGTAGCGCTGCCACCAGTTATGTAAATAAGATCTCTAACCAACGAAGAGGCCGTGGCCAATATTTATGTGGCAGGATGGATCTTATTTTTCTATCCCACCGCTGCCACCAATTATAAACTTGGTTAGAGCCTTGGCTGAGAATTGTATGAGAGAGAGAGAGAGAGATTGTGCCTTTTTAATATGTGTAACCCAATGCTTCAAAACTGTCTTCAGTTCCACAAGATCTTCACCCTTCTCTTTTGTGGTTTCTTCACTTTACTTATAAATCAACGGAATATTTACTTCTCGACAATCAAGTCCACCTCAGTCTTTCTGACTGACCTTGAATACAAATTCCCACTTTTATTTCTTCAGATTTGACACTGAAGTCACAGTAAAACTTTCGGAATCTCATTCCTCTCCCTTTTCCCGGCTAGATTATACCTCAACGTTAATTAATTCCACAGGTATACCCCACTTGCCTAGTTTCCAACACACCTCGCAACCTCTGAGGATGCCAGCCATATAGGGGCCAAATGTAAGGAGAAAATGCTTCTGGAACATGGCCAGACAACCCGGAAACTCAGAGCAACCCAGTTTGGAGTTGGTTTGTTTACTTCCTCAAAGGGTAGTTTGACATTGGTTTGCTTATTCCTGCAAATCATGGTTTCAAGTCGGTTTGTTTACTTCCTCAAAGTGTAGTTGGAAGTTGGTTTGTTTACTTCCTAAAGTGTAGTTGGAAGTTGGTTTGTTTACTTCCTCAAAGGGTAGTTTGAAGTCGATTTGCTTACTTCCTCAAAGTGTAGTTTGACATTGGTTTGCTTATTCCTGCAAATCATGGTTTCAAGTTGGTTTGTTTACTTCCTAAAGTGTAGTTGGAAGTTGATTTATTTACTTCCTCAAAGGGTAGTTTGAAGTTGATTTGCTTACTTCCTCAAAGTGTAGTTTGACATTGGTTTGCTTATTCCCGCAAATCATGGTTTCAAGTCTGTCTGTTTACTTCCTCAAAGTGTAGTTGGAAGTTGGTTGTTTACTTCCTAAAGTGAAGTTGGAAGTTGGTTTGTTTACTTCCTTAAAGGGTAGTTTGAAGTTGATTTGCTTACTTCCTCAAAGTGTAGTTTGACATTGGTTTGCTTATTCCTGCAAATCATGGTTTCAAGTCGGTTTGTTTACTTCCTAAAGTGTACTTGGAAGTTGGTTTGTTTACTTCCTCAAAGTGTAGTTTGAAGTCGATTTGCTTACTTCCTCAAAGTGTAGTTTGACATTGGTTTGCTTATTCCTGCAAATCATGGTTTCAAGTTGGTTTGTTTACTTCCTAAAGTGTAGTTGGAAGTTGGTTGTTTACTTCCTCAAAGGGTAGTTTGAAGTTGATTTGCTTACTTCCTCTAAGTGTAGTTTGACATTGGTTTGCTTATTCCTGCAAATAATGGTTTCAGGTCGGTTTGTTTACTTCCTCAAAGTGTAGTTGGAAGTTGGTTTCTTTACTTCCTAAAGTGCAGTTGGAAGTTGGTTTGTTTATGTCCTCAAAGGGTAGTTTGAAGTCGATTTGCTTACTTCCTCAAAGTGTAGTTTGACATTGGTTTGCTTATTCCTGCAAATCATGTTTTCAAGTCGGTTTGTTTACTTCCTCAAAGTGTAGTTGGAAATTGGTTTCTTTACTTCCTAAAGTATAGTTGTAAGTTGGTTTGTTTACGTCCCCAAAGGGTAGTTTGAAGTCGATTTGCTTACTTCCTCAAAGTGTAGTTTGACATTGGTTTGCTTATTCCTGCAAATCATGGTTTCAAGTTGGTTTGTTTACTTCCTAAAGTGTAGTTGGAAGTTGGTTTGTTTACTTCCTCAAAGGGTACTTTGAAGTTGATTTGCTTACTTCCTCTAAGTGTAGTTTGACATTGGTTTGCTTATTCCTGCAAATCATGGTTTCAGGTTGGTTTGTTTACTTCCTCAAAGTGTAGTTGGAAGTTGGTTTCTTTACTTCCTAAAGTGCAGTTGGAAGTTGGTTTGTTTATGTCCTCAAAGGGTAGTTTGAAGTCAATTTGCTTACTTCCTCAAAGTGTAGTTTGACATTGGTTGGTTATTCCTGCAAATCATGGTTTCAAGTTGGTTTGTTTACTTCCTCAAGTGTAGTTGGAAGTTGGTTTGTTTACATCCTCAAAGGGTAGTTTGACATTGGTTTGCTTATTCCTGCAAATCATGGTTTCAAGTTGGTTTGTTTACTTCCTCAAAGGGTAGTTTGAAGTTGATTTGCTTACTTCCTCAAAGTGTAGTTTGACATTGGTTTGCTTATTCCTGCAAATCATGGTTTCAAGTCGGTTTGTTTACTTCCTCAAAGTGTAGTTGGAAGTTGGTTTGTTTACTTCCTAAAGTGTAGTTGGAAGTTGGTTTGTTTACTTCATCAAGTGTAGTTGGAAGTCGATTTGCTTGCTTCCTCAAAGTGTAGTTTGACATTGGTTTACTTATTCCTGCAAATCATGGTTTCAAGTCGGTTTGTTTACTTCCTCAAACATAGCTAAAACTAACCACGGTTTGTCTGTCTTTGGACTCAACAATCAATGGGTGCTCCAGCGGGGAAGCGTTTAGAGACTCTGACAGTTGTACCCCGTTTTGCTTTGTTTACAGGCATTGACGTCAAGAAAGGTCGAGGCCGCTACATTGACACCTGCATTGTGAACTTTGCCCCTCGCTACCTTTTGGATAATAAGTCCAAGCACAAACTCGCCTTTGCCCAGCGGGCATTTGCCAGAGGACAGGTAAGCAAGCATCCATTCTCTCTTACCAACAAAGGCATTTTCCAGATCCGCTTGGGTCAGAACGCCTTCATTTCAACAGAGCATTTCCGCGAAATTGCGACTATAACACAATTTCAGTTCCTGGGTTATAAATGTGATTTCGTAATTGGTTCTATCATAGAAACCTGGAAAAAGTTTATTAGACTCAGCGGGAGGGACATCCTGCTATAGCATATTATATTATATTATATTATTAATTCTATTATAATTATCTATATAAATAAAAATGTAATGTTTGTTTGTGATACCATCAGAAATCAAAAACCACTGGGGGAATTGACACCAAATTTGGACACTAGACACTATCTCAAGCAATCTGTGTTCTCCACTCACAAAAAAACCCCAAAAACACTTCCCCTCCCTCCCCCCTCAGAAAGAAGTCCAATTTAAGCCTCAGGGAGGGAGGGGGGAGGGAAGGAGTGCACGTGCATGGCCAGCAGGCTCCCACGGGAGGAGGCTCTCTGCTCAGGAGCTGTAGGAAAAGCCCTCATCCCTGCAGGCCTGCCTTAAAATATCTCTCCAGACCCGACTAATCTACCGCCGATGGGATGGATTCGGGAGAAAGGAAACTCTGCGGAAGCAAAAGCAATCAAGCTCAGAGCAGATCCATTGATAACCCAGGCTCAGAATACAGAACCCCCTATTCATGTCAGGCAGGAAGACCCCATTCAAGCCCTCCCAACAGATGGCCATCCAATTCCAACCCCATTCTGCCAGGCAGGAAGACACCATTCATTCTACAAATATAGCATCCCAAGCATATAGGATCAAATAGCAATAATAATAATAATAATAATAATAATAATAATAATAATTCCTGTACCTTCTTGTCCCTCCTTCTTTCTTTTCCTTCCCTTCTTTCCCTCCTTCCTTCTTCCTATTGTTATATAGATTACTATATAATATGTTACTAATATATATATATATATATATATATATTACTATGTAATACAAATTAAATGGAAGGGACAGTCAAGAAGTAACAAGGGAAAGAGGGAAGGAATGAAGGAGGGAAAGGGGGAAGGAAGGAGACAAGGAGGGAGGGAAAGAAGAAAGGAAAGAAAGAAAGAGAAGCAAGGAAGGAGAGAAGGAAATAAAAAAGTGAAAGGAAAAAGAGGGGAAAGTAGGAGAGAAGGAACGAAAGACAAGGAAGGAAGGAAGGAAGGAGAGAAGGAAGTATGCAACCAAAGAGCAAAGAAGGAGGGAAAGAAACAGAGATGGAAGAAAGAAGAGAAATAGGAAGGGAAAAAAATACAGGAAAGGAAGGAAAGATGGAAGGAAGGAAAGAAAGAGGGAGGGAAGTTTGGCCACAGCAACGCGTGGCGGGTACAGCTAGCATACTATAATGAGGCATTTTGGAGATGATAGAAAGGCTGAACATGAAATCCATATATGTTTCACATACATCATATGCATCCAGCCTACGTATGCAATATTTTTGATAATGTTTTGCTTAATTGTTTGGATGATTTTTTGCTACCTCAGCCCCCAGTGGAAGGCAGTTTAGGACAGATTCGGACTTTTGGATTTAGTAATCCCGGAGATAAAGGTGGACCGGGTTGTTTTTCTCACCTGTTGGATGTGGCCAATACTTTCCCCCCTTTTGCCCTTAGGGAACTACGAATCCCGAGGGCTACATCTCCACGCTGCCGGGCTCCAGCGTGGTCTTCCATTGGCCGCGCAATGATTACGACCAGCTGCTGTGTGTCCGGCTGATGGACGTCCCCAACTGCATCTGGTCCGGAGGCTTCGAGGTCAACAAGAACAATTCCTTCCACATCAATATGAGGTATTTGAAAGCACTTCCCATTCATATTCCAAAAATACACACATAATGAAATCCATACTTTCTCGCTCTTGGGGTTCTTTTGGCATCGAATCTAATGCGCACCTCAATTTTGGGAGGGTAATTTAGGCCCCCCAAAAAGGTGAGCATGAGATTCGAGTCAATATGGTACATTGAAGCTGATTCTGTGGAACCGGAAGTCGAGATGTTGCGCATCGTACCTAGGATCCCTATTAGCGCTCTTTCGTCTTCTTGCACATTGGGTCTTTGCGCTCCACGGTGCAACATGGGCTGGGAAACTGGGACCCATTGGGACTGTTTTCCTATTTCACAATCTCACAGGGACACCCTGGGGAAATGCTACTTCCTGCGGGTCGAGATCACGCTCAAAGGTGCCACGTTCCGTGTGTCGTTTAGCGACACCGACCAGCTCCCGCCTCCGTTCCGCATCGACAACTTCTCTAAGGTAACAACTCTTTCATCTGTAATACAATCATTCTCCTTTCACATGAGATTCGATGGCACTTGAGAAGAGTTAATACTTGAGTAAATACTAGCATTAGGGTTGAGTAAATACTAGCATTAGACTCATTAGATTCAAGTGGTGCGTATTAGATTCAGTGACACATTAGACGAGTAAATACTAGCATTAGTCTCAAGTAAATACTCAAGTAAATACTAGCACTAGGCTGAAGTAAAATTGAGGTGTGGATTAGATTTGATGGCGCATTAGACTTGAGTAAATACTAGCATTGGATTCGAGTAAATACTCAACTAAATACTTGCATTACACAAGTAAAATTGAAGTGTGCATTAGATTCAAGTGGTGCATTAGATTTGAGTAAATACTAGCATTAGACTCGAGTAAAATCGAGGCGTGTATTAGATTCAGTGACACATTAGACGAGTAATTACTAGCATTAGTCTCAAGTAAATACTCAAGTAAATACTAGCACTAGGCTGAAGTAAAATTGAGGTGTGGATTAGATTTGATGGCGCATTAGACTTGAGTAAATACTAGCACTGGATTCGAGTAAATAATCGACTAAATACTTGCATTACACAAGTAAAATTGAAGTGTACGTTAGATTCAAGTGGTGCATTAGATTTGAGTAAATACTAGCATTAGACTTGAGTAAAATCGAGGCGTGCATTAGATTCAATGACAATAGACTTGATTAAATACTTGAGTAAATACTTAGACTTGAGTAAAATTGAGGTGTGCATTAGATTCGATGGTGCATTAGACATGAGTAAATAGTAGCATTAGACTAGAAGCATGCATTAGATTTGATGACACATTAGACTTGAGTAAATACTTGAGTAAATACTAGCATTAGACTCAAGTAAAATTGAGGCTGCTGCATTAGATTTGATGGCACATTAGACGAGTAAATACTAGCATTAGATTTGAGTAAATACTAGCATTAGTCTGGAAGAAGGCATTAGATTCGATGATGCATTAGACTTGAGTAAATACTTGGGTAAATACTAGCATTAGGCTGAAGTGAAATTGAGGTGTGGATTAGATTTAATGGCGCATTAGAATTAAGTAAATACTAGCATTAGTCGAGTAATACTTGAGTAAATTTTAGCATTAGACTCGAGTAATTACATGCATTAGGCTTGAATAAAAATGAGGTGTGCATTAGATTCAAGTGGTGCATTAGATTAGAGTAAATGCTAGCATTGGACTTGAGTAAATACTAGCATTAGAGTTGAATAAATACTTCAGTAAATACTAGCATTAGACTTGAATAAAATGTTGAGACATGCATTAGATTTAATGGTGCATTACTTGAGTAAATACTAGCATTAGACCCAAGTAAATACTTGAGTAAATACTAGCATTAGACTCAAGTAAATACTAACTTGACTTGAGTAAAATTGAGGTGTGCATTAGATTTGGTGGCGCATTAGACGGGTAAATACTATCATGAGATCTGAGTAAATACTCGAGTAAATACTAGCATTAGCCTCAAGTAAACACTTGGGTAAATACTAGCATTAGACTTGAGTAAAAACTTGGGTAAATACTAGCATTAGGCTTGAGTGAACACTTCCATAAATACTAGCATTAGACTTGAGTAAACACTTGGGTAAATACTAGCATTAGACTCAAGTAAACACTCAAGTAAATACTATCATGAGACCTGAGTACGCAAGTAAATACTAGCATTAGACTCAAGTAAACACTCAAGTAAATACTAGCATTAGGTTCAAGTAAACACTTGAATAAATACTAGCATTAGACTCAAGTAAACATTTGAGTAAATACTAACATTAGACTTGTGTAAAATTGAGGTGTGCATTATATTTGATGGCGCACTAGGCGAGTAAATACTAGCATGAGACCTGAGTAAATACTCGAGTAAATACTAGCATTAGAGTTGAGTAAATACTTGAGTAAATACCAGCATTAGAATTGAATAAAATTTTGAGACGTGCATTAGATTCGATGGCGCATTACTTGAGTAAATACTAGCATTTGGGTAAATACTAGCATTAGACTCGAGTAAACACTTGGGTAAAGAGTAGCATTAGACTCAAGTGAATACTCACATTAGACTCAATTAAAATTGAGGTGTGCATTAGATTTGGTGGCTCATTAGACGAGTAAATACTATCATGAGACCTAATAGCATTAGGCTCAAGTAAACACTTGGGTAAATACTAGCATTAGACTCAAATAAACATTTGGGTAAATACTAGCATTAGACTCAAGTAAACACTTGGGTAAATACTAGCATTAGACTCAAGTAAATACTCACATTAGACTCGATTAAAATTGAGGTGTGCATTAGTTTTGGTGGTGCATTAGATGAGTAAATACTATCATGAGACCTGAGTAAATACTCGAGTAAATAGCATTAGGCTCAAGTAAACACTTGGGTAAATACTAGCATTAGACTCGAGTAAACACTTAAGTAAATACTAGCATTAGACTCACGTAAACACTTGGGAAAATACTAGCATTAGACTCGAGTAAACACTTGGGACAATACTAGCATTAGACTCAAGTAAACACTTGGGTAAATACTATCATGAGACCTGAGTACGCGAGTAAATACTAGCATTAGACTCAAGTAAACACTCAAGTAAATACTAGCATTAGGTTCAAGTAAACACTTGAATAAATACTAGCATTAGACTCAAGTAAACATTTGAGTAAATACTAACATTAGACTTGGGTAAAATTGAGGTGAGCATTACATTTGATGGCGCACTAGGCGAGTAAATACTAGCATGAGACCTGAGTAAATACTCGAGTAAATACTAGCATTAGAGTTGAGTAAATACTTGAGAAAATAACAGCATTAGACTTGAATAAAATTTTGAGATGTGCATTAGATTCGATGGCGCATTACTTGAGTAAATACTAGCATTAGACTCAAGTAAATACTCACATTAGACTCGATTAAAATTGAGGTGTGGATTAGATTTGGTGGCGCATTAGACAAGTAAATACTATCATGAGACCTGAGTAAATACTCGAGTAAATAGCATTAGACTCAAGTAAACACTTAGGTAAATACTAGCATTAGACTCAAGTAAACATTAGGGTAAATACTAGCATTAGACTCAAGTAAACACTTGGGTAAATACTATCATGAGACCTGAGCACGCGAGTAAATACTAGCATTAGACTCAAGTAAACATTTGGGTAAATACTAGCATTAGACTCAAGTAAACACTTGGGCAAATACTAGCATTAGACTCAAGTAAACACTTGGGTAAATACTATCGAGACCTGAGTACTCGAGTAAATACTAGCATTAGACTCAAGTAAACACTTGGGTAAATACTAGCATTAGACTCAAGTAAACACTCGAATAAATACTAGCATTAGGCTCAAGTAAATACTCGAGTAGGCTTGAGTAAATCCTTGAGTGAATATTAGCATTAGACTTGAGTAAGTGCTTGCTTAAATATTAGCATTACACATGAATAAAATTGAGGTGCGCATTAGACTTGATGGTGCATGAGACTCAGGTCAATACGGTTGTCTCTTCACCCCGCAACAGCACGATTACGAGGGTTTCCTTTTGACGTGAAGGCAGCTCCGTGGCTCTCTCTGCCTTGGGCGTCCCCTGACTTCGGTGCCGGTTCTTTCACCCATTTTGCTTTCTTTGCCTGCAGGTCCCCATTGTGTTCAGCCAGCACGGAGTGGCCGAGCCCCGGCTCAGCACCGAAGTCAAGCCAGGCGCCTCTCTGGACTACGCCTGGGATGAGCCCACCCTTGTGCCCTACGTCACGCTGACCGTCAAGGGGGCCGGCTCCTCCGAGGTCTCCTGCTGCATGGACAACTTCCAAGACAGCAAGCAGCTCTACTACGAGAACTTCATTTACATCGCGGCCGCCTATACTTTCTCCGGGTAACGCCTCCCTTCGATGTGGTAGATCAGATAGACCATCAGGGCCTATAGCCGAGCGCTCTGAGCTTGGAAAATAGTTCACCCACATCCAGAGAGCACTGTGGACTCAAACAATGATGAATCTGGACCAAACTTGGCACGAATAGTCCATATGCCCAAATATGAACACAGATGGAGTTTAAGGGAAATAGACCTTGACATTTGGGAGTTGTAGTTGCTGGGATTTATAGTTCACCTACAATCAAAGAGCATTCTGAACTCCACCAATGATGGAATTCAACCAAACATGGCATACAGGACTTCCATGACCAACAGAACACACTGGAAGGGTTTGGTGGGCATTGACCTTGAGTTTGGGAGTTGTAGTTCACCTACATCCAGAGAGCACTGTGGACTCAAACAATGATGGATCTGGACCAAACTTCACAAATACTCAATATGGCCAAATGTGAACACTGCTGGAGTTTGGGGAAAATAGACCTTGACATTTGGGACTTGTAGTTGCTGGGATTTATAGTTCACCTACAATCAAAGAGCATTCTGAACTACACCAATGATGGAATTGAACCAAACATGGCACACAGGACCTCCATGACCAACAGAACACACTGGAAGGGTTTGGTGGGCATTGACCTTGAGTTTGGGAGTTGTAGTTCACCTACATCCAGAGAGCACTGTGGACTCAAACAATGATGGATCTGGACCAAACTTGACACAAATATTCCATATGCCCAAATATGAACACAGATGGAATTTGGAGGAAATAGACATTGACATTTGGGATTTGTAGTTACTGGGATTTATAGTTCACTACAATTAAAGAGCATTCTGAAACCCACAAACGACAGAAATGGGGCAAACTTCCCACACAGAACCCCCATGACCAACAGAAAATACTTCAGGCCATCCAGTCCAACTCTCTCCACCAGGGCAAGAAAATGTAATCAGAGCCCTCCTGACAGAGAACCATCCAGTCATCAATATAGATAGATACGATTCTCTCTCACACACAGATATAGTATCACAGATTTGAAAGAGACCCTTAAAGAAGGACTATGATATGTTGCATATTCCAGAGTAGGCAAACCAGACACTCTCCACATCAACACTGACAAAGAAACAACAAGAAATACTGTTTACTCACAAGCAGAAAGGAATTACATAGATTAGAAACCAACACTTTCTCATTACTTTATTTTCCAGATCAACAGCAACGCCTGGCAGGGGACAGCTAGTAATATAATATATTATATTATTATTACATGAATATTTATATTAAAAATACTCAGGGCGGCTTCCAAATTCAAAATGGCAAACGTTCAGTGCCACGTGCAGTATCGCAATAAGCAAAAATAGGCAAGCAAAATAAACAATTAAAAATCACGGTTAAAATAAATGAACTAAAATGAACAAATTAAAAAAACCATCACAAGAAAATGTAATTTGTCAGGCCTAATAAGTAACACATTAAGCCGTTAAGATCTGTATACAATCTAAGAATATAAAAATGTGGCGATTCCAATAAGTTAAAGTGATCGTTGTCAGCAATATATTACTAATATTATGTTTATTTATCTCCCGCTAAAAATAATAGGGTTGGGTTCTGCCTGGTTTTTTAAACATTATTATTGTTGTTGGCGATAATATAAATATAAATATAATATTATTAATAGTATAATATTAATATTAACAACATTATGAATAATATTGATATTGACAATAATATTATGTATAACTATTATTATTATGTTTATTTATATGGAGTATATCAGATATACCATCAGGGAAAAAAATTTAAAGGGTTGGGATCTACCTGGGATTTTTTACATTATTATCAGTGTTTACATCCTACTAAAATAATAGTTTTTAGTGGGATACAAAATAATGGGTTTTTACTTTTAATGATGTATTACTATTATTAATATTATTAATATTATTAGTATGCTTACAATTATTATGTTTATTTATATCTGGCTAAAATAATAGAGTTTGGTTCTTCCTGTTTTTTTTTTACATGTTTATTGTAGTAACACTAGTAGTTGTAGTTAATATATTTATTTATATCCCGCTAAAAATAATACGGTTGGGTTCTTGTTGTTGTTGTTCATTCGTTCAGTTGTCTCTGACTCTTCATGACCTCATGGACCAGCCACGCCAGAGCTTCCTGTCAGCTGTCACCGCCCCCAGCTCCCTCAAGGTCAGTCCAGTCACTTCAAGGATGCCATTCATCCCTCTTGCCCTTGGTGGGCCCCTCTTCCTTTTTCCTTCCATTTCCCCAGCATCATTGTCTTCTCTAAGCTTTCCTGTCTTCTCATGATGTGGCATAGGACTTCAACTTTGTCTCTAGTATCTTTCCCTCCAGTGAGCAGTCGGGCTTTATTTCCTGGAGGATGGACTGGTTGGATCTTCTCGCAGTCCAAGGCACTCTCAGCACTTTCCTCCAACACCACAGCTCAAAAGCATCGATCTTCCTTCGCTCAGCCTTCCCTAAGGTCCAGCTCTCACATCCGTAGGTGACTACAGGGAAGACCATGGCTTTGACTAGGCGGATCTTTGTTGCCAGTCTGATGTCTCTACTCTTCACTATTTTATCGAGACTGGACATTGCTCTCCTCCCAAGAAGTAAGCGTCTTCTGATTTCCTGGCCACAGTCTGCATCTGCAGTCATCTTTGCACCTAGAAATACAAAGTCTGTCACGGCCTCCACGGTTTCTCCCTCTATTTCCTAGTTGTCAATCATTCTTGTTGCCATAATCTTGGTTTTTTTGATGTTTAGCTGCAACCCAGCTTTTGCGCTTTCTTCTTTCACCTTGATTAGAAGGCTCCTCAGCTCCTCCTCGCTTTTGGCCATCAGAGTGGTGTCATCTGCATATCTGAGGTTGTTAATGTTTCTTCCAGCAATTTTCACCCCAGCCTTGCATTCATCAAGCCCCGCACATCGCATGATGTGTTCTGCATACAAGTTAAAAAGGTTGGGTGAGAGTATGCAGCCTTGCCGGACGCCTTTCCCAATCTTGAACCAGTCTGTTGTTCTGTGGTCAGTTCTGACTGTTGCTACTTGGTCCTTGTTCAGATTCCTCAGGAGAGAGACAAGGTGGCTTGGTATGCCCATCCCACCAAGAACTTGCCACAATTTATTATGATCCACACAGTCAAAGGCTTTAGAATAGTCAATGAAGCAGAAGTAGATGTTTCTGAAACTCCCTGCCTTTCTCCATTCTCCAGCGGATATTGGCAATCTGGTCTCTCGTTCCTCTGCCTTTTCTAAACCCAGCTTGAACATCTGGCAACTCTCGCTCCATGTCTTGCTGGAGTCTTCCTTGCAGGATCTTGAGCATTACCTTACTGGCATGAGAAATAAGGGCCACTGTACGGAAGTTTGAGCAGGTTGGGTTCTACCTGGGTGTTTTTACTTATCCGGGAAGCAGCTCAAAAGGAGAAATGTGGTGTATGTGATTGTGCAGTTCGCATCTTGGCCATTAGGTGTCACCGAAGATCCTTAAGAAAAACTAAACAGGTGTTCAGTTCTTGTGGGTTTTTTCGGGCTATATGGCCATGTTCTAGAGGCAAAACGTCAGGAGAAATGCCTCTAGAACATGGCCATATAGCCCAAAAAAACCCACAAGAACTGAGTGATTCCGGCCATGAAAGCCTTCGACAATACATTAAACAGGTGTTGTTTAGATATGCGTTCTGCAATTGTCTCTCCTGCTTTATTATTATTATTACTAGCTGTTCCCTGCCACGTGTTGCTGTGGCCCAGTCAGGTGATCTGGAAAATAAAGTAATGAGAGTGTTGGTTTCTAATATATGTAATGTCTTTATGCTTGTGGGTAAACAGTATTTCTTGCTGTTTCTTTGTCAGTGTTGATGTGGAGATTGTCTGGTTTGCCCACTCTGGAATATGCAACATATAATTGTTCTTCTTCAGGGTCCCTTTCAAATCTAGGATACTATATCTCTCTGTGTGTGAATCATATCTATCTATATCTATGGCTGGATGGCTCTTTGTCAGGAGGGCTTTGATTATGTTTTCTTGCCCTGGTGAAGGGAGTTGGACTGGATGGCCTAAGTATGGGGGTTCTGTGTGGGAAGTTTGCCCCAATTCTGCTGTTCGTGGGGTTCAGAATGCTCTTTGATTGTAGGTGAACTATAAATCCCAGTGACTACAACTCCCAAATATCAAGGTCTACTTCCCTGAAACTCCATCTGTGTTCATATTTGGGCGAATTGAGTGCTTGCACCAAGTTTGGTCCAGATCCATCATTGTTTGAGTCCACAGTGCTCTCTGGATGTAGGTGAACTACAACTCCCAAACTCAAGGTCAATGCCCACCAAACCCTTCCAGTGTGTTCTGTTGGTTATGGAAGTCCTGTATGCCATGTTTGGTTCAATTCCATCATTGGTGGAGTTTGGAATGCTCTTTGATTGTAGGTGAACTATAAATCCCAGCAACGACAAATCCCAAATGTCAAGGTCTATTTCCCTTAAACTCCATTTGTGTTCATATTTGGGCATATGAGTGTTAGTGCCTAGTTTGGTCCAGATCCATCATTGTTTGAGTCCACAGTGCTCTCTGGATGTAGGTGAACTACAACTCCAAAACTCAAGGTCAATGCCCACCAAACCTTTCCAGTGTTTCTGTTGGTCATGGGAGCCCTGTGTGCTAAGTTTGGTCCAATTCCATCATTGGTGGAGTTCAGAATGCTCTTTGATTGTAGGTAAACTATAAATCCCAGCAACGACAATTCCCAAATGACAAAATCATTTTTTGAGTGGAGGACATACATTGGGTTGTTAGGTGTCTTGTGTCCAAATTTGGTGTCAATTCGTCCAGTGGTGTTTGAGTTCTGTTAATCCCACAAACGAACATGACATTTTTATTTATATAGAATACATGATGATGATGATGATGATGATGATGATGATGATGATTAATTAGTCATGGGCCTTGTATTTGTTTCTTCCATCTTTGGTGAAACGAAAGGTAAAAGGGAACAGTAAACATTCGGTCTGCTGATTTTCGGGGCCTGCTAATCAAGTTTGCAGATAGAACCAAAAGGCTGGATGGCCATCTGTCAGGGGGGCTTTGATTGTGCTTTTCATGCACGGCAGGAGATTGGACTACACTGCCAATGGGGTCTTCCAACTCTGTGATTCTAAGATGGGCCTCTGCACATTGTAAATATACTCCAAGGTGGGCTGAATAATAATAATAATAATAATAATAACTAGCTGTGCCCTGCCACGCGTTGCTGTGGCCTATAGTAAAACTTATCAAAGTTGAGGTAGATATCTGGACTATTATGAAAGAGAGGTACCTACCTATTCCTTCCCCCTTTTCCTCCCCCTTTCTCTCCTTTCTTCCTTCTCTACCTCTTTCTTTCTTTCACTACTTGGTTTCATCCTTCTCTCTTTCCTTCATTCCCTCCCCCTTTCTTCCTTTGCCTTTCTTCCCTCCCTGTTTGCTTCCTTCTTTCACTTTTTATTTCCTTTTATTTTACCACCATCATAACAATAACAATAATGCAATGCATTGCCTCTGGGACCTGACACCTCTCCCATTCCCCCTAAAAGGGTCTCATAGGAACAATAGCATCATAATAATAATAATAGAAATAACAACCTTTACCCGCCACGTGTTGCTGTGGCCAATCTTCCCTCTTTCTCTCCTTCTTTCCCTCCTTCCTTCCTTCCTTCCCTCCCATCTTTCCTTCTCCTTTTCCTTCTCTATCTCTTTCCTTCCTTCCCTTTTTCTTTCTCTTCTGCTGTCTCTCTTTTCTTTCCTTCCATCTTTCCTTTTCTTTTCTTTTCTTCTTCCTTCTTTCTCTAACTTTCCTTCCTTCCCCCTTTTTCTTTACCTCCCTTTCTCTTTTTTCCTTCTTTCCTTCCTTCCTGTCTTTCCTAGATTTTGACAGGGCGGGAAGGGGCGGGGCGGGGTGGGGTTTGGAGGTGGCGTGAAGTAAAAGGAGGTAAGATTGGGGCAGGGGAGTGATGGAGCGTGGGGTTGTGTGTGTGTGCGGCGGCGGGGGGAGTGGGGTTGCGTGTGTGTGTGCGGCGGCGGGGGGGAGTGATGGAGCGGGGGTGTGTGTGTGTGCGGCGGCGGGGGGGGTGGGGTTGCGTGTGTGCGTGCGGCAGCGGGGGAAGTGATGGAGTGTGGGGTTGCGTGTGTGTGTGCGGCGGCGGGGGGAGTGGGGTTGCGTGTGTGTGTGCGGCGGCGGGGGGAGTGATGGAGTGTGGGGTTGTGTGTGTATGTGCGGCAGGGGTGTGTGTGTGTGCGGGAAGCGGCACGGCGGGGCTTGGAGTGGGCATGGTTTCCGCAGAGGGAACGTTGGCCGGAAGGGCATGTGCGCGCCAGGGAACTTGCGGCTGGGCGCCAATGCGCATGCTCAGTTGTTTTGCCGTTTTGTGAGTGTGTTGTTGTGTTGTTTTTCATTTTGAGTAGATACGTTTGTACCTTGTGGGTTGTGTTATGAGCATGGGAATTTTGGTTAAGTTTCGTTGGTTTTTTTAGAGTTTTATCCTTTTGCCATTTTGTGAGTGTGTTGTTGTGTTGTTTTTCATTTTGAGTAGATATGTTTGTACCTTGTGGGTTGTGTTATGGGCATGGGAATTTTGGTTAAGTTTCGTTGGGGTTTTTGAGTTTTGTTGTTTTGCCGTTTTGTGAGTGTGTTGTTGTGTTGTTTTTCATTTTGAGTAGATATGTTTGTACCTTGTGGGTTGTGTTATGGGCATGGGAATTTTGGTTAAGTTTCGTTGGGGGGTTTTTGAGTTTTGTTTCCTCGTTGGATGCCCCTAACAAATTTATATAATAATAATAATAATAATAATAATAATAATCTATATAAATAAAAATGTAATGTTCGTTTGTGCTACTATCAGAACTCAAAAACCACTGGGGGAATTGATTTTCTCATTTGGGAGTTGTAGTTGCTGGGATTTATAGTTCACCTACAATCAAAGAACATTCTGAACCTCACCAAAGATGGAATTGAACCAAACTTGGCACACAGTTCTCCCATGACCAACAGAAAATACTGGAAGGGTTTGGTGGGCAGTGTCCTTTGGTTTTGGAGTTGTAGTTCACCTACATCCAGAGAGCACTGTGGACTCAGACAATGATGGATCTGGGCCAAATGCTACATGAATACTCAATATGCCCAAATGTGAACACTGGTGGAGTTTGGGGAAAATAGAACCTTGACATTTGGGAGTTGTAGTTGCTGGGATTTATAGTTCACCTACAATCACGGGGCATTCTGAACCCCGCCAACGATAGAATTGGGTCAGACCTCCCACGCAGAACCCCCATGACCACCAGAGTGGGCCACAGCAACGCGTGGCAGGGGACAGCTAGTAATAATATATAATAATAATATATTTTTTTAAATTTCTAACCCGCTCTTTCTCCCCAAGGGGAGACCTCAGGGGCCATCTAGTCCAATCTCCTGCCATGCATGAAAAGCACAATCAAAGCCTTCCTGAAAGATAGCCATCCAACCTATGTCGAGGTCCTATCTGCGGTCCTTAATATAAGTTGCCTCGGCCCCACTAAGCCATCACCTGCTTAAATATTTCATATTTTTTTTGAAGTTTGCAGGAGGAGAGCGGGAGGCCCGTGGCTACGAATAAAGACGTTGAATGTGCCGAGCTCGTCCTGGATGTTTCTTTGAAAACTCAGAGGGTCATATTAAAGAAAAAGGTAGGAAACTGCGTTAATGTTCATGTCTATTATGTACATTTATATCTATACATCGGACTGTGGATGTATGTATGTTTGGAGGCTTGCACCACAAAGGTTCCTCCATGGTTTGATGGATTCGGACCATAATTGGGTACACAGACCCATCCTGATCCAGTTTGAAATAATGGAAGGGTTTGAAGCTGTGGCCGGGTGAAGTGGCCCCCTGTGATGTCAATGGGGAGAAAAGGGAAGTGAGCTGGCTGCTGGTAGGTGATGTGTGTATGACAGGAATAGGCGAAGAAAGGAAGGAATAAAGAAAGAAGCAAAAGGGAGGGTGAAAGAAGGGAAGGAAGGAAGGAAGAGAAAGATAGGAAGGGGAAAGAAAGGAGGAGGAAAGAAGAAGAAAGATAGGAAGAGGTAGTAAGGAAGAGAAAGGAAATGGCAAAAGGTAAGCGGAAGGAAGAGGAAAGAAAGAATGAAGAGAAAGATAGGAATAGGAAGGAAGAGAAAGGAAAAGGTGAAAGGTATGAGGAAGGAAGAGGAAAAAAGAAGAGAAAGATAGGAAGGAAGGGAAAGGAAAAGGTGAAAGATATGAGGAAGGAAGAGGAAAAAAGAAGAGAAAGATAGGAAGGAAGGAAAGGAAAAGGTGAAAGGTATGAGGAAGGAAGAGGAAAGAAGAAAGAGAAAGAAGGGAAGAGGAGGGAAGGGAGGAAAGGGCGAAAGGTATGAGGAGTGAAAGAAGAGAAAAAGGTATGAATAAGGAAGAAGAAAGAAGAAGAAAGAATGAACAGAAGATAGAAATAGGATGGAAGGAAGAGAAAGAAAAGGGAGAAAGGTATGAGGAGGGAATGAAAGGAAGAGGAAGAGAGAAAGAAAAGGGCAAAAGGTGTGAGGAGGAAGAGAAAGGGATAAGAGAAAGGAAGAAATGAAGAGAAAGAAAAGAGGGAAAGGTATGAGAGGAGGGAAGGGAAGGAAGAGAAATAAAGGAAGAGGAAGAGAAGAAGAGAAGGAAAGAAAGAAAAGGGTGAACGGTATGAAAGAAGGGAAGGAATAGAAAGAAGAAAGAAGAAAAGATATTAGAGGAGGGAAAGAAATGAAGAGAAAGGTACAAAGAGGGAGAAAGGGAGTGAAGAAGGGGAGGAAGAGGGAGGAAAAGGGAGTGAGGCAAGGAAAAAAAGATGAAGGGAAATGAAGGGGAAGAAAAGAGAAAAAGAAGGGAAGAAAAAGGGAGGGAGGAAAGATGATTGGGGAAAGTTTATGTGAAAGCAAAGGAAGAAAAGATGGGAGAAAGTTTATGAAGGAGAGAGGGAGGGGGGAGGAAAGAAGGAAGGAAGGAGCCACAAAGAGAGCCTGCTCACCATTTCCAGAGTGGAGACATTGTGCGCTCGGATTCCTCAGAGCTGGGGAAGGGAGGAATCAAGAGGGCTGCACTGAGCCTCTAGAATCTGGCCCTCTGTCATGCCAGAATAGCGTTAGTAGCCCGCAGAAAGTCTCAGCCCCTTTTACTCTCAATGTGATAGAAACACAAAAAACACACCCGAGTCTGTTGCTTTAAGTAAAAACAAAAATATAGCTCGATTCACTGTAGCTCAAAAACACAAAGCAAAACAGAAGAATTGTTCTCACCAATATACAACAAACAATATCTCTGGAGAGTCTTCTTTACACAACGATATGCAAACACATAGCAAAATAATACAGTCTCTCTGAGTTATCAGTAGAATGTCCTTATCTTGCCATAAACAAGCAGTTTCCTTGGCACTCCAAATGGCTTCGGCTTCAGGATGCTGCATAACCTCTCCCAGCAACAGCCAACGGTTTCTTCAGCTCAAACGAGCCATCAAGCTAAGCCAAATTCAAAGCTTACAAAACTAGTGCCTTGTTATATGCTGAAGTAGGTAACACACCCAATCAACTTGTGGCAGGTGTGACCGAGAAGGTTCTGATCCTCCCTGGTACTTAGAAAAAGCCTATTGTAAGCCTCTAGTAGCAACATGTCAGGGGTGCTTTGATTGAGCTTTTCCTGTAGAAGGAGGCTGTACTGGATGGGCTCACACGGTCTTTTGTGATTTCCTGCTTGTGTCCCGCAGGAGCCGGGGAAGCGTTCGCAGCTGTGGCGGATGACGGGGGCCGGCATGCTGTGCCACGAGGGCTCGGCGGTCCCCCACCCGCCCAACAAGCCCTCTCCGCCTCGCTCCGCAGAATCCTCCATGATCCTGGACATCGCCGGCCTGGCCGCCGTCACCGATAACAGGTACGCAAGCGGGAGGCCTTCTACCAGCCTCTCAAATTGCGTAGAATTAATAACAACGCTGTGTGCAAAATCTGGGAAACCGAGCGTCTCCACGATATTGCGACCATGTCACAAAAAAAAAAAATTTCTGTTCCTGGTCTGAAAGCATTATTCCGATCTAATTGTGCGGTCCTGACTTTGAAAGGAGTTGTTCTCCTGCAGAAGCCTTGTTTTTGTGGCTGAATTGGTTGAGACTCGATAATGAGATATTCACTGGAAAACTCTAACAAGATATGCTATCGCAGGATGATGTCCCTCCCACAGATCAAGTATTTTCGGTTTTATTAACAACAAGGATTGGGGATAAAGTCGGGTGTTTGTAACTCACGGACAGCCTCTATCGATTGATCAATCTATGATAGAGATAGTATTATAGATTTGGAAGGGACCCCCAAATGCCATCCAGTCCAGCCCCGATCTTAACTAGGAGTCGCTTGTAAATCGGGTGTTTGTAACTCAGGGACAGCCTGTGTGTATACATATATTTATATATGAGATAAATATACTATCATAGATTTGGAAGGGATCCCCAAAGGTCATCCAGGCCAGCCCTGTTCTCAACTAGGAGCTGTAACTCCAGGACAGCCTATCTATCTATTTATTTATGAGATAGATATAGTATTACAGATTTGGAAGGTACCCCCAAAGGCCATCCGTTTGAAGAGTTTACACTTTATTTCTGCAAAACACCAAGAAAACGACCTGTAAGCTTTTGATTTATTTCCAGATACGAACCGCTGATGCTGAGAAAACCAGACCGACGGCGCAGCACCACACAGACCTGGAGTTTCCGGGATGGGAAGTTGGTTTGCGGCATGCATGGCCTCGTGGTCCAGGTTGGCAGACAGTTTGGAATCTTCTAGAAAACTTCTAGAAGTCTTCTAGAAAACTTATTAGCCCAGCCCACTCTTCCCTTGAGAGTATATATAGCCAGTGGGTGGGGCTACTGCTTTAGTTCCTTTCATCCGCCGCCATTGCAGCAATTAGGAATCTTTCTCTCAATCCATCTATCTCTTATCTATTCTATCCATCTATAATATTATTTCCCCAGCGTGTTCCCTGTGAATTGAACATATGGTATTTCCTGCGCCTGCACAGACCGTTTGGAATCCTCTAGAAAACTTATTAGACACTTTTAGGTGGTAGCCCCACCCACTCTTCCCTTGAGAGTATATATAGCCAGTGGGTGGGGCTACTGCTTCAGTTCCTTTCATCCGCCGCCATTGCAGCAACTAGGAATCTTTCTCTCAATCCATCTATTTCTTATCTATTCTGTCCATCCATCTATACTATTTTTTCTATCCATCCATCTCTATCTATTCTACCCATCCATCTACACTATTCTTTCAATCCATCAATCTCTTACCTATTTTATCCATCCATCTATACTATTCTTCCTATCCATCCATCTCTGTCTATGCTATCCATCTAACTACAATATTCTTTCTATCTATCCATCTCTGTCCTTCCACCTATAATATTCTTTGTATCCATCCAACTCTTATCTATTCTATCCATCTATCCTATTCTATCCATCAACTCCCCCCCCCCCCAATCTCTAGCTCTATTCTATCTCTCCAGATATATTTTTAAGTTTCCTATCGTAGTCACTGTGAATCGTATATATGGTATCTGCGCCTGCGCAGTGCAGCATTTGGAATCTTCTAGAAAATAAAAAATGACAGTTAGGCCCCAGCTAGCCCCGCCCACCTCCCTCGAGTATATATAGCCCGTGGGCGGGGCTAGCCAGCAGTTCTCTTCATCCGCCGTTTTTAAGATCAATTCAAGGGTGCTGTGGTTTTTAAAAATTATTATTATTATTATTATTATTATTATTATTATTTGAAACACAACAAGATGAGTCCACAGCAGACAAGATCACTCTGCTGGCTGTTGTATTGGCTCACATTTCGGACACTTCCCAAGTGTCTAGAACTGGGGAATGTACTGGCGAATAATATGTGCAGATCCCAGTAAGGTAGCCTTCTGCAGCTGACAGATGGTGATTTTGTCAGCACCGATTGTGTTTAAGTACAGGCCAAGGTCTTAGGTACTGCACCCTGTACCGATCACCACTGGGACCACCTTTAATTTTTGGTGAATTTTTTAATCATAAAAAATATTATTAATAAATAATAATAAATATAATAAATATTATTACGGAAATCCAGGTGAAAGGAGGCCTGTCTGGGCTGCGCGACGGAGCCGAGGTGGTCCTTGGTCCGGATACGGCCATGGAGATGCTGGGCCCAGTTCCTCCGGGACAGCAGTTTGTGAACCAGAAGATGCGGCCGGGCTCGGGTGTTCTCGTCGTCCGGGTCATCCCCGACGGCCCCACCAGAGTCCTCCAGGTGACCGGGAGGGGCGGGTTTCCGTTGGATTCCTATGCCTTGACTTTCCTCATTGGGTGGAGTTGTTTCCTGCAATGCTTATTACTTCCCCCATCCCTTCCAACTGAGGATGGATCTCACTGCCATAGACTATACCCATCAGGCCAATGAGTGACCATCACTCAGAAAAACACTGAAAAACACAGTGGAAGAGACTTTAAAAGCCAAAAAATATACATTACAACGCATGCACAAAACTACATATATATACACATATACACAAACATATATACACACATATATACACACACAAAACACATATACACAGACTGGATCACAGCAACATGTGGCAGGGGACGGTTTGTGTGAATATATATGAAAACATATACCAAAACCAACATAAGACGAACCATTAAAATGTTCAGAGTGTGGAAAGAGCTTCAGTCGGAGTGCTAGCCTTACCAATCATCATAGCTCCCACACTGGTGTGTGTTTGTGTGTGTGTGTATGTATGTAAATATGAAAACATATACCAAACAACATAAGGGAAACCATAAAAATGTAAATTTTTCCCTTCGTGGTCAACTATGATTGCACATATGGTATTTCCTGCGCAGACAGTTCGGAATCTTCTAGAAAATTTTATTAGACACTTTTAGGTGGTAGCCCCGCCCACTCTCCCCTTGAAAGTATATATAGCCAGTGGGAGGGGCTACTACCTCCAGATCCTTTCATCCACCGCCATTGCAGCTACTAGGAATCTTTCTCTCATAGAATCATAGAATCAGGTGTTGGCTATTTGTTTCAATTCTTCTTTGGTTATTTCTCCCTTTTTCCACTTCTTGTGCATGTCATTTTTCTTCATCTTTGACTAGCGTTCTGGACTGTGAGGATTTTTACAATTTTATTTTTTATTTATTTATTATTTTATTTATTATTTTATTGTGGTTATGGTATGGTATGTTGACCACCTATTGTTCCATTCCAGGACTTCCCACAATAAGTGAAAAACGGCGATATAGGGACGCTATATTTATTTTGATATTTATACATTATTTTAGTAGTTATACACTATTTTAAGTCTATATACATTTAAAATAAAGTGAAGGAAAGGAAGGAAAGGTCCTTCAAGGCTGGAGGGAGGGAAGGAGGACTGAGGAGGGAAAGCACCTCTGAGAGTGGCTGTGGCGAAAACCCGTGAAACAGCGAAAATACCGCGATATATATTTTAAATTAATATTTTTTGCAAACCATGAAACGGCGAGTCCGCTAAAAGCGAACCGCAAAGTAGCGAGTGAACACTGTGTGTGTGTGTATATATATACATTTATATTTATATTTATGTATGTATGTATATGTATAATATTTTTTTGAAAACCATGAAATGACGAGTCCACTAAAAGCGAACCGAAACGTGGCGACGGAACACTGTGTGTGTGTGTCTATATATATATATATATATATATATATATATATATATATATGTATGTATGTATATGTATAATATTTATATGAAAACTTCTACCAAACCCAGCTACAGAATTGACATATAGTAGTGGTCAAATACAAATCAGAACTCATGATTGAAAGTTAACTGGGTCGGCCTTCTTGTGCTGGAAGAGACGGGTCTTCAATTCAATGGGATTCCGTTGCTGTGGGGGAAAGAATCTTAATAGTATGTTCTGTATTAGATAACAGACTTCAACCAACGCAGAAACGATCGATTCTCGTACGAAGGGGAAGAGTTGGAGCAAGACCTGCAGAGGCTGAAAAACCCGGACACCGAGCAGGAGTTGGAAGTGAGTCCTTGACATGCTCTGTGTGGCGTTTTCCCACGTTCGTCTCTGAGATGATTGGTTCTCTCGTTCAGGTTTGGCGTCTCAAATCAACCTGTGATGTAAACCTGCCATCTTTGTAGTTTGTTGTCCTGAGTTGCCCTTCAAAAACAGCCTTTAGACAATGTTGAAAGTAAAAGAAAAATGCTTTACTTCAGCAAACACAAAGAATAAGCAGATGCAATTGAAAAATGCAAAAGAAAGCAAGGAAGTCTTAATCCAGACACAAATTAAAGTCTCTTACAAAGTCACAGTCTTCCATCAGACAACGGACGATGAACTACGTCCTTAGCAGCAGACACAAAGCAGATTCCATTAAGAGTAAGAACATCAGTATCAGCGAAAGCTGACTGCTCCTGCTACTGATTTATAGCCCTGAATTTCCCATGCAGGAGGTGCTAGGGCGTCTCCCAATTAGCTCAGCATTTGTAGCAGCTATTCTAGCTGAATGCCGTCTGTGCTCTGTCTCTTTTCGTTTCTCTAGAAATGAACTAAGTCCTTAGCAGCAGATACAAACCAGATTCCATTGGAGATAAAACATCAGTATCAGGATCGTCATTACCCGCAAAAGCTGACTGCTCCTGCTACTGATTTATAGCCCTGAATTCCCCATGCAGGAGGTGCTAGGGCGTCTCCCAATTAGCTCAGCATTTGTAGCAGCTATTCTAGCTGAACACCGTCTGTGCTCTGTCTCTTTTCGTTTCTCTAGAAACGAACTAAGTCCTCAGCAGCAGACACAAAGCAGATTCCATTGGAGTGAAAACATCAGTATCAGGGTCGTCGTTACCAGCGAAAGCTAACTGCTCCTGCTACTGATTTATAGCCCTTAATTCCTCATGCAGGAGGTGCTAGGGTGTCTCCCAATTAGCTCAGCATTTGTAGCAGCTATTCTAGCTGAATGCCATCTGTGCTCTGTCTCTTTTCGTCTCTCTAGAAATGTGGGCACTTGCAAACCCTTATTGTCTGATTCTTCTTTTGCCTCCAATTCCATGCTCCCCTTCCTCTTCCGAAGAGGAGGAATCCCTCACATCTGTGCTCTTCCGTTCCCAGGTCCAGTTGAAACTCGAAGGCGGGATAGGTTTATCCCTGGTGAACAAAGTCCCTGAAGAGCTCATCTTTGCGAGCTTTACTGGCATCAACGTCCATTTCATGCAACTGTCGACGAGCCAAGTGCTCGAACTGAGCATACAGGATGTGCAGGTAAGTGGTGCACCTTTTCTCATTCGCATATAGAATCGTAGTGTTGGAGGACACCGCATGGGCCATCTACTCCAACCTAATCAGGGCGCTATTTCCCATAGTCTGCAAAACGAAATCTCCTTGCCCCCTCTCTCTGTCTCTATAGGTGGACAACCAGCTTCTCCGCACGACGCAGCCGTTCATGCTTTTCCTGACCCCGAAAACGGGCGAAAGCGAAGCCGCCGAGACAGGCCCCGCGGTTCAGTTGAATGCCATGAAATTCCCCAGTAAGAGCCCTTTAACTGATATCTACAAGGTAATCCCGCAACCCGGATGGATGTCCGTTCTGGTAGTTGTTGAAATAATCATGTTAGAAAAATTGGAATGAAAGAAACTCTCTTTGTGTCGCTGCTGGCGCCACTGGGATCTCGGTGTAATATATATAACTAGCTGTCCCCTGCCACGCGCTTCTGTGGCCCAGTCTGCTGATCTGGAAAATAAAGTAATGAGAAAGTGTTGGTTTCTAATATATGTAATTTATTTACGCTTGTGTTGATGTAGAGATTGTCTGGTTGGCCTACTCTGGAGCATGCAACATAGAATTGTCCTTCTTTAGCGGTCCCTTTCAAATCTATGATATTTTTTCTCTGTGTGTGTGTGTGTGTGTGTGAATCATATCTATCTATATCTATGACTGGATGGCTCTTTGTCAGGAGGGCTGTGATGACATTTTCTTGCCCTGGTGAAGAGAGTTGGACTGGATGGCCTTAAGTATTTTCTGTTGGTCATGGGGGTTCTGTGTGGGAAGGTTGCCCCAGTTCTGTCGTTTGTGGGTTTCAGAATGCTCTTTAATTGTAGTGAACTATAAATCCTAGTAACTACAAATCCCAAATGTCAATGTCTATTTCCTCCAAACTCCATCTGTGTTCATATTTAGGCATATGGAATTTTTGTGCCAAGTTTAGTCCAGATCCATCATTGTTTGAGTCCACAGTGCTCTCTGGATGTAGGTGAACTACAACTCCCAAACTCAAGGTCAATGCCCACTAAACCCTTCCAGTGTGTTCTGTTGGTCATGGAAGTGCTGTGTGCCATGTTTGGTTCAATTCCATCATTGGTGTTCAGAATGTTCTTTGATTGTAGGTGAACTATAAATCCCAGCAACTACAACTCCCAAATGTCAAGGTCTATTTCCCTTAAACTCCATCTGTGTTCATATTTGGGATTATGGAATATTCGTGCCAAGTTTGGTCCAGATCCTCCATTGTTTGAGTCCACAGTGCTCTCTGGATGTGGGTGAACTACAATTCCCAAACTCAAGGTCAATGTCCACCAAACCTTTCCAGTTTTTTCTGTTTGTCATGGGAGCCCTGTGTGCTAAGTTTGGCCCAATTCCATCATTGGTGGAGTTCAGAATGCTCTTTGATTGTAGGTAAACTATAAATCCCAGCAACGACAATTCCCAAATGACAAAATCAATTTGTTTGAGTGGAGGACATACATTGGACTGTTAGGTGTCTTGTGTCCAAATTTGGTGCCAATTCCCCCAGTGGTTTTTGAGTTCGGATGGTATCACAAACTAACATTGCATTTTTATTTACATAGATTATTAATATTATATTTTATTACATTATAATATTATTATCAATATTATATGTACATACAATATATTATATTGTTAGCATATCACAATATTAGTATTATATGTTGCTATATTTTACTATACCACTATACTGTAATATTATTAGTAATATTGCATGTAATATATAATATATAATTAATATTATTATATTGCATTGTTATTAGTAGTAGTATTATATTCTTGAACATGGATCCAATTCAAATTCTCGTTGGTTTCCCGGTGACGAGCTCACTCCGAAGTGAGCAAAAACTGTGGGAAACTGGTATTCAGAACTCTGATGTATAGATATATATATATATACATATGTATGACACTCACACACATATAAAGGAAGCCTAGTATGTGTTGTCTGTTTGCATTTGCGGGTCTCCTTGTGATTATATTTAGATAGCAATGTTTATGTGTTTCGACTGTGCTATGACTTGCCTCAAGGAGGGGCAGATGAGAAATAAAATTATTATTATTTATTATTATTTATTCTCCTTGCAGCACTTGATGATCACGGCTAGCAAGTTCACCGTCCAAATCGAGGAGAAACTCTTCCTTAAACTACTGAGTTTCTTTGGCTACGATCAGGCAGAGTCAGGTATGCGAAACCTCCGTCTCAAACCTATAAATAAAGGAAAAGGGTCCTTGATTTATTGATACCGCATTATATTGTCATTATAAACTAGTACAACGCAACTGAACTCTATTTAACTGTGTTATCAAGGGCCCCCTGGTGGCGCAGCGGGTTAAACCGCTGACCTGCTGAACTTGCTGACCGAAAGGTTGGTGGTTCGAATCCAAAGAGAGGGATGAGCTCCCGCTTTTAGCCCCAGCTCCTGTCAACCTAGCAGTTTCTCCCACCCTGGACATCATACAACAGATGTATAATCCCCATTTTTAGAGGTCAGAAGAGCCAGAAACTGCAACATTAGATAAGGAGTTGGGCAGATATGGAGATATGAGTATATCAATAGGAACCACTTCTGCGGGAAGGTAACCTCTGAGGATGGCGGGCAAATAGGCAAGAGTCCTTTCTCCCACCCTGCACATCATTCACCAGATGTATAAACCCCATTTTCAGAGATCAGAGGAGCCAGGAACTGCAACAATAGATAAGGAGTTGGGCAGATATGGAGATATGAGTGGATCAATAGGAACCACTTCTGCGGGAAGGTAACCTCTGAGGATGGCGGGCAAATAGGCAAGAGTCCTTTCTCCCACCCTGCACATCATACAACAGATGTATAAACCCCATTTTCAGAGGTCAGAGGAGCCAGAAACTGCAATATTAGATAAGGAGTTGGGTAGATATGGAGATATGAGTAGATCAATAGGAACCACTTCTGCGGGAAGGTAACCTCTGAGGATGGCGGGCAAATAGGCAAGAGTCCTTTCTCCCACCCTGCACATCATWCAACAGATGTATAAACCCCATTTTCAGAGGTCAGAGGAGCCAGAAACTGCAARATTAGATAAGGAGTTGGGRAGATATGGAGATATGAGTAGATCAATAGGAACCACTTCTGRGGGAAGGTAACCTCTGAYGATGGCGGACATCCTCAGAGGTTGTGAGGTCTGTTCACACTTGCCTCAAATAGYCAAGAGTCCTTTCMCCCACCCTGSACATCATTCYACAGATYTATAAACCCCATTTTCAGAGGTRAGAGGAGCCAGAAACTGCAACATTAGATAAYGAYTTGGGCAGATATGGAGATATGAGTAGATCAATAGGAACCACTTCTGTGGGAAGGTAACCTCTGAAGATGGCGGYCATCCTCAGAGGTTGTGAGGTCTGTTCACACTTGCCTCAAATAGACAAGAGTCCTTTCTCCCACCCTGGACATCATTCGACAGATATATAAACCCTATTTTCAGAGTTTAGAGGAGCCAGAAACTGCAACATTAGATAAGGAGTTGGGCGGATATGGAAGTATGAGTAGATCAATAGGTACTGCTCCGGTGGTAAAGTAACGGCGCTCTATGCAGTCATGCCGGCCACATGATCTTGTAGGCATCTATGGACAAAGCCGGCTCTTCGGCTTAGAAATGGAGATGAGCACCAACTCCCAGAGTCGGACTTGACTAGACTGAAACCTTTATCTTTACCTTACAGGAGTCAACAGCTTCAAACTGCATTATGTGGCAGTGTGGATAGGGCTGTGTAAATGTTTCACTTTTAGGAAGAAAAGCCCAATGAATATATGAATATATGTGTGTGTGTGTGTGTGTGTGTGTATATATATATATATATATATAGAGAGAGAGAGAGAGAGAGAGAGAGAGAGAGAATATATCCTATCCTAAATATACTGTATATACTCGAGTATAAGTCTAGTTTTTCAACCCCCTTTTTTAAGCTGTAAAAGCTCCCCTCGGCTTATACTTGACTTAAGGTTATTTATTATTTTATTCTTGTTATTCGTATTATTTTATTACACTTATTATGTTACTATTATTATTATTATTATTATATTTACATTATTTTACTCTATTAGTTTACTGTATTTATTATTATTCTTAAAGTAGCCCCTGGTCAAGTGGTCCCTTGTCAAAGTATCCCCATGTCAATTGGTTCCTGGTCATAGTAGTCCCTGGTCAATTGGTTCCTGGTCAAGTAGTCCCTGTTCAAAGTAGTCCCTGGTCAAATGGTTCCTGGTCAAAGTAGCCCCTGGTCAAGTGGTTCCTGGTCAAGTGGTTCCTAGTCAAAGTAATCCCTGGTCAAAGTAGCCCCTGGTCAAAGTGGGTACCGGTCAAGTGGTTCCTAGTCAAAGTAATCCCTGGTCAAGGTAGCCCCTGGTCAAGTGGTTCCTGGTCAAGTAGTCCATATTCAAAGTAGTCCCTGGTCAAGTGGTTCCTGGTCAAAGTAGTCCTTGGTCAAGTGGTTCCTGGTCAAAGTAGTCATTGGTCAAGTGGTTCCTGGTCAAGTGGTTCTTAGTCAAAGTAATTCCTGGTCAAAGTAGTCATTGGTCAAGTGGTTCCTGGTCAAAGTAGTCCCTGGTCAAGTGATCCCTGGCTGAAGCAGTCCCTGCTCAAGAGGTCCCTGGCCAAAGTGCTCCCTGGTCAAGTAGTCCCTGATCAAAGTAGTCCCTGGTCTAGTGGTTCCTGGTCAAAGTAGTCCCTGGTCTACTGGTTCCTGGTCAAAGTAGTTCCTGGTCTAGTGGTTCCTGGTCAAAGTAGTCCCTGCTCTAGTGGTTCCTGGTCAAGTAGTCCCTGATCAAAGTAGTCCCTGGTCAAGTGATCCCTGGCCGAAGTAGTCCCTGGTCAAGAGGTCCCTGGCCAAAGTAGTCCCTGGTCTAGTGGTTCCTGGTCAAAGTAGTCCCTGATCAAAGTAGTCCCTGGTCTAGTGGTTCCTGCTCAAGGTAGTCCCTCGTCTAGTGGTTTCTATTCAAAAAAAGGTTGGCAACCACTGCTTTGGATCGCTCTCCTTTAGCGACCCATAACCCATCTCATCTCCGGATGCAGCTTCACCTTCTCTGGTGTCATTTTCCATGACAATTCAAGCGCGGTATACCGCCATTTATCCTAATGGATGTCTTTTGCACCATAGAGGTCGAAAGTTATGACGAGAACGTCCACGAACGGCCTGCCGACCAAGGCGGAGCCCAGAAACGATACTACTTCGAAAACCTCAAAATCAGCATGCCGCAGATCAAGCTGAGCGTCTTCACCTCCAGCAAGCTGCCTTTAGATCTGAAGGTAAGCTTTCTTTGCTTCCTCAGCAGACAATATGGGATGATCGCTCCCATTACAATTTGAAAAATGCTCTCCATCAGTGTCACAAGTGGACCGTGAAGCGACAGCTCCCCCGGTGGCCGGAATTCAAAAAGCATACCCTCACGAAGCTGGAATGTTAAATAGCCTCTGTGTCTCTGTCTATATATGTTGTGTGACTATGGAATTGAATGTTTGCCATGTATATGTGCGTTGTGATCCGCCCCGAGTCCCCTGCGGGGTGAGAAGGGCGGAATATCAATACTGTAAATAAATAAAATAATAAATAAAATTTCACTGTAGGCGTAATGCGGTAATTGTTAATCTGTTGGTTGTGTTTGACGCAGGCGCTGAAGAGCACGTTGGGCTTCCCGCTGGTCCGGTTCGAGGACGCGGTGATCAACCTGGATCCCTTCACCAGAGTCCACCCTTACGAAACAAAGGAATTCATCGTCAACGATATTCTGAAGCACTTCCAAGAAGTGAGTGGACGCTCGGCATTGCGAGATCCCAAGAGTTGGTGCCACTGCATGGAGTGTCCTCCCTTTTCCTCTCAGGGTCTGCAAAGCCAAATATACAGGGTCGGAAGTCCTGCATAGTTCACAGACAGGCTTCTCGAGGCCCCAAAGCCTGAGCCCTCCCCAAGGAACCAGCAAAAAAGCATATATAGAGATACCTACATCGTATATACATATACACACATTCAGTCAGCTCCCCAAACCCATGGCCATGTTCCAGAAGCATTCTCTCCTGACGTTTTGGCCTCATCTATGGCAGGCATGCTCAGAGACTACTTTGTGAGGTTTCTTCGCCCAAATCCTTATCTAATGTTGCAGTTTCTGGCTCCTCTGACTGACCTTGTAGCCCTGCACTTTGCAAGTCAGCATATTGAAAGGGGTGTGCAATATGGCCATGTTCTAGAAGCATTCTCTCCTGACGTATCACCTGTATCTATGGCAGGCGTCCTTGGAAGTTGTTAGGTCTCTTCACCCAACTCCCTGTCTAATGTTGCACTTTCTGGCTCCTCTGACCAACCTTGAAGCCCCACACTTTGCAAGTCAGCATATTGCAAGGGGTGTGCAATATGGCCACATTCCAGAAGCATTCTCTTCTGATGTTTCACCTGCATCTATAGCAGGCATCCTCAGAGGTTGCAAGGTCTCTTTGCCGAACTCCTTATCTAATGTTGCAGTTTTTGGCTCCTCTGACTAACCTTGTAGCCCTGCACTTTGCAAGTCAGCATATTGTAAGGGGTGTGCAATATGGCCATGTTCTAGAAGCATTCTCTCCTGAGGTGTCACCTGCATCTATGGCAGGCATCCTCGGAAGTTGTGAGGTCTCTTCGCCCAACTCCTTATCTAATGTTGCACTTTCTGGCTCCTCTGACCAACCTTGAAGCCCCACAATTTGCAAGTCAGCATATTGCAAGGGGTGTGCAATATGGCCACATTCCAGAAGCATTCTCTTCTGATGTTTCGCCTGCATCTATAGCAGGCATCCTCAGAGATTGCAAGGTCTCTTTGCCCAACTCCTTATCTAATGTTGCACTTTCTGGCTCCTCTGACCAACCTTGAAGCCCCACAATTTGCAAGTCAGCATATTGCAAAGGGTGTGCAATATGGCCATGTTCTAGAAGCATTTTCTCCTGACGTATCACCTGCATCTATGGCAGGCATCCTCGGAAGTTGTGAGGTCTCTTCGCCCAACTCCTTATCTAATGTTGCACTTTCTGGCACTCTTGCATTATACTGAACTGTGTGGTGAGGGATCCGGCGGCAACATCTTTCGGTGTTTCGTTGCAGGAGTTGCTAAGCCAAGCAGCCCGGATCCTGAGCTCCGTCGACTTCCTCGGCAACCCCATGGGTCTCATCAGTGATGTCTCGGAAGGGGTGACGGGGCTGATAAAGTACGGAAATGTCGGGGGGCTCTTTCGGAACGTCGCCCACGGAGTGTCCAACTCAGCCGCAAAGGTAGGAATGTCTTTGGATATCACAACAGGGAGCACTTGGTGTGTTTGTTCATGGTGTTGATGCTGATGTCCTGAAATGTTTGACTTCCCAGATTCTGTCAAAAAAATCTAGCTATCCATACTAGTTACTAGTTTGGTAATTAGTTACTAGCTTATGGTATAGCTCAAAATATTCGCCAAAACTGTTCACCAAAAATATTCATCAAAATGTTCACCAAAAATATAAAAATTATTCACAAAAAATAATTTACAGAAATATTCAGAAAAATATTCACAAAAAATGTTTGCAGAAATATTCACAAAAAATCTAGAAATTCATAAAAATATTCATATATATAATATTTGCTGAAATATTAAGAAAAAATGCAAAAATATTTACCAAAATATATTTGTAAAAAATTCACTAAAAATGTTCACAGAAATATTTACAAAAAACTAGAAATTCGTAAAAATATTCATATATATATAATATTTGCTGAAATATTTAGAAAAAATGCAAAGATATATTTGCAAAAATATATTCGTAAATATATTCACAAAGATTTATTAAAATATTCACAGAAATATAAAAAAATATTCACAGAAATATTCAGAAAAATATTCACCAAAATATATTTGTAAAAATATTCACCAAAAATGTTCGCTGAAGTATTCACAGAAAAATAGAAATTCGTAAAAATATTCATATATATATATATATATATATATATATATATATATATATATTCATATATATAATATTTGCTGAAATATTAAGAAAAAATGCAAAAATATTCACAAAAATATATTCGTAAATATATTTACAAAGATTTATTAAAATATTCACAAAAATATAAAAAATCACAGAAATATTCATAAAATCTTCACCAAAATATATTCGTAAAAATATTCACCAAAAATGTTCGCTGAAATATTCACAGAAAACTAGAAATTCATTAAAAAAATCATATATATATATATATATATATATATATATATATATATATATAAATATTTGCTGAAATATTAAGAAAAATGCAAAAATATTCACCAAAATATATTTGTAAAAATATTCACCAAAAATGTTTGCAGAAATATTCAGAAAAACTAGAAATTTATAAAAATATTCACATATATATATACACACACACATATATATATATATATATATATATATATATATATAATATTTGCTGAAATAGTAATAAAAATGCAAAAATATTCACAAAAATATATTCGTAAATATATTCACAAAGATTTATTAAAATATTCACAAAAATATAAAAAATATTCACAGAAATATTCAGAAAAATATTCACCAAAATATATTTGTAAAAATATTCACCAAAAATGTTTGCAGAAATATTCACAAAAAAATCATAAAAAATATTCACCAAAATCATTAAAATATTCACTATATATATAAAATATTTGCTGAAATATTGAGAAATATATTTGCAAAAATATTCAGCAAAATATATTCATAAAAATATTCACAAAAAATAGGTGCGTCTGCTCATGGTGTGTTCTGAAATGTTTGGCGGAGACTATTGAGGCATATAAGGTCTAGGAAGGAAGAAAGGCCAGTCTGTTTGAGGAATCAGGAGGCCCAAAAGGAGCGGGTTTGTGAAAATAGAGAGATTTGGGGCCAAAGTAAGGACAAAGCAGATCCAGGCCTAGACAGGAAATCGGCCTAGAAGAGATTTCCTTTTGGCAAACAGGTTGCTTTTGCAAACGTCTCGTCACAGTCGGGCTCCTCTGTGAGTTGTCAAAAGCCTTCTCTCTTTTTGATTATTATTGTTATTATACTTTGGGGTGGACAGGAGGTGCCGTTCTGCTTCAGTTCAGCCTGGCTTTCCGGGACTAATTCGGTACGGACATTGAGCTCCCAGGATCCGCGTGCGTTACATAATGCGCATTGTCCATTTTGAAGCGGCCCGTTGCCTCCTTTCGATGGCATTCCCCGTGAAGGATGGCTGTGAAGCCCAGCACACAAAAAAGGAACAGCTTGCTCTGTCCCTCGTGAGAAGGAAGCATTCAGGAGCCTTTTCTCCTCTCGTTTTGGCTTTTCTTCCCCAAGTCAATGTTTATTTAAGTAGGGACAGGAAGAGACTCGCCTGCCGCAAAGAGACAGCCGAGAACGACTTTTGGTTTTCAGCGTTTATAACAGAGTCCGGTGCATTCAAGTTCCTCATCGGACTATTATTACGTATTTAGTAGCTGTACCCGCCACGCATTGCTGTGGCCAACCTTCCCTCCCTTTTTCTCTCCTTCTTTCCTTCTCTTCTTCCTTCCTTCCTTCCTTCCTTCCTTCTTTCTCTACCTCTTTCCTTTCTTCCTTCCTTTCTTCCTTCTCTTCCTACTTCCTTCGATTGTTCTCTATCTCTTTCCTTCACCCTTCCTCCTTCCTTCCTTCCTTCTCTACATCTTTCCTTCGTTCCTTCTCTACCTCCTTCCTCCATTCCTTCCTTCTCTACTTTTCCTTCCTTCCTTCCTTCCGTTCTTCTCTATCACCTTCCTTCCTTCTCTACCTCTTTCCTTCGTCCCTTCTCTACCTCTTTCCTTCCTTCCTTTTCTACTTCTTTCCTTCTTTCCTTACTCCCTTCCTTCATTCCTTCCTTTCTTCTCTACCTCCTTTCTTCCTTCTTTACTTCCTTCCTTCTCTACCTCTTTCCTTCCTTCCTTTCTTCCTTCTCTTCCTACTTCCTTCTTTACCTCCTTCCTTCCTTCTCTTCCTACTTCCTTCCTTCTTTACCTCTTTCCTTCCTTCCTCCCTCCTTTCCTTCTTCCTTTTTTCCTTCTCTCCCCTTCCTTCCTTCTCTACCTCTTTCCCTCCTGTCTCCTCTACTTCCTTCCCTCCTTCTTTTCTTCCTTCCTTCTTCCCTTCCTTCCTTCCTTCCTTCCTTCCTTCCTTCCTTCCTTCCTTCCTTCCTTCTCTACCTCTTTCCTTCCTTCCTTCTCTTCCTAATTCCTTCTTTACCCCTTTCCTCCCTTGCTCCCTTCCTTCCTTCTTTGCTTCCTTCCTTCCTTCTCTATTTCTTTCCTTCCTGCCTTCTCTACTTCCTTCCCTCCTTCTTTCCTTCCTTCTTTGCTTCCTTCATTCCTTCCTTTCTCTTCCTTCCTTCCTTCCTTCCTCTACCTCCTTCCTTCCTTCTCTCTTCTCTACTTCTTTCCTTCCTTTCTTCCTTCCTTCCTTCTCTACCTCCTTCCTTCCTTCCTCTCTTCCTTCCTTCCTTCCTTTTTTTTCCTTCCCCTTTTCCCTTCTTGAAGGAACCACACTTGCCCTCCTCCAATCTGCTGGGACTTCTCCCGTCCTCCAAGAACTCTCAAAGATGATTTCCAGTGGTTCTGAAATCACTTCCACTAGTTGAGAGTTTATTGTTGTTATTATTACGTTTGTGGGGGGGGGAAATATTTCGCAATTGCGTCAAGGCCGAAATGCATCCCAATGGAGATTCCTCCTCCGAGTGATCAAAAGTCGGAAAATGATGGACCAGGGCCACAAACAGGAAGAGTTGGGACGGGACATATTTCGGGGTCCCTGGACCCCTTTTTTTTTTTCTCTACGAGGACAATCTGACATCAGTTTCTAGGCATTTTCTTTCCACTCGAATCGGTATTGCCTTGTTTGGGAGACATTTTGGGCAACGTTTCTATTGTTTGTTTGTCTCCTTGACATCTCTTCCTCTCCCAGCGAACCCGTTGGAGATGAGGAGGGGAGAGTTCCTCTTTTTATGCCCCTCTCTTTCCCAGGAGAGAGAGAGAGAGAGAGAACGAGAGAGAAGTTTATCTGCCCAAAGCGGTATTAGTTGTTTAATAAAGTGTAGCCTGGCCTCTCGGTGAACCCTCCAGTGACTCTCCCAATTGGGGTCATTCCAAGTTCATCCCGTGGACTTTTGACTGCCTTCTGTGTATGTGAAAACAGCCGACTGCTCCTGCGGGGATCGCTCGTTCCTTCGTTCAGAGCCGGTAACACAAAACTATTGCTCTCGAGCCCCCCGTTGGGCAGCTTGCCCTCTCCGTCCCATTTCACATCAGGCATCTGTGGGTCTGGGGCAGAACCGGGACCCTCGTTACCCCGATTACTTCGTTACCCTGTTCCGGATCCTCCGGACTGATCCAACATCGATGTGGACGACTCGTTCAGAGGGTTTGAGGATTGTTCAGCGGCCACATGCGGTTGTCAGAACGCATTAGGGGGCCGGGTTCACGTAGAGATGTGAGCTAATTTCGTGGCTTTCGCTGGGACCGTGTCACCGAGGGGTCAGGCTTTGCAGCGCCAACGACCTGTTGCCCAAAGTCCAAATGCAGTGGACTCATAGACAAGAGTAAAAATCATAGAATCATAGAATCAAAGAGTTGGAAGAGACTTCATGGGCCATCCAGTCCAACCCCCTGCCAAGAAACAAGTATATTGCATTCAAATCACCCCTGACAGATGGCCATCCAGCCTCTGTTTAAAAGCTTCCAAAGAAGGAGCCTCCACCACACTCCGGGGCAGAGAGTTCCACTGCTGAACAGCTCTCACAGTCAGGTTCTTCCTCATGTTCAGATGGAATCTCCTTTCTTGTGGTTTGAAGCCATTGTTTTGCGTCCTTGTCTCCAGGGAAGCAGAAAACAACTTTGCTCCCTCCTTCCTGTGGCCTGAGCTCGTTTTGTGCTTTAGCCTTGTGGACCTTTTCCCTACAGGTGTTGGCTATTTGTTTGAATTCTTCTTTGGTGATTTCTCCCTTTTTCCACTTCTTGTGGAAACCACCAGACTCATTTTCATGTATTCAGCAGCCCAATCCCCCAAACCCGGTACAACAAGACGATATCGTGCACAGCCCTACTACAAATACCAGAGTTCCATAGAATCATAGAATAAAAGAGTTGGAAGAGACCTCATGGGCCATCCAGTCCAAAACCCGTCCAAGAAGCAGGAATATTGCATTCAAATCACCCCCGACAGATGGCCATCCAGCCTCTGTTTAAAAGCTTCCAAATAAGGAGCCTCCACCACACTCCGGGGCAGAGAGTTCCACTGCTGAACGGCTCTCACAATCAGGAAGGTCTTCCTCATGTTCAGATGGAATCTCCTCTCTTGTAGTTTGAAGCCATTTTTTCATGTCCTAGTCTCCAGGGAAGCAGTAAACAAGCTTGCTCCCTCCTCCCTGTGGCTTCCTCTCACATATTTATACATAGCTATCATATCTCCTCTCAGCCTTCTCTTCTTCAGGCTAAACACGCCCAGCTCCTTAAGCCGCTCCTCATAGGGCTTGTTCTTTAGACGCTTGATCATTTTAATCGCCCTCCTCTGGACACATTCCAGCTTGTCAACATCTCTCTTGAATTGTGGTGCCCAGAATTGGACACAATATTCCAGGTGTGGTCTAACCTAGGCAGAATAGAGCATGGGGAGCATGACTTCCCTAGATCTAGACACTAGGCTCCTCTTGATGCAGGCCAAAATCCCATTGGCTTTTTTTGCCGCCACATCACATTGTTGGCTCATGTTTAACTTGTTGTCCACGAGGACTCCAAGATCATTTTCACACGTACTGCTCTCGAGTGAGGCGTCCCCCATTCTGTATCTTTGCATTTCGTTTTTCCTGCCAAAGTGGAGTATCTTGCATTTGTCCTTGTTGAACTTCATTTTGTTAGTTTTGGCCATTCATCTCTTGAATCTGTCAAGATCGTTTTGAATTCTGCTCCTGTCCTCTGGACTATTGGCTTTCCCTCCCAATTTGGTGTTGTCTGCAAACTTGATGATCCTGCCTTCTAGCCCTTCATCTAAGTCATTAATAAAGATGTTGAACAGGACCGGGCCCAGGACGGAACCCTGCGGCACTCCGCTCGTCACTTCTTTCCAGGATGAAGAGGAAGCCTTGGGGAGAATCATCCTCTGGGTTCGTCCATTTAATCAATTCCAGATCCACCTCACCGTAGTTTTGCCTAGCCCACATTGGACTAGGTTCCTTGCCAGAAGGTCATGGGGGACCTTGTCGAAGGCCTTACTGAAATCCAGATACGCTCCATCCACGGCATTCCCCGCATCTATCCAGCTTGTAACTCTATCGAAAAAAGAGATCAGATGAGTCTGGCATGACTTGTTTTTGCTAAATCCATTTTGACTATTAGCGATGACCACATTTGTTTCTAAGTATTTGCAGACCACTTCCTTAACAATCTTTTCCAGAATCTTGCCTGGGATCGACGTGAGGCTGACCGGACATTGGCAATTGTTTGGGTCATCCTTTTTTCCCTTCTTGAAGATTGGGACCACATTGGCTCTCCTCCAGTCTGCTGGAACTTCTCCCATTCTCCAAGAACTCTCAAAGAGGATTGCCAATGGTTCCGAGATGACTTCCGCTAGTTCCTTCAATACTCTTGGGTGTAGTTGATCTGGCCCTGAAAGGGGACTTGAACTCATTTAGAGTGGCCAGGTATTCCTGGATGACTTGTTTCCCAATTTGGGGTTGGATATCCTCTAATCCCCCATCCACTCCATCTTGCTGAGGTTGAAGGTGACTTTCTTTTTGTGAGAAGACCGAGGCAAAGAAGGTATTAAGTAGTTCTGCCTTTTCCCTACCCCCTGTCAGCATTGCCCCATCTTCTCCTCGAATAGGCCTTATCGCCTCCTTTTTTTCCCTTTTTCTACTGACATAAGTTGAAGTACTTTGGCCACATCATGAGGAGACAGGAAAGCCTAGAGAAGACAATTATGCTGGGGAAAGTAGAAGGAAAAAGGAAGAGGGGCTGACCAAGGGCAAGATGGATGGATGGCATCCTTGAAGTGACTGGACTGACCATGAAGGAGCTGGGGGTGGTGACGGCCGACAGGGAGCTCTGGCGTGGGCTGGTCCATGAGGTCACGAAGAGTCGGAGATGACTCAACGAATGAACAACTGACATAAGAAAAGAAACCCTTTTTATTGTTTTTAATGTCCCTGGCAAGTCTGAGCTCGTTTTGTGCTTTAGCCTTGCGGACCTTTTCCCTACAGGTGTTGGCTATTTGTTTGAATTCTTCTTTGGTGATTTCTCCCTTTTTCCACTTCTTGTGCATGTCTCTTTTGTGTTTTAGCACAGTTAGAAGTTCTTTGGACATCCATTCTAGCTTCTTTGCACTTGTCCTATTTTTTCTCTTTGTTGGCACAGTTTGCAATTGTGCCTTGAGTATTTCACTCTTGAGAAATTCCCATCCATCCGTAACTTCCTTACCTTTTAGTATCTGTGTCCATGGAATGCTGCTCCGTGTTTCCTTCATTTTTCGGAAATCAGCTCTCCTAAAGTCCAAAATCTTGCCTGGTATCGACGTGAGGCTGACCAAACGGTAGTTGTTTGGGTCATCCTTTTTTCCCTTCTTGAAGATTGGGACCACATTGGCCCTCCTCCAGTCTGCTGGAACTTCTCCCATTCTCCAAGAACTCTCAAAGATGATTGCCAATGGTTCCGAAATGACTTCAGCTAGTTCCTTCAGAGAAAAATCTTTACTCTTTACTCCCCAGAGATGAAACATAAACTTGCAGTGCATACCAAAAGCTGGCCATCCTCTAAAGATGTTCCCTCTAGGAATCTGCGTCCTCAAGCGTGATTGGAGGAAGGTGACCACACTGAGTCACACTGGAGAAATTGGTGAACAATCAAATCTACAAAATTCAAAGCTTCCTGCTTCTTGGTGCGGGACTTGTGAAATCTTGGCACTGTCTTTTCGTCAAGAGAGCTCTATACAGGGAAATGGCCAGCCTTAGTTGGTCTATTCCATTTCCCTGTATAGAGCTCTCTTGCTGGACTCCTCCCTTTTTTTTACAGTCACTAAAGGCTTGGGCATTGCCTGGTAATCCTAGGCCAAGAAATCCAAAAACAGGCATTCTTAGCACCTGCTGCATTTAGCAGTATTATTATACCAAAAATTGTTAGAGACCCTAAATTGGGTCCTCTTAGGTCCACATCATGGGAGCACGAAAGGATGGAGACAGTCCCAAAAAAGATTTAAAAAACAACCTTTATTTTTAGTTTCTTCATGAAGAAGACGGACAGCCTGGGAGCATACGCAGATGCTACCCTTCAAGTGACTGCCGTCCCCCCTTGGCTTTTGACCACCGTTATATAACCACAAGTAAACAAGAACATTTTTTTGTCATGGAAAGTACTCTCTTTCCAGCCCCTCTCCCTTGACTTTTTGATGGAAAGTACCTTCTTGTACATGCAGACTCTGCACTTTACCACAACCTTTGAAGTTAACCACAACACATCCTGTGTAAGAAAGTACCTTCTTGTACATGCAGACTCTGTACTTTACCACAACCTTTGAAGTTAACCACAACACATCCTGTGTAAGAAAGTTCCTCCTTGTACCTCTACATGTCACATATTGTTTCTTAAAAACATTTTCTTCCGTGTTGCTCTTTTTCTACAGAGAAAGGGTATGTTTCTCTTTGTTTTTTATTTCATTTAAAGCCCCTTACTTAGTATTTGCAAATTTCGCTCAAAGACCCTTTCAAAATGAACAGAAAAATCTTTGGGTTGTTGTAGTTTTTTTCGGGCGATATGGCCATGTTCTAGAGGCATTATCTCCTGACGTTTCGCCGGCATCTGTGGCAAGCATAGTGACCTCACTACATCTGAGGATGCTTTCCATAGATGCAGGCGAAACGTCAGGAGAGAATGCCTCTAGAACATGGCCATATAGCCCGGAAAAAACCAACAACAACCCAGTGATTCCGACCATGAAAGCCTTCGACAATATGGAAAAATCTTTATTCTTTACTCCCCAGAGATGAAACATAAACTTGCAATGCATACAAAAATCAAAACAGTGCGAGAAACTTACATAGTCCTTGTAAGTAACACAAAGTAAGGCATCTTCATCTTACATCAAATGAGAGGGCAAAACATAAACCTTGAGTGAATAGCTATTCCACCATAGCCTCCTTCAGAGTAGCTTCTCCACGCTGCTCCCCAGAACAAAGCCTTGGAGCCTAGATCTCCTCAGAGAAAAAGCTCTCCACCACCCACACCCACACTGTATTCTAAAAAAACCCCATACAGATATTCCCCATTGAGTGTGGTCCAAGCTTGCTGGTTGACCTACATTACCAGCTGTACATAAGAATTAACACCATAAGGTTTTTCTTCAACACACACACACACTTGGTCCTGCTATAACTCGGCCATGGTGGCCATGGTGCTCCATGCTCTCATTACATCTAGGATAGATTACTGCAACACACTCTACGTGGGGTTGCCTGTGAAGACACACACACACACGGTCCTGCTATAACTTGGCCACGGTGGCCATGGTGGTCCATGCTCTCATTACATCTAGGATAAACTACTGCAACGCACTCTATGTGGGGTTGCCTTTGAAGACACACACACACTTGGTCCTGCTATAACTTGGCCACGGTGGTCCATGCTCTCGTTACATCTAGGATAGACTACTGCAACGCACTCTACGTGGGGTTGCCTTTGAAGACACACACACACTTGGTCCTGCTTTAACTTGGCCATGGAGGCCACCGTGGTCCATGCTCTCGTTACATCTAGGATAGACTACTGCAACGCACTCATTTGGGTTTGCCTTTGAAGACTGCTCAGAAGCTTAATAGTCCAAGGAGAAGGAGGGTATGAAGGAAGAGAAGGGAAAGGGAAAACAGTATGAGAGGAGGAAAGAAAGATAAGGAAGGGGAGAAAGAAGGAAGGGACAGATGAACATGGCTATCTCTTTGCCACCAGCTTGAGATTCCCTGGCTAACTTTGCGTGCTTTCACCTTTTGTGTGGCACCAGCTTTCTTCTCCCGCAGCATTAATCCTATGGGCTTAGCTATGACAACATATAGATTGCATGGAGCATCCACTTTTAAGTCAGCAGAATAAAGGGGAAGCTTTGCACGGAACGGCGGCTGTTTTCTTTTCCTCCCATCCTCCTAAAACACATTCTGGGAGTTCTCTGTTGCAAATGTTTCGCGTTTTGACACGTGTTCCCATGATGCTTCTTGCTCTCTTTGACAGTTCACTGGGACATTGTCTGACGGTTTGGGGAAGACGATGGACAACCGGCATCAGACGGAGCGAGAGTACATCCGATACCACGCAGCGACCAGTGGAGAGCATTTGGTGGCTGGCATCCAAGGACTGGCTCACGGTAAACAAACACCTTAAACCTGCTTTTGTGAGGAACAGCTGATGATGATGATGATGATACATTCTAATACTAGTTATCGATAGATAGCCACTTTGTGTCTCCTTGTGTCTGGATCTGTAGCTTTCTGGCAAAGAAAGTACCTCACAAACAAAGTGGGAAGGCTTTATTTCTAAAAGCATACATTATGGTACAAAACAAAAATTCCAACTGACAGTTTCCTGTCGTAGTCCCTAGTTATCGATAGATAGCCGTTTTGCGTCTCCTTGTGTCTGATCTGTAGCTTTCTGGCAAAGAAAAGTGCCTCACAAACAAAGTGGGAAGGCTTTATTTCTAAAAGCATACATTATGGTACAAAACAAAAATTCCAACTGACAGTTTCCTGTCGTAGTCCCTAGTTATCGATAGATAGCCGYTTTGCGTCTCCTTGTGTCTGGATCTGTAGCTTTCTGGCAAAGAAAAGTGCCTCACAAACAAAGTGGGAAGGCTTTATTTCTAAAATCATACATTATGGTACAAAACAAAAATTCCAACTGACAGTTTCTTGTTGTAGTCACTAGTTATCGATAGATAGCCGCTTTGCGTCTCTTTGTGTCTGGATCTGTAGCTTTCTGGCAAAGAAAGTGCCTCACAAACAAAGTGGGAAGGCTTTATTTCTAAAAGCATACATTATGGTACAAAACAAAAATTCCAACTGATAGTTTCCTGTCGTAGTCCCTAGTTATCAATAGATAGTCGCTTTGCGTCTCCTTGTGTCTGGATCTGTAGCTTTCTGGCAAAGAAAGTGCCTCACAAACAAAGTGGGAAGGCTTTATTTCTAAAAGCATACATTATGGTACAAAACAAAAATTCCAACTGACAGTTTCCTGTCGTAGTCACTGTGAATCGTACATTTGGTATCTCTGCGGCTGCACAGTACAGCTTTCGGAACCTTCTAGAAGATAAAATAGGCATTTTAGTCCCCAGCTAGCCCCGCCCATCTTCCTCGAGTATATATAGCCCATGGGCGGGGCTAGCCGACAGTTCTCTTAATCCGCGATTGTAAAAGCAGCTGGAGGGCCTTCTCATTCTTGCGAGCTTTTATTGAACTTTTTTGGACTGAATTTAAGGTACTCTGATACTCTGGACTGTCTCCTGACTACTCTTTTGCTTAATCCTCTTGTTATGGCGGCAACTTCTTTTAAGAAGTGCTCCAACTGTCTGAATACGCTGCCGGACACTGAAAGGCATTCCCTGTGCCTCACCTGCCTCGGTGAGGGCCATTTGACCCAGTCTTGCCCAGTCTGCCTCTCGTTCACTCCTCAGACGAGGAAGAATAGAATCTCTAGGCTCAAAGCAGCACTTTACGAGAGAGCTCTTTTGCCGCCTACCGCCTCAGGGCAACCAGATGATAGGCCTGACTTACCTTTCTTGGCTTCCTCTGCCGGCCCAGCCAAGAAGAAGGCCAAAAAGCCCAAGAATAAGGGGCTCAAGATGGCCGCCAGCCTTCCTCTCAGGAAAAAGCCCCAGGAGAAAGAGCGGGAAGCGTTCTGGCGGCCTATCATGGCACTACTTCCCAAAACGCGCCTAGGCGGCTAACATTACTCCGGCAGCGATGACAGGGGCTCTCCCTCGTTCTGCGCATGTGCGTGCAGCGGAGCCGGCTTCGGACATGCCCCCGACATCGGCGATGCCGCTCCTCTTGCCCCCGTCCCTGGAGCCCACTGCTGTGGCCTATACTCTGGATGTCGTACCATCGGCTGCACCTTCGTCGGCGCTATCGGGGAGCCTGATTTCAGAGGCACTCGCGGCCCCTCCCACCTCTGGGACGGAGGCTCCTCCCCTCCCTGAAACCACCATGGCGGCGCCGCGAGAGGAGGATTGCCACGATCGTGAGCAACCTCACACCGCCGGAGCAAACGACCTAGACGCTTGAGGTCCCCCTCCAGGAGGAAAAACTGAAATACTCTGAAATCCAAAGTGGATTCGTGATGGTTCAAAATATGTGGAAGAGATCGATCTTAAGCAGTGTTTTTATCTGACAGCTCATTTAGCCTTCAGAGCTCTTCTGGCAGGTCATTCCACGATCTTGGGGTGGCTGATGAGAAGGTCCTCTGGGTGATGGCTGCTGGTTGGGTTCTAGCAGGCTAGAGTAGATGCCCCTTCATTGTGTGCGTGAGATTGCGCTATGTAACAAAACTTTTTTAAAAAAACATTCAGATCCAGGCTATTTGTCTAAATCGCATCTGCCCATATAGACCATCTCGTGCACTGCGGTCAACGGAGGAGACCCTGCTCTCGGTCCCACCCCTGTCACAAGCTCGTTGGGTGGGAACGAGAGAGAGGGCCTTCTCCGTGATTACTCCATGATTGTGTGTTTGTGTATATATGTGCGCATGCGTTGTAATATATTTTTGTGTATTTGCTTTTGAAGTTCCTTACACTGTGTTTTTCAGTGTTTTTATGAGTGATGGTCACTCGTTGGCCTGAGAGGTGTGTTGTGTCCAAATTTGGTGTCAGTTCGTCCAGTGGTTTTTGAGTTCTGTTAATCCCACAAACTAACATTATATTTTTACTTATGTAGACTAGCTGTACCCGCCACGCGTTGCTGTGGCCAACCTTCCATCCCTCTTTCTCTCCTTCTTTCCTTCGCTCTGTTTCCTTACTTCCTTCCCTTTTCTTTTTTCCTTCTCTCCTTCCTTCTCTACCTCTTTCCTTCCTATCCCCTTAACTTCTTCTTTTTCTCCTTCCTTTCCTTCGCTCCTTGCTTCCTTGTTTCCACTTCTTTCTTTCCCTCCCTCCCTCTTTCTTTCTTTCTTTCTTTCTTTCTTTCTTTCTTTCTTTCTTTCTTTCTCCCCTTCCTTCCCTTTTTCTGTATCGTCATTTAGCTTTTCGTCATTTAGATTTTTTGGGTTTTTAAGTACTTTCCGCTGTTTTATGGGGGGGGGAGGTATGAATGATGGTCACTCATTGGTCTGTTAGGGGCATAGTGTCCAAATTTGGTGTCAATTTCTCCAGTAGTTTTTGAGTTATGTTAATCCCACAAAGGAACATTAGATTTTGATTTATATAGATTATCGTATACTACATTATTGTAATTATTTATTATTTACAATATCATCATCATCATCATTTAATTACTTATTAATCGCCCTCCATCCAAGATGCTCTAGGTCAGTGTTTCTCAACCTGGGGGTCGGGACCCCTGGAGGGGTCACGAGAGGGTTTCAGAGGGGTCACCAAAGACCATTAGAAAACATATATTTCTGATGGTCTTAAAAATCCCTTTGGCATAGTTGTTTGGGTTCACAGTACTCTCTAGATGTAGGTGAACTACATCTCCCCTAAATCACTGTCAGTTCATCCAAAATCCCTCCAATATTTTCTGTTGGTTATGGGGGTTCTGTGTGGGACGTTTGTCCCATTTCTATCGGTGGTGTGATTCAGAGCGCTCTTTGATTGTAGGTGAACTATAAATCCCAGCAACTAGTACAACTCCCAAATGTCAAGATCTATTTTCCCCAAATTCCACCAGTGTTTACATTTGGGCATATTGAGTATCTGTGACAAGTTTGATCCAGATCTATCATTGTTTGATTCCACAGTGCTCTCTGGATGTAGATGAACTACAACTCCAAAACTCAAGGTCAATGCCTACCAAACACTTCCACTATTTTCTCTTGGTCATGGGAGTTCTGTGTGCCAAGTTTTGTTCAATTCCATCATTGGTGGGGTTCAGAATGCTCTTTGATTTTAGGTGAACTATAAATCCTAGTAACTACAACTCCCAAATGACAAAATCAATTCTCCCTCCAACCCCACCAGTATTGAAATTTGGCATATTGGATAAGGTAAGGTAAAAATTTTCCCCTGACATTAAGTCCAGTCATGTCCAAGACTGGGGGTTGGTGCTCAATTTCTAGACCGAAGAGCTGGTGTTGTCCATAGACACCTCCAAGGCCGACATGACTGCATGGGTATTTGTGCCAAATTTGGTCTAGTGAATGAAAATTCATCTTGCATTTCAGATATCTTCATTATGATTCATAACAATAACACAATTACCGTTAGGAAGTAGCAACGATAATTATCTTATGGTTGGGGGTCGCCACAACATGAGGCCCTGTATTAAGGGGTCGCGGCATTAGGAAGGTTGAGAAACACTGCTCTAGGTGATTTACAAGCTAAATTTTTTATTTTTATTTATATATTTTTATTATTTTTATTTATATAGATTATTCTATCAAATATTGTATTCTACATAATTATTGATTATGTATTATTAGACCAAATATTTTATTTTACACTAAATAATGGTAAAGATTTTCCCTTGACATTAAGTCTATTATTATTATTATTATTATTATTATTATTATTATTATACAAAACCAGAACTAAGAGTTCCAGTTGAGGAGAAAAAGGCCCTTTCCTGACTGAACTTTGGACTAAGCACCACACCCAAGATGGCGGATTCGCGTCGACAGGTCGAGAGTCTCATTCCCCTCAGTGGGCTGTAGCAGGAGGAGGACTTCCGTAGCTGCCATCTTGGGTGTGTAACTTTACCTGCCGAGGCGTTTGGTCATGCCCAAGATGGTGTATTAACGTTATCACATGGAGCGTCTCATTCCCCTCAGTGGCTTATAGCAGGAGGAGGTCTCCCGTGGCCACCAGCTTGAGTGTGTCACTCTCTTTTACTGGGCTTACTCACGCCTTGGCCTCAGAAGGGTCTGGGATGGGGGGAATTGGGGGGAATTTGCATATGCTAATGAGCACTGAGTGTTGCAACCCAGAGCAGAAAACGAGGCCCTAAGATAACTATCCACCACACTTGACTGTGAAAAAACAATCCTTTTTTATTGATGAAAAATGGTTACAAAATAAAGGAAAAATGCAAAGTCAAAACCACAGCAAAATCAGCAAACATGAATGTCCATGAACAAGATCAAAACCCAAAGCCACACTGTAAAATACTGGAACCTGTTAGCAATCCACTAACCGTACTTGGTGTCCTAGAAATCTTTCAAGACGATGGCCAAGGAAACCGGGAGAACTGCCAAGGTACTCATCAATCTAAAACGATGCCTGAACTGAGAAAGTCAGCCCGGTGGAAGGCACTTAAAGCCGAGGAATTGGTTTCGTGATACGCCTCCCTGCTTTGAAGCCCTTGTTTGTTTTTCCTTTAATCTCGAAGACCTTCGCAAGCTGAGTGATTTACTCCTGTCTTGCCAGATCTGCCTCCTTCTATTCTCATTAAAGATCCCAGGTGCAGAAGGGAGTGAAAGGTCATCGCTTCCCTCTGAAACATTCTCATGAACACTGGTACTTTCGTTTTCCAAATCTACAGAAGTTTCTTCCTCACTAATTTCAGGAGCATTGCCACTAATTTCAGGATCATTGACATCAAGAAGTACATTTTCATTAGCATCAGTAAATATATTTTCATTAGCATCAGGAGGTACAAACAGAGAATCAGGTTCAAACTCAGGCTGAACCCCAACACTGAGGGAGGATGGTCGTTGGTGCCTCTCGTGCTGGCTGTGCCCGCGTGGCGTGTCACGCGCATTTTTCTATTTTTTTCTTAGTAAAAATTTTAAGGTCTTATTGTTTTTTTGGGAGGAAATTTTTTTTGAGTGCAGGACATAGATTGCCTTGAATGGTGTCTTGTGTCCAAATTTGGTGTCAATTCGCCCACTGGTTTTTGAGTTCTGTGAATACCACAAACGAACATTACATTTTTATTTATATAGATTTAGTGGCCTGACATTTTTATTGGGAAATGTTCCAGTTGCGTTTACTGAGCCTCTCTCTTCCTTTTTTCTGGACAGGTATCCTTGGCGGCTTAACCAGCGTCATCACCTCGACGGTGGAAGGGGTGAAAACGGAAGGCGGCGTCAGCGGCTTCATCTCCGGCCTCGGGAAAGGCCTCGTCGGGACCGTCACCAAACCGGTGGCCGGCGCGTTGGATTTCGCCTCCGAAACGGCCCAGGCGGTGAGAGAGACGGCCACGCTCACCGGTCCCAGGTGAGTTGAGTCTCTTGTTTGTAGACCAACCCTTCCTTTTTCTTTGTCACAACCACCTGTGCGGGTAGGTTAGAACGTGCGCTTCTTAACTCGTAATCCCGTTCCATTTCATATGTCTATAAAACAAGTATACAACCTGATAACGCTATGTAAAAATATTGTCAGTGTCGGTACCGGTTGAAAGGCGTTTCTGCGACATTGCGACTATAACGCTATGTAACAAAATTCAAAAAATGTTTCTGTTCCTGGTTTGAAAGTGTTACCCTTGTTTAGTTGTGCGATACTTCCTTTGAAAGTAGTTGTTCTACTCCAGGAACATCGTTTTTGTGGCTGCCACAAATTAAGTGGAATGGGTTGAGACGCGATAATGAGATATCCATTGAAAGACTAGAGCCAAATGTGCTGCGGGGTGATGTCCCTCCCGCAAAGACAGGAAGGAAGGAAGGACAAAAGGGAGGAAGGGAAGGAGGAAGGAAAGAGAGAAGGAAATTGCCTGGAGCATCTCGGATGGAGGTTGAATAATAAATAATTAAAGATGATGATGATGATGAAGAAAGAAAGAGAGAAAAGAAAGGGAGGAAGAGAAGGGTGGAAGGAAGGGAAGGATAAAGAGAAGAGAGAAGGAAGGAAAGACAAAAGGGAAGGAAGGAAGGAAAACGAGGAGGAGAGGGAGGAAAGAGGAAAGGAAGGACAAAAGGGTGGAAGGGAAGAATGGAAGGAAAGGGGAGGAGGAAGGAAAGGAGAGAAGGAAGAAAGACAAAAGGGAGGGAAGGAAGGACAAAAGGATGGAAGGAAGGAGAAGAAGGAAGGGGAGGAGAAGAGAAGGAAGGAAGAAAAAGGGAGGAAGAGGAAGAGGAGAGGGAAAGAAGGATGAAGGGAAGGGGAAAATTGAAAGGGTGTAAGGGAAGGAGGGAGGAAAGAGAAGGAAGGAAGGAAGGAAGAAAGAAAGAAAGAAAGAAAGAAAGAAAGAGAGAGAGAGAGAGAGAAAGAAAAAAGGTTGGAAGGGAGGGGTGGAAGGAAGGGAAGAATAAAGAGAAGAGAGAAGGAAGGAAAGACAAAAGGGAAGGAAGGAAAACGAGGAAGAGAGGGAGGAAAGAGGAAAGGAAGGAAGGAAGGAAGGAAGGACAAAAGGGTGAAAGGGAAGAATGGAAGGAGAAAGGGAGGGAGGTAAGGAGGAAGGAAAGACAAAAAAAGGGAGGGAAGGAAGGACAGAGGAGTGGAAGGAAAGGAGAAAGAGGAAGGGGAAGGATGAAAGAAAGAAGGAAGGAAAGAAAAGGGAAGGAAGGAAGGAGAAAGAGGAGAGAGGGAAGGAAGGAAGGACAAAAAGGTGGAAAGGAAGTAGAAAGAGGGAGGGAGGAAATAGAGAAGGAAGGAATGACAAAAGGGAAGGAAGGAGAAAGAGGGAAGGAAGGATGAAAGGATGAAAGGGAAGAATGGAAGGAGAAGGGAAGGGAGGTAAGGAGGAAATAGAGAAGGAAGGAAAGACAAAAAGGGAGGGAGGGAAGGACAAAGGAGTGGAAGGAAAGGAAAAAGAGGAATGGGAGGGATGAAAGAGAAGGAAGGAAGGACAAAAGGGAGGAAGGGAAGGATGGAGGGAGAGAGGGAAAGAGGGATGAAAGGGAAGGAAGGAAAGACAAAAGGGGAGGGAGGGAAAGAAGGACGGAGGAGTGGAAGGGAAATGTAAAGAGAAGAGAGAAGTAAGGGAAGACAAAAGGGAAGGAAGGAAGAGAAGGATGGAGGGAGAGAGGGAAGATGGGATGAAGGGAAGGGAAGGAAAGAAAGACAAAAGGGGAAGGAGGAAGAATGAGAGAGTGAAAGAAGAAAAGGGAGGAAGAAAAGGGTGGAAAGAAGGGAAGGATAAAAGAAAAAGAAGGAAAGACAAAAGGGAAGGAAGGAGAAGAGAGGGAGGGAAGGAAGGACGAAAGGGGGTGGAAGGGAAGAATGGAAGGAGAAAGGGAGGGAGGAAGGAGAGAAGGAAGGAAGGACAAAAAGGGAGGGAGGGAAAGAAGGACAAAAGAGTGGAAAGAAAAGGGAAGGGATGAAGAGAGAAGGAAGGGAAAGGGAAGGAAGGAAGAGAGAGGGAAGGAAGAAGGAAAGGAAGGGGAGAGAAAGAGGGAAGGAAGGAAACAGAGAAGGAGGAAAAAAGGGGAGGAAGGAGAAAGAGGGACGGAAGGAGAAGGATGGAAGGAGGGAGGAGGGAAGGGAGGGAGGAAAGAGAGAAGGAAGGAAAGCTAGCTAGCTAGCTAGCTAGCTAGCTAGCTAGATAGATAGATAGATAGATAGATAGATAGATAGATAGATAGATGAGAGGGAGATAGCTTTCATGGACCCAATCTGGTCAAGCTCTTACTCTCTAGGAAATGCAGTAAACGTTGGCTGAACTCTGGATACTCCCCTGTTTCTCATTCTGGTGACACTTATGTAAGGCTCTTAACCAGATCTGGAGGAGAACGAATGAACGAACGAACGCAAATCCCATTCCTTTCCCTTGGAAATCCTCGTGACTCACTTTTCCTTAAGCTTCTTGGAGGCAAGATTTCCGAGCCTTGGTGGATTTCGTTGCCGGAGTGAACGGGGTTTTTGTTCCCTATGAGAGCTTTCATGAGACTCCTAATGGAATGGAAATCTTGTACACGCGGAAAGCAATGGGATTAACTGTGTTTATTAGGCTTGGGTTTTTTCTCTCCCCCTCCAAAAAATACACGGAAAACCGACTCGTCCACTCTAACATGACCGAGAGGGGAAGTATTACGCATCACTTTCCGAAGGAAAAAATGAAAAATCGAGGGCCGTCACTAATAACACTGTGTAACAAAATTTGAAAAATGTTCTGTTCCTGGTTTGAAAGAATGAGGGTTGAATGAAAAGTAATGCCTCCGCCTTCGTAACTCAACAGATGGCAGTCCAGGTATGCGTCAGGTACTGGCTTGTTCAGTAGACTCTCCTCTACAGTTCCGTTTTGGTGGGAAGCCTTAGCATTGAAGGGACCTTTGAAACTCCTCCACAAATGGCAGTACTGGTATGCGGCATGTACTGGCTTGTTCAGTAGACTCTCCTCTACAGTTCCATTGTGGTGGGAAGCCTTAGCATTGAACAGTTGTGTTGTTAAAGCGTGAAGTATGGAACCCTGCGCAGACGGTCAGTCAGTAGGAATGGGGCCTCAAAGTGGAGTCAGCAACATGCGAGCTAGCTTGCAGAGTTTATCAACAGGTTTAGGTTTAAGACATCCTGTGATCATTCTGCATGTAGAGTAGAGTTTATCAACAGGTGTAGGTTTAAGACATCCTGTGATTATTCTGCATGTAGAGTTTATCAAGAGGTGTAGGTTTAAGACATCCTGTGATTATTCTGCATGTAGAGTTTATCAACAGGTATAGGTCTAAGACATCCTGTGATTATTCTGCATGTAGAGTTTATCAACAGGTGTAGGTTTACGACATCCTGTGATTATTCTGCATGTAGAGTAGTTTATCAACAGGCGTAGGTTCAAGACATTCTGTGATTATTCTGCATGTAGAGTAGAGTTTATCAATAGGTGTAGGTTTAAGACATCCTGTGATTATTCTGCATGTAGAGTAGTTTATTAACAGGTGTAGGTTTAAGACATCCTGTGATTATTCTGCATGTAGAGTTTATCAACAGGTATAGGTCTAAGACATCCTGTGATTATTCTGCATGTAGAGTTTATCAGCAGGTGTAGTTCTAAGACATCCTGTGATTATTCTGCATGTAGAGTAGTTTATCAACAGGTGTAGTTCTAAGACATCCTGTGATTATTCTGCATGTAGCGTAGTTTATCAACAGGTGTAGTTCTAAGACATCCTGTGATTATTCTGCATGTTTCCTTCAATGCTATGTTCACCTGTTTTTCGTGGGAAAACTTATGCCAAATAGGGCAGGCGTACTCGGCAGTTGAGTAAGACAAGGCCAGGGCTGATGTTCTTACTAATTGTAGGTCTGCACCCAATGTGCTGCCAGTACGTTTCCGCAGGATGTTATTGCATGCAGCTACTTTGTGCTTGTTGTTCAAGCAGTGTTTCCTATATGCTAGTGTTCGATGTAAGGTGACACCGAGATATTTAGGATGGAAACAGTGTTCTTTATGATAGAACCAATTAGGAAATGACATTTATAACCCAGGAACAAAAATCATAGTGTTACTACATAGTATCCTTGCACTGATCGGAAGCCTCCTTGCCCTCCGATGGGCCGAAAGCAGCAATGCTCCATCTCTGAGGCGCTGCTTCCCGAAATGGACAAAGATATGTGTTTTGCTTTGTTTTCCTGGGGCCCGCGAGAGCGTGTGAACAGGAACCGAACGAAGCGTCACGTTTACGAGCAGGAACCGTTTGAAAGGTGGCCGAAGCGGGGCGGCGACTGGACGCGAACTTGCTTTGAACCCTCCTGCCTTAACGCAGGTAATCGGAGCGTGATTGTTCGCGTCTGTTCTAAGCGATATGCTTCTGGGTTCAAGCGGAGTTCAGCCAACAGTCCTCATGGCAATGAAACCAACCTGCCTGTAATCGGACGGTTTTTTTTTCTTCGAGGAATTGTTGTCGGACAAGTGCGTCACGGGAACTTAGCCCGAACCTGTGGAAGGCAGGACGTCTTGCCAAGGGGCAGGGATGAATGTCAGGTGAAGCAACGTGGGGCGTTACTGGTGCTGAGGGAGAAGGCCAACAAGGGGGGGATTCGCTTGGGGAGATCTGTCCGGAAAACGTTGCCGATTTTGGAGACATTCTCCTGTAGGACCATCAAATCATCGAGTTGGTAGAGACCATTCTGTAGGAAAACATTAGAGATTTCGGAGACATACACCTGTAGGATCATTGAATTGGTAGAGACCATTCTGTAGGGAAAACATTGGAGATTTCGGAGACATACACCTGTAGTATCATTGAATTGGTAGAGATCATTAGGTAGGAAAGCATTGGAGATTTCGGAGACATACACCTGAATTGGTAGAGACCATTCTGTAGGAAAACATTGGAGATTTCGGA